TTGCCAAGGTACGCGCCAATAATATTTATAATGCAGGTATCCATCGGTAATGCTATGATGTTCTAGGCTGAAAAGCACGAATTGCTGTCGAAGAAATGGTTTCATGCGCTGCTGTTGTTCTTGCATCCGGGCAAAAGCCATCATCTTCCCCCAAGAGTGGCAAAATGCACAGAACTACACTGCGGTTCGGGAGAACTTTAAGCTTCTCCCACAATATAAGGAGGACATGGAAGAAGCGAGTACACGCACGGTTTACGAAGAGCGGGTTCGTATCGAGAAATATCGACTCTATATTCAGACGAAGTTCAAGCAATGGTTCAACAACTGGGAAGCAAAATGCAAGGAAATACGCGATGCTAAAATGTCGGAGGCGAAGGAAGAACTGGTCAAGTTTGCAGAATATGCGGATTGTGTTTCATTTGATGACTTCAAAGTCATTTACTATGCTCGCTTCTTGGAGAAGGACAAGGCGTATGAAATCAAGAAGAAGGCCAAGCTGGAGCAAGCGGCAACCGACATCCGATTCCTCGAAACCTTTGGTGCGGAATCGGAAAGCGACGAAGAGTAAACATTAAAAACTTATATATTTTTTGTTATAAAGAGTATAAAAAGTGCGAGCTTAAACTACGCGATAAAACGAATGCAAGTACTAAGACAAGATCGTAACCACTAGTACAAACGGCAAGATCGAACTACTATAAACAAGAAGACTAAAGTACTACTATCACAAGACCATAAGTACTATGACAAGATTTAAAGTACGAGTACAAAATCGATTGGCGTTGAATCTCTTGGGGCTCACAATCCATTTGGTTGGACAAGACGAACTTGCTGAACACTGTCCTTCTTAAGAAGCATGACTAGTCAATCGTTGAGGTTCCAAGAACTATTACAAGGTGGTATTGACACAGCAACTCACGTGATCAAACAGGAGACAAGAAACGTGTATGAATCTTATTTTAAGAAGTTCTGTGAATTCTGTATCGCCAACGAGTATCCTGATCCAGCAGTGACGCGTCATCACGAACTGCCTTCCCTTTTGGTTCCGTTTATGGAGAGTGTATCCGCGTCCAGTACCGTTTCCAATCAAACTGCAGAGAAGGTCAGAGCTGCGGTCGCGAACTTTTATGGCAGTTACGAGCGCAGAGACGCCGCAGGACCGGACAAGTGGATGGTAATGACAGACGACAGGGGCAACAAATTTGGCCTTGGTAATCCTGCAAAGGATGCGTTCGTTCGCCAATTCATGTGGGGCCTCAAGAAACGAAAGAACAAGGAATTTACGCAGCGCCAAGCTACGCCTATTTCTTTGGATGCTCTGTGTGCTTCATTTTCACTTGACACATACGTCAGGATTCACAGAGGCAAGCCGTTTGTGGTTTTTGGCGGTATCTGCTTTTGCTTTCTATGGAATGTGTCGAATCAACGAGGTGCTAAGTTTGCAGTGGAAGAATATCACCCTGGACCTGGCTCGCCCAAGTGCGTCTGATCCGACTTCGACAATTGGCTACGGCGTCTACAAACTGGGAAAGACGGAGGTCGCTAAAGGTCGCTACAACCGTCATTGTTTAGATGAATGCGAGAGTCCAATGGATGTTTTAGCTCACTTAAAGAAATGGATTGAGTACGTTAATACGAAGACCGACCACAAGTGGAGCGATAACGACTACGTTTTCCCAGCATTGTCCAAAATTGCGAAGAGTGCTATCAAGACTGATGACCCTCATACAGGGTGCGAGAACGTACGTGAGGAATGGAGTAAGAAAATGTCTGAGCAGTCTTTCATCACGCTATTGAATTGTGTCGTGAGAGATCTCAACCGCAATGGAACATCTGTGTCCGGATACGTTCGCCACTTCGAAAAACGTCTGAAAACTGTTGAGTGTTCGGTTAAAGCTCTTGAAGACAAGATCGATTTACTCATCTCGGTACTTCGGCCATCAGAAATCTCAACACCATCTGCAGCAGCTTCACACAGCAGCATCGACGAATTGGAGCAGATATCTATTCTGCCGCCAGCTAAAGCCTGGCGGGCTTTGTATCGAATGTACTGGAAAGCTGACCCATCTCGTCATCTATTCAAGCCGATTTGTGAATGGACACCACAGGAAAGAAAGAAAAGCGGATCCCTTCCCAGTCGCCTCAGTGTTGCAAAGCTGATAGCGGAAGATGTTGTTGATTTTGCTCTTCAAAAGAGAATTCCGGCTCCAAGGGACGTCTCAGAGGCCACATTATCGATGCATGCAGCTTACTACGTCGATAATTGGATGAAAGATGCAGCGAATACCAACCTGAGTGCGCTCGCTATCGACACGCTGGGACGATATATCAGGCTTGATAAGAAACGCCGACTCGTGAAAGCTCAGCATGCTTACATGAACAGATAAAGCTAATATAGTAAGATAGTATTGCGAGTCTTGTTTTAGTATATTGTGTCTTGTTATAGTACATTGAGTCTTGTGTTAGTATTATTAATCTTGTCACGTACATCTAGTCTTGTCGTAGTATCTATTATCTTGTCATGTTTTTCTAGTATTTAATGTCTTGCTGTAGATTTTGTCTTGCCGAGAGTCTTCTAATAATTTATCAACATTACTTAAGTTGTGATCAAAAATTAATACACGGTTCTTCATTTTATTGACTCTAAGACAATCTTTTCATTGGTCAAGCAATCAGACTTTGCATCAATTGTAGCTTCCGGCAAGGAAAGCATACAATCTCTAAGATGAGCGGAAGCTGCTTCCATTTTATCACAATCACAGCTCAAACAGACATCTAAATAGGGTTAGGTCTAATTTACTGACATGTTGATAATATCATAAACCTATCCCTTATTTATTCGAATGGAAGGGCTACTTAAAATAATGTATCCACTTGATTCTAAATACGTCTCCACAACCCTTCCTTGTCCCCTAATCAGTTGTTTTCACCTGTCGGTTCGCTTATTCGGCTACAATTGGCGGAACCTTACCACAGTCTTCTGTGATTGGTCCACTTAACTTTCGCGGGAAACTTCACCGTTCCAAACCCAAAAATCCCTTCATTTCCGCCTGACTGGCAGAAAAGAACTCGACGCCGACGGCTCCGACCGCTCCCAGCTCACTCTTCCCCAACTTTCATTTAGTCCCAATGGCCCCTGTCGACGACACCAAGGCCGCCGAGGCCACGCCCGCTACCACTGCTCCCGCGGAGGAGACTGCTGCTTCCCCCGCTCCGACGCGTTCGCCTTCGGCCCGCAAGGCCAAGACGGCCGCTGCTGCTAAGAAGGAGGAGCCCGTCGCTAAGGAGGCCCCCAAGGCCAAGAAGCCTAGGGCCAAGAAGGCCGCGGCCACTAAGAGCGCGGCCGAAAACGGCCCTTCATACTTTGAACTCATCGTGGACGCCATCAAAGAGCTGAAGGAGCGCAACGGCTCGTCCCGTCAGGCCATTGCCAAGGTCGTCGAGAACAAGAAGGACAACTACGCTAGCCACCACTTGAACAAGGCCCTGCGCACGGGCGTGGAAGCTGGCAAGCTCATTCAGATTAAGGGTTCGTACAAGCTCTCGCCCGAGTTGCGCAAACCTGCCGCCAGTAAGAAGAAGAGCATGAAGGTGTCTGAAAGCTCGGCCAAGACTGTTAAGAAGGTTGGCAAGGTGGCTAAGAAGTCTCCTACCGCTAAGAAGACGGCGGCCAAGAAGGTTGCTGCTAAGAAGGTGGCGGCCAAGAAGACTCCGGCCAAGAAGACGGCCGCTAAGAAGTCGCCTACTGCTAAGAAGGCTGCGGCCAAGAAAACGGTCACCAAGAAGGCGGCCCCGAAGAAGGCTGTGGCCAAGAAGTCGGCCCCTAAGAAGGCCACGGCCAAGACTACCAAGAAGACGGTCAAGAAGACGGCAAAGAAGTAAAGTGCCTCTCTGACTCACTGTGCTATAATTCAAGGTCGGTGATTTATTACGGGCTCGGGGCTGTTTTATCTACGCGACGTCGTCAAAGGCCCCGCCCTTCCCTTTATCCCTCGGTGTTTTTTAACACCACCCTTTGTACTTTAGAAATTGTCCCTGTAGCTTTCACAAGATATTGTGCTTTTGTGTCCCGGATTAACTTCAGAGTAGTGAGGCCATTGTGGTGGATGCAGATTTGGTCCTAAATGTGTCGGAACCTGAAGTGGCATGAGTCTGTCGTGATATCGTCCGTAGGATCGCAGATTGGCCGATGTTAAAAATGGTTGCTGTGTGGTGTATACGTTGTGAGCTAAATGTGAAGTTGCTGCTGCTTGATCGCATTTCGGTGGAAAATTGCAGCACTGCTGCTCGACAAGAATGGCTAATTTCAAGCGTAGGACATCACCTTGAAGCTATCATTGGAGTCTGCGTGATGCAGTGCATTGGGCAGCAACCAGCGGTGCCGGTGGATGCTGAAGGAGTTTACCGGTGCTGGTAACTGCGACGAAGTGAGCGTACGAGTTTATCATTGTGCTCCTCCATGCGATCAATGCGTTGCTCCACCTGATCAAGTCATTGAGGACTCTAGTTCATTCCACAACTTCCTTCTTAGGACCAACAAGCCACAACATTTGCTTCGGAGTGTAAAACAAACGCAATGGCACGTCTGCTCTATCATGCTGTGGCTTCGGCAATGGCACTCGTCGCGTCGCTGTCATCGCTCACAGCCGCACAGCATTCCAACAGCAGCAGCAGCGACGGTGTGACTGCAGGCATTGAAGAAGAGAACTTTGGCGTGGGATGCAGTGCATCCATGGAGTACCCAACGTCGACCGACGAATCTACCGCGCAACCGCGTTTTGCGTACTTGGTCACGAATCCATTGGCGGATTTCGTTGCTGTGCACTTCAAACAGTTCAACTTGCCCAAGAACGACTACGTCCAGGTGCGCTCAGCCGACCCTGCTGCTAGGGACACTCGCGTGTTGCAATACCGTGGCAACGATTCTACTGGTGCCTTCTACGCTGATGCTCTTTCGACCTCATCCGTGATCGTGGAGCTCTTCACGGATACAACCAGCTCGGACGCGAACTCGTCGGAATGTGTCGGCTTCGCGGTGGACAGCTACCAGTATCTGGGTCAGGGTTCAACGCTGAATGGATCCAAGGAAGAGGTGTGTGGCGCAGACAACAGTCGCGAAGCTCGTTGCTACTCGGGCTATAGCAGTGCTTTCCGAGCTTCGGACGCTGTTGCTCGCCTATTGATCAAGAAGGCGACGGGCTCGTTCTTCTGCACGGGGTGGCTCCTTGGAAACGAAGGGCACCTCGTCACCAATCACCACTGCATTTCGACTCAAGCCCACGCCAGCAACACCGAGTTCGAGTTCATGGCTGAAGGTTCTAGTTGCAGCATTAACTGCGCCAAACCTCGCGCTTGTTTTGGAACCATTCGAGCTTCATACTCGACACTGATCTACGCCGACGCGGGACTTGACTATGCTCTTGTCAAGCTTCCTATCAACCTGTCGGGGCAGTACGGCTACCTGCGTCTCCGTTCCAGCGGAGCTGTCATGAATGAACGCGTGTATGTGCCTCAACACCCTTCTGGATGGGGCAAGCGCATTGCTATGAAGTCTGACAGCGGCTATGGAACGGTGACGTCCTTGACTATGGGAGGCTGCGCGAATAACCAGGTTGCGTACTATCTGGACACTCAAGGCGGGTCGTCAGGATCTCCCGTTCTTGCTTGGTCGGACAACTCGGTGGTCGCTCTGCACCACTGCGGTGGGTGCCCGAACACTGCGATCAACAGCTACAAGCTGATTAACGACATGAAATGGCGTGGTATCCTCCCGAACAACGCTGTCGCCTAAATTCCGCTATTCAAGGTTGATCCCTCACAACTATTTGTCACGAGCATTTGTTGTTCTTGGCCTCTGGTCCATCTTAGATGGAAGACTATTACCTACATCAATACACATTGCCTTCAAGAAAAACACTGCTTTTCAGAATCTAAAGTACCCTCATGCACATCGCCTGTTCTAGTCTAACCAGATAGAAAACCAAAAGCAACGACATCATCCCAGTCCGAGATTTGAACGGAGGTACGATCGCAGATCAGCTAGGTAACGAGTACGAAACTCTGCATCAACACCATTCTGGAATTGTCGGTAGTGAAGGCATCAAGGCATCTTAAACTTCTGCACGCGGTTTAGATGACTCGTATCCTTCTCCATATCCTTCTTTCTGCAGTGGCTTTCACGACACGTATGCTATCGTTAACAACTGCTCAGGAGCATTTTAGTAGAAGGAATAATGCTACCAACACGATCGCCGGTATCCAAGCAGAGAACTTTGGCGTGGGATGTGGTGGAGACATGGAGTATCCTTCCACCGACGAGTTCACTAAACAGCCACGGTTCGCGTATTTGATCACAAATCCACTCGCGGATTTCGTCGCTGTCCACTTCAAGCACTTCAACTTGCCCGAGAACGACTACGTTCAAATCCGTGCTGCAGATCCCGCGTCTACCGAAAAACAGATTTTGCGCTTTCAGGGTAACGAGTCGAGCGGCGATTTCTACGCCCCAGCGCTTTCGACGGTTGCTGTTATTGTGGAATTGTTTACAGAAATTGCCGATTTCCCTCAAGCCGTCGATGCATCAGAATGTCTTGGATTTTCAGTGGACAGATACCAATATCTGGCCCGAGGTTCGTCTCTAAATGGAGCCAAGGAGGAGGTATGCGGCTTCGACAATAGTCGAGAGGCATCTTGCTACAAGTCGTTTACCGAAGTCTTCCAAGCGTCCAAAGCTGTGGCTCGCCTTTTAACCAAGAAACCCGAAGGTGCTTTCTACTGCACTGGTTGGCTGCTTGGCAGTGAAGGGCATTTGATGACCAACCACCACTGTATCTCTTCACAAATCCACGCAGACAACACTGAGTTCGAGTTTGATGCAGAAGGATCAGTGTGTAGCATTAGCTGTGCGAACGCCCGTGCATGCAGCGGATCGATTCGTGCCAAATCGGCAACACTAATTTACGCAGATGACGCACTGGACTACGCTCTGTTGAAGCTTCCTGTAGATTTATCAGTCGAGTATGGCTACCTTCGCCTGCGTACTAGTGGTGCCGAACTGTCAGAACGAGTCTATATGCCTGAACATCCAGCTGGGTGGGGGAAGCGGATTGCGATGAAAACCGACAGTGGCTGGGGGACTGTGAAGTCGTTGACCATGGGAGGCTGTGCGACGGATCAAGTAGCATACTACCTCGACACACAAGGCGGGTCATCGGGATCACCTGTTCTCTCGTGGTCAGATAACACAGTGATTGCTCTACATCACTGCGGTGGGTGCCCAAATACGGCAATCAACAGCTACAAGCTCGTAAATGACATGAAATGGCGCAACATTCTTCCAGCAAACGCTACCGTATAAGCAACAGCAATGTTGGTATATTACAAACACCATTTATACTACTACAAGTGTTGCAGTTGTATTCCCAACGTGTCACTTTGGGTGACGATTACTACACCGAAGCTGACAAGTATACTTAATTCAGACGAGTTTGTGAGAAGAAACCGAAACAAACTTCTGTGAAGGCGTGAATCATACGCAACCTCCCAACAGTACGTCCAGCTCCTGGCTGGCAATCCCCTTCATCCCATTTTCGACTGCCACCAGAACGTTCATCTAACTCCCACAGAGAAAACCTCGTGAAGACAATCACCTCATCGGCTACACACTAACTACCAACATGCGATTAAGCAAAGAACGACATTTGATCGTCGCTTTCTGTTGGGTAACAACTCGTCGAGATCTAGGCACATCGCATTGAGTCGTGCAGTTTTCCAACTCCCGATTGGAATGGGCGCAGATAACTTCAACACTACCATATATCCTAGTGGAACCTTCAGAGCAGTCATTCCCAAATCTCCCGTCTCGGACGAACAGGAAGCCGTTTCTACCTCTAAAGAGAGGACCGAGTGTCATGACTCGACTACTCCACCGCATTGCGGGCTTCGCAGTTCTAGCTTGGGCAACTATCGCAAACGCTCAATCACTACTCAACACCAGCACTCCTGGCATCCAGGACATCGACTTCGGAGTCGGATGCGGTGAAAGTGTCGACTACCCGACGTTCACCGACGACTCGACCACTCAGCCGCGGTTTGCGTACACGGTCTCGAATAGTCTGGCGCAGTTCATCTCGGTGCACTTCACCAATTTCAATCTTCCAAGAACCGACTACGTACAGATCCGTGCGGCCAACGCAAACGACCCGGAAAAGACTGTGCTAAGATACAACGGGGGCGACACCAGCGGTGCCTTCTACTCCACAGCTCTACAGACTACGTCCATCGTCGTAGAACTCTTCACTGCAAGCACCGACCCCAGTGTTGGCGCGCAGCCTGTGAACACGTTCCTGTGCATGGGGTTTACCGTTGATAACTACCGTTTCCTAGCGCAACCAGCAAACAACGCTTTGTCCAAGCTAGAGGAGGTGTGCGGCGCAGATGAAAGCCAGCAAGCCGTATGCTACGTAGCTGACGTCAATGCGTTCAAAGCTGCAGGTGCTGTGGCGCGCTTGTTGATCCACAAATCTACTGGTTCTTTCTTCTGTACAGGCTGGCTGGTAGGCTCTGAAGGCCACCTCATGACGAACCACCACTGTATCTCACAACAGGCACATGCTAGCAATACGGAGTTTGAATTCAAAGCCCAAGGTGCGACTTGCAGTACTAACTGCAACAGGGGTATGGCATGTGGTGGCGCAGTGCGAGCAAGGTCTTCAACACTCATCTACGCCGACGCAGCGCTCGACTATGCTTTAGTGAAACTACCAATTAACTTGTCCGGGGAGTACGGCTACTTGCAGATGCGTGAGACGGGAGCAGTACTTTCGGAACGGATCTACATTCCTCAACACCCTGCCGGATGGGGCAAACGTATCGCTATTAAGACGGATAATGGCTGGGGGACAGTGACTTCGTTGACCAGGAGCGGCTGTGCCAGGGACCAGGTTGCGTACATGCTTGACACACAGGGTGGTTCTTCTGGTTCACCCGTTCTTGCTTGGTCCGACAATACAGTCGTCGCCTTGCACCATTGCGGTGGATGCCCCAACACGGCTATCAACAGCAACAAGCTTATCAACGACATGAGGACGCGCAACATCCTTCCGGAAAGTGCTGTGTACTCTGGCGCGACTTTAGCTCCGACTTCGGCTCCTACTACTTCACCTCCCACTCAACCACCTACTTCAGCCCCTGCACCAACCACCAAGACGAAAGTTGATGGTACGATCACCTCGACTGCCACATTCACGTCCGTGGACTATGTGGACTTTAACCTTGCGTCTGAGGCAGCGGTGGAGCTTGATATTCTCTCAATGGAAGAGAAGACAGGTGGAGGCTACGTGGATGTTAACGGGGATTGCAACGCTGGTTACCTTGACTCCAGCATCGTCCTCTTTAGCGTTAACACGGCCACCGGAGCGATGACAGCCATATCAGCAAATGACAACGCTCCCAACGGCTATGGCAGTGCCGATGGATCGATCAGCAACGTCGACTCGTATCTGTACGTGAAACTTCCGGCTGGTAACTACCGATTGGCAGTGAGTACATCGGGTCTCACTCCGACACAAGCAGCGAACAAACAAATGCCCTTGTCGCCCAATGTTCGCGTTTGTGACAAAGGAACGTCAAACTACGGCAGCTACAGACTCACTATCAGTACCAGCGCGGCTGTGACGACAACTGCACCAGGCAGCTACATCGGTTCTCAATGCAACGTCGTGGCTCCGAACGCTCCATACAGACAATGCCCGTACCACCGTGAAGCAGCTCTCGCCTACGCCACTGGGGTCGAGGGATCCATCATCCGTCGTCAAAGTACGGTGTCCGTCGACTACATCCCATTCACGCTACCTGCTTTCAACCGTATTACAGTGGAGATCGCATCGTATGGAAGTGCTGATGGCAACATCTTCATGGATGTCAATGGGAACTGCCAAAGTGCGTACATCGATGCTGTAGCTTATCTCTTCAAAGCCAACTCTGCTGGTTTATCAGCCGCTGATCTTGTGAACTCTGGTGACGACGATGACAACTTTGTGAAGCGCACTCACTACCGCTCCATCAGCTTCCGTGACCCGTTCATGTCGTTGGCTTTGCCAAAGGGCAACTACGTTCTCGTTGTAGGACGGTACCCACTGAGTCTCGAAGATGCCATCGCACGCACCAGCTCAACTTCTGTTGATAAGCTCACACCTGAATCATGTGGTAAAAAGTCGGATCGCGGTAACTACCTTGCCATCTTGAGTTCTGCAGACAAGATGAATATCACCTCACCCCGCTCATTTTCCGGCAGTCGATGCCCCAGCAGTGTTGGCAAACAGGTTTGCACAGCTTAAGGGAGACGACTTACAAAACGCGAATTCTAATCCACATGATGGATGTAGCACTCCGAATTAATAACACGGAGACCAGAGCAAGCGAATACATTTCGTGAATTTCAATACACATTTGAGTTTTCATTTGAAATGAGTAAAGTTAACTCTTTTCTTCATATTTGAGCTCATTTACATTTGAAATATATATAAAAAAATACTTCGAAGTTTTCACGTTTTTCATTTCACTTTTTTTATAAAAACAAAAATACGTAGTATACACACCGGGCAAAGTATACGCTTTTTCATTGCTCACTCTTTAACTAACTCTATCTTACTCACTAGTCTGGTGGGTGAGCGGCAGGTGTGAAACTCGGTTGGAGAATTTCCCCACCATGTCGTCGTTTGGCCTCAGATCGATGCGGGTGATGCTGCAATGGTTGATAGGTGCACCCAGTTGAATGACCTCCTTGGGGACGTCGTAGCACTGCGCCATGCAATGCTGGATAAAGCTCGTGTGGGCAATAATAAGCTTGAAGTTTTCTAAATCTCCTTTCGGCCCACGCGCCATGGTATCATCTCCATCCCAACGGCAAATGTTCTGGAACGCCATCTTGTGCATCGACTCGCGGTAGTCGTAGCGATGGAAAATGTCCACATTCTTGGGTGCTCCATCTTCTAGAAAGCAACACTCGTACTTTTTGGCAAGCCATGGCATCTTTTTGGCAAAAATCGCTGCGGTCTCCACAGTCCGTCGCAGTCCTCCATACACCAAACTGACACTTGGTGTGTTATCTCCTCGAAGTTTAAACATCTTGTTCAACGATTTGGCTGTGATCTCAGCCTGTTCCTCTCCGCGCTTTGTCAGTTTCTTATCTCGGTCACAAACTCGGAAGTTAATGTTCTCAGTCTCTCCGTGACGAATGAAAATGAGGTGCGTCACTCCTCGAGGAGCTTGCAACTTTTTCTTCAGAGGGTTAAGAACCGGTTGGATAAACTTTGGAAACAGCACGTTATCTACTTGGTACGTGCCTTCTTTGATCTGGAACGGAGACAACGTGGCACGACTCATACACTTGTGGAGCAATTGGGGCTCCATCGGTATACGAGCGGCCACTTGGATAGACCACCACCAGAGAAACATATCCTGTTTGGTCTGGAAGCGTAGGATGCTGGTCTCACTTTTGCCCTGGTATAGGAAATCTATCTGCATAACTTTGTCGTTAAAGTCGAGGAACTCCAATCGCGCACTGGCAACGGGAATTAGCGACCTTTTACGTTGAATTGTGTCTTTAAACTTGCGCAAGACCAAAATGTCGGCGTACAGCTCAGCCCAGCATTTGTTCCAACTGGTGATTCCCAATTTCATTCGCCGGGTTTCGATGAACCCGCAGAGCACAAAATTCTCACGTTTGGCAGCTTTTTGCACTGCATAGTCACTTACTTGGACGGGAAATTCGGGACGGTCTTCGCTAAAGTAAAGCTCCACCTCGTCTATGGTGTAGCGGCGAGTGGTGGAGCCATTCTGAGCCACGGATCGTGCCGCGTAGGGCGTTTCGTAGTGCGAGCCCAGTTGCGGTCGGCAGGTCTCGAGGTCTTTGGTGTTGGCGAAGCGCACCGACTTGGGACTTTTCATGGGTTGCACCGGCTGTTGCTGGTTGTCCTCTGCCTTGGTGGAGGCCACCGGGACGACGTAGGGCGCAACGACGGCCGCGGAGGCTGCGGGCATGGCTTGTGGATAATAAATTCAACGCGGGTGAAAATGCCGGTTTGTCGGGTTCTTGCCGTGCGCACTTGACGGCAACTTGCCTACTGAGTTACAGACGCAAGTGGTTCTGTGACTTTTCGCAGAAAGTGGCCTGTAATTTACTTGATCAAATATTGCTTCTGTATACAGTGGGACATCATTTTCTGAACCCATTTTGTGTTGCTCCGTTTTCGCGCACATGAAACAACGTAAGCGAGGGTCTCTACTCGCTGCAACCATTTCTCAGATCGAGTTCAAGAGCCTCGACTCGAGGCTCGAGGCTTGAGTTATAAGACTTGTTTCAAATTGAGGCTCAGTCGCTGCATCAGTTATCCATGGATTTGCGGAGCTCCACTTTGAAAAAATTGTCATCGGAGATCCCAGAGGCGAGAGCTGCCCAGGCAGATTCATGAGCAGTTCGGTGATTGCTTGTAAAGATTAAGAGGTACTACACCGCTGGAAGCTCGCTTCGTGCTAGGAAAAGACGCGTTTTGCTCTGGTATGTCGGGTCCACTTGGCGCACAAAAATGCCTAAAGCCGCATTCGTAACAGTCACTTCCTACAGTGTCGCAAAATTACGCCGTAATGGCACCGCATCTAGTTGGTGAACCGACATTTACTACTATATCTTCCGAACATGAAGCCATTTCAAAACTGCTTGATGGTCAAAATATCAAGGGGAAAAGGCTCAAGAGTGTATGAATTCGGCCGGTATGTGCAGAAGGTGTAAAATTGTCTAAAGACAGCATCTAATTGTAGGTCGACGACGTTCGTAGGCGTTGTTCGCTCTGTTCTGTTTAAGACGACGCATAACATTCGTAAAAGGGCCACAAAGCCACGCTTCGCTTAGTGATGAAGCTTTCGTGGGCGACGGACACCGCAGCCTCCGCCACCGTGGCCAGGGGAGAACAACAGACACCACAAGTTGACGATCCACCCGCAAGGGGAGTGAACTGGAGGTCGAGGAGCCTGCTGTTGTTTCAGCTACTCGATCTCTTTCGACGGGGTCTCAGCCGAAGGCGTCTCACCAGATTTGTATTTGATATGCGATGAAACTAGAGTTTTCAGTAATATTGATTATCTGGCAAGAGAGCAAATTGTGTAGCGAAAGCTATGAGTCTCGCTCCAGGTCTGATCGATTCAAGTGGATACAGTAAGAGCAAATGGACGAAGGAGCGCTCATAATAAAACGAGTAATTATTAATTATTAAAATTAAAAGTTTGTCCATTCCAGCCGATTTCATACACCTTTGGACATTTTCCCACAAAGTAATAACGGTAATTTACGTGTATCACTTAAGTACGAAAGTGTGCGCTTCACCAATAACCTGAAGCGACAAGCTATGAGCGAAAGCAAGCACCAAGAAGACTCCCTGCGCTCACGACCAACGGTGGACGTCACGGCCGTGGACATCTCACCCAACCCGGCCGCACTCACAGATGAGCTGAACCTGGAAGTGGATTTCCACTTGGACGTGCCTGTCACCAACGGCGTCTGGGACATTGAGGTGAGTGCGATTGCAGTATCTTTATACCTTGCAACAGAAGCTGATATTTGCATTGGGTTTTACATAACAGTATCTGGTGGACTCTGTCACCAAGCGACACATTATCAATATCCTTTCCACTTTATCATTTCTTCTGCAACATTGCGATGATGTATACCAAGCAAGCTGTTCCCTTAACCAAAACTGAATTTTTCGATTATTGTTATTCACAACTGGGTCAAGTGGAGGCAACAAACTACGCCCGGGGTGACAATCATTTCCAGTTTTCGGTTCGTTCTGCAGCGAAAAACTTTCGAATTTTGTTTATAATTGTTGTAATTCTGACTGCCTAAATGGAAAACAGACCTCGCAAATCAACATTTCCGGAATTCAACCGAGTCAACTGACCAACTGTGGTCTGCTGATTGCGGCGTTCAAGGGCGAGAGTGGAGATATTCTTGATCTCAAGATGGTCATTCAAGTCTCGGAACAACGTGGAGGACTGCAAAGAATCATCTACAGCCCGCTGGAATGAGAAGCATCGCTAACTCAAAGTGATATAGCACTTGCCACCAACACTGGCAAAGTGGCATGATACAGAAAATCTGCTTTCTGCTACTTAGATTTTTATTATTGCATCTTACTATTAGGCGCTAGTTGTGCGAAATACTGTGGAGTGAACTTGACGCACGCCGTTGAGCACCTCGATACTTTTTGTCGCCTGCAAGTAAAATCATTAAGCAACAGAGTGAGATTGAGTTTACAGCGCCGAATAAAGTGAAAAATGGACCACCTGCTCGTCTACGACGCGTTTCGTCCTTCCAAGTGCTCGAGTGAGCTTCCGGATCTCCTGCAAGTGTCGCTCTTGCTGTTCCTTTGCCCAGACGAATAGTTCATATTTTTCTTTTTGAATTGCTGCCACCTTTTGAACAAGAAGATCTACTTCCTGGTTGTAGGCATCTCGATCGTCCTAATTGCCATGAAAAATTAGCCTTCAATTATGAGTATGTTGTAAGAACAGGTAGTCAGAGTGAAGAATTACCTTGATAATTTTGGCGAATATTTCTCGGTCGACTTGGAAGCGAATCTCTTCCTGCTCAGCATAGAGTAGTGGCATTGGTATCCCCTCAAAAACAAATAATGTTGAGAGAGTAATTCACCTGTGCCATCTTGGCTCTTTCGGCGCGAAGCTTTTCTTCACTTGTCTTGACTTTTTTCTTGAATGCATGGCGCTCTGCTTTTGCCTAGATTACAAAGTAGTTGCAATATTCACTTTACAAACACTTGACTGTTATTTTTCTCACTAGACTTACTTTCTCTAGAATTGCTTGCAGTACGCGGACATCTTGACCAAGCTACAGATGAAACAAATAACAACACGTCAGCGCACAGGGCACAATATCACAGCAAAGGGAAGAAATCTACCTTTTCTCTCGATGTGTTAGCTACATAGTTCATCGCTTCCATCTTAGCATCCTGTTTCCAGCGTTAGTCGCAATTCTCAGCGTGAAATCTACGATACGCTAGTACCCACCTGTGCTTTCTTCAGTAGATTGTCGATTTGTTGGATCTCCTTTTCATCCACGACCAGTTTCCTGTATCGGACCAAATACAACTTCAGCCATTATTACACAGATATGGTCATCTGCGCGTATACCCACAAGCCAGGTTTCTCCCCACGGCCTCCTCTTTCCAGCGCTTTGATTTTCTTTTTGAGAAGGGCATTCTCTGCCCGGAGTAAAACTAGCTCGTCCTCGTCACCAATATTTTCTAACAAAGCACCTTTAGTCACAGAATACTATATAATACCCAATCACTCAGAACCAGAACGTACGAATTGACTGCTCAATGTGCGATGACATCGGGCCACTTGGATCCGTGTCGTTCCTTTGTACCTCCTCATCCACCTCAGTGTCCTCCATCCTGCTACTTGCTCGTGTCTTACTAGCTAAATAAATCGGCGTCCGTTCCAGATTTATCAACAAATTTGTTGCTACATTAGATATTAGATATTTGTAAATCTAATCTTCATACTCAATTCTTCTCACTATCGGTGGTAAATTGTTCGATGCTTTCTGCCCTTCAGATGCCCCAGGATTTGCAGCAAGAAGTGTCTTCGCATACTTGGCTCGACGCTCTGGCGTCATATAGTTCAAAGCCTCGGAGCTGGTATCATTTCGCTGCTGCTTCTCGACTTCTTCGCGTTCCTCCTGCTCGTTCGACTCAATCGCCTCTAACGCAGTGGTGACCAAAACTTCTTCAAGTTTTCGGCAAGTTACTTTCACTTTCCTCTTGACAAATCTAGCAAGCGTTTCCGGCAAGAACAGTGGACAATGTGTGACGTCCATTTCTTCCAGTAGTCGGCATCCTTCTAGCAAGGCAATCAGCGTTCGTTCACTCAGTTTCTTACATGCTGACACGTTTAAACGGCGAAGCACGGCGGACTGTCCTGCGATTTCGAGCATCCCGTCGTCCGTGATTCGAACGCACCGCGATAAGTTTAGTTCTTCCAGACTCAAATGCTTGGCGATAGCACGCAACACGTTGTCCGTTAACTCACGGCAAAACGCCAGCTCTAACTTGACAATCTTGGCACAAGAATTGACGATATCAATGATGTTGGTGTCGCTCAAATGTGTGCATCCAGACAAGCTCAGTGACACGAGAGATTGACAACGCAGCACCACTTTATAGATCCCAGTAGCTGTCAAGCTAGGACAATAGCTAACATCTAAATGTTTCAAATGTGTGCCTCCAACCGAGTGATCCAACATATCGTCCAGAAGCCACACAAGTCCTTGATCGGTTAACTCTGTGCACGCCGAAAGGTTTAACGACTCTAGCGTTTTAGCTCGATGACCCAAATGGCCAAGAGATAAATCGTTTAAACCAGTGCAACCGGTAAGATCGAGCGATTTCATCTTGAGGAGTAGATTTTTATCCACAACACCGCGACCATCTCCTTCTTGGTCGAATACGAAGATTTTATACGATAACGCACTTAACTCCTCAACGTTTAGAGTATCGAGCTCTAAGCAGTTGTGAGTAAAGGTTCGGATAGAGAAATCAGTCATCCTGTCGCAAAGACGAAGATTCACTTTCTGCAGTCCAGTACACACTTTTAGGATTTCTAACAATCCTTCGTCTCCAATACGTCGGCATCCACCGACATTTAATTTTCTCAATTTTGTCGGATTTTTCAGCATTGTTGCCAGATATTTCAGCGCGCTATTACCGAGTTGAACACAGAGTTCGACCTCCAATGATGTTAATCCAGGACAGGATTTGCCAATAGTGAGAAAGCATCGATCGGTTATTCTTTCACAAAAACTAAGTGATAACTCCTCCAGCCTTGGGTTTGTACGGACGATCGCTTCTACTCCAACGTCTCGAATCTGAGAGCAATGAATCATCTTTAAACGAATTAGTCGATTGCAATATTTCCCCACTGCCGCTAGTCCCAGATCAGTGATCAATGTGCAGTACGAAATATCCAGCTCTTCAAGCTGCGAACAGCAGAACGCTATCCTCCGCATAGTAGCATCGGATAACTGAGAGCAGCGAGCAAGGTGGAAACCAGTGCAGAATCTGTTGTTCTTTGTGATAGTATCCATGTCCTCCTCAGAAATATCCAGCACGTCTTTGAGATCAATAATACGAACATCTTCACCCGACTCCAACGATAATACAAAGTAGATTACGGCCTTGGGATTCTGTAAATCGCGCAGCCACACCATGTTCGTCAGTTGATCTCCGTAAAATGTTGGAAACTCTACCAGCACTTTGCAGATAATATCTGCAAATGTCGCCACTATTTCGTCCTCGTCATCGGTGTGATCGTACCAGCTCATGATATTTACCAGTGAATCCGCTGATCGTGACCCCAAGAAGAAAGCAAACGGCATGCGCGCAAGCTCTCGAAGTGGCAGTCGACACAGCTCCGACTCAGTCGCTTGGAAATAATCCGACTGGATTTTCAGAATATTGTGATAACAAAGCAAGAAAAGATCACTGAAAATCGGCTCTCGAGGCAGATTCTTCATCACTTCAGCAATACCATGTGCGTTTTCCGTCGCAATGAACGGCTTGAGTCCGCACCGAACCTTCTTCTTATAGGTCTCCCGCGCGTGTTGATGATCCACGTCGTATTTTAGTGAAGCACAAATATTTTCCGCAAATTTCTCCAGCATCCGCTTATCATCCGGTGCGTACTCAAGAGCTCGTGAGAATCGACTAGACGCTAACGCAAATAAGTGATCGGATTCATGAGCACGATCACGAGTTCCCATTACGTAGTGAGCGTTTATTTGATCGCGAGTCAGAATTTTGCCATTGTAATAGGCAACATGAGCGATATTTCCGTGAAAAAAGTACTTCCCATCTTTTCGTCGGACTGAGGACAAACATCCAATCCGCAGCTGACGCGTTTCTTGGTTAGATTGTTCGTCAAGCTCTCGTTGGATTTTCACATTTACTCGTTCTCTCATTTCCTTAAACTCTGCGGCGAGGATCATCCACTTAGCATCAAACTTCTCTCGGGTAATTTGCTTCTTCGCCACGGGTTCAAAGTCTGCCCGCGACACTTTGGAGGCATCTTTCTTTACTGCACTATCATTTTTCTTTGGCGAGTTGCCATCCTCTCCAGTTGCAACATTTCGAGACAATCTAACACGAAACTCGTGCTCATCAAAGAGCTTCGTACTGATCGCTTTGATCTGTTTTCTACCTTCTTTAGAGGCGAAGAACTGCTTGGTTTCGTGGTCGATTTCTTTGAAACACGCGCCTTTCGCTTCGTCTTCCAGATCCGCGATATCTTCCCGCGTTTTTGCCATAATCGCTTCTCGTTTTTGGATTTCCAAGTCGACGACATTCTCCACTTCCACTTCATTTTGTAGTAATCCATCCACGTAAAAGCGCAGTATAGTCCCGTCGTACGTTCCGACCAAATGAGTCCACTTTCCGATGATAACTTGAGATCCAAACGCCAAAATATCAATACTGTTCACGTTGATACTAAACGCCCATACGTTCGCTTTCAATGCACTGATACAAAAGCGTCCAAGTGTCAATACTACCCTCCTTGTACTCTCATGACCATCACATCGACACCACGTCTCTAATGACGCGTGAGAATCGACATTTTCCGGATAAAATCTCTTGTCGTATGGGAATTGAACACAACTACGCGAAGCCTTCCGAAGGACTAGAGATCGATTCATATCTGCGTTCATGATCGGTCCTTCACCTTCAAGAGTGCAACCAGGCATATATTTGCCTTGAAATCCATCGTAACAGCCGAGATTTGCTGCTTCTAATGTCCCTCGTCGGTCACACAGCGGCCAATATCCACTTGGTTCGTCCGATACAACGAGCTGTTTGTATGATGTGGCCTGCTTAACTGTCGCTTGAAGCAGCAGCAGAGACGCCATAGAAAAATACAGCATCGACACGTTGTGTTTTACGCGGTAATAATCGCCAGAAGGTACTAAATCGTCCAATACGAACGTGTAACAATCTGGAAATTGTGCCACACGCTCCAAACACAGCGGAGTGATTGGAATAGCCATCATGCCCGTCACCCTACGAACGATATACTCGAGTACAGGAAGGAGATTCCTGCGTAAATTTTGCTTGTCAACTTCCGACACTGCTCTCAAACCAAATCGAGCACGGATTCCCTCGAAAATATGGGTTTTCCACAGAGTTTCGCTTCCTCTTCGACTGCCACTTAATAGATTTAGTGACTGCATCAAAATTTGCTTATGGAGCATTGGTGTTAACCCAGTTGAGCTGGTTTTAGCAGCTTGCCGCATGAAGTGACGTACGATGTTCTTAAAAGTTCGTGCCACCATTTCTGCAAGTAAAAAACGCCGTATGGTGAAAGATTTTTCTTTACACTCCAGTCGACCCTTATATACCATAACATTCTGCATAGAATCTCCCATGTGAGGACTAGTAAGTGTTATACACGTCGCGTCAAAGCGATGGCTGCAATCTCGACTGACAGTACTGATTTTCCCGTTAATATACACCTGCGATCCTCGTTCCAATTCTCGTGTAAAGTCTTGGGAAGTTTGAATCTCAGCAGTGGAATACTGTAGCGTGGCAGTTCCTGACAACTGGAATAAAAACTGAGCACGCAGAAGACCAAGATGCCGCATATTAATACCGTGTCTGTGCATTTCCTTCACTAAATCGAACTCGGGGGAATCGAAATAGTCCGATTTTTGTGATAACTTGACTGCGAACAATGGGATAACCTCTTTAACCAGATATTTCGTAGCTTCTTCGACGCCAAGCGCTTGTGTTTGCCAATCCGGTGTGCGGTAAGTTAATGATGATAATGCATCAGGAGATAGAGGGATCTTGAAGCATTTTACAAGTTCTGGACGCAGTTGACGCCATAGTATACTCATACCTCGAGTGGACTGCAACAAGTGACGTGTAATATCTGGATCTTCGGGTGGCATTGCCCTCGAAAAATTCAGGACAACGAGCTGCTTTTTTGAGCTGAGGTAACCGAGTATATCAGCCGCTGCGTTTATACTCTTGGACGTGAGATCTTCATAGCCTCTAGCACTGTGACGATTTAGATTGAGTCGACTAGCGACGCTGGATAAAGCTTCGTCGAGTTCTTTGTTCTGGAAAGTCACGGTTCTACCGCGATTGTCACTCCCGTGAACAAGCTGCTTCGACACGCGTTGGATGTCTCCAGATTCGTTCCACGTGATGATTTCAACCGGAATTTTAGATGAACAAAGCACGCGGAATCCCTGAAAATCCACAGTACATTGCAGCGGAACACGGATTTTACCATAACTGCTAAGTTCTCGAAGATAAATAGAAGAGTTCCTGACTTCGTGACCACCAGCCTTTGCTGCATATTCGTGGGAATTCTCAAAGCGTCCGTGGTCATCTGTGCAGATTTTGAAGAGAATATCGTGCGCTTCGTATTTTATTCGAGAAGTGCTACGGATATTATCTTTTCGACCATCTATGACAGATTCTCTGGTTGGAAGAATGGATTTTTCTCGAAGTGGTAAGTAAAATTCTCGTACCAGCACTAAGGCGATTGCACTTGCAGTTTCAATAAAATCCTGACAAATGTGCAGGATTTCCGTGTATTTGGCTTGGATCTGGTCCGAGTCAGCTTCATTAAGACCGAGAGCATTCTGGAACCGTTCACTCCATCTTGTACGATGTGTTGGTAAAACAGGGTACGTTTTACTAACTCGTAGTTGATTACTCTCCGTCTCCAACAGCGACAACTCCGCTACTTTCCAAGCTTTCATGGCCTCAACAAGTTGATTGTGTGCTTCTAGTGCTTTTTTGCGTCGCTGGTCCAGTACATGCCTCTCTTTTTGTAAGAATAAACTACTAGGATCAATACGCTGTTGGTCTTCTCTTTCATCCGAGTTTTCGTTATTTTCGATCTCACTTTTGTATCCCATGCGAATTAATTTTTTAGCCATCGTTAGAGAATTTTCATTAGCAATTTTCTGGCACTCAGCAGTGACCATTTGAGTCAAAATTTTCTCGTTTTCCTCTTGAATTGTGTTCAATAATTGCTGTGTCAAGCCAAATTCCAAATCGGTTTCTGCAATGTTTACCAGAGCAGCAGCGAGTTGCGTAGAGCCTCTAATTATACGGAAATGACCATACAAATCTGTCTCCATGGCTTCCACGTCATAGGATCCATCACGGCGGCGAAATGCAGTTGCGTAGTCGCAAATATGACGTTTTGATGGTAGTTCTTGTAGAAATTCTGCTAGCTTAAAATCCGTCATTCCGTCACAAATCTGTTTAAGTCGATCCCGTAATTTACTTAACGGAGGATCTGGAAACGCCAGAGTCATCTGTAGTGTTAATTCATCAATTGTAAACCCTGTAGAATACAACTCAGGCGGAAATCGACCGTGCAACATGTTCTCTTTCCTCGCTTTCGTTCGAAATTCTCGAGCTGCAGAAGTTTCTTTATCGACAAAATGCTTTTCGATTTCTTCACTTGTATCAGTCTCTGGAACTTCAGGAGGTAAACCACTGGATCCTTCTCGTTTGCGTTTCTTCGTTTCAGCCTTCTGACGTGCAAGTTCTTCATTTCCAGCGATAGTTTCCAGCATATTCCCCACTGACGGTGATTCTTGCTTCGCGTGGACCAATTGAGCGACCAATCCTTTAGCAATTTCAGGCTTAAGATACTCCATCTCTGTGTGTGGTAGCTGTAGCGACTCAGTGTGTTTTAGATATCCGAGCTCTTCTTCCATTTCTCGGAACCGGTTTTCCACCTCTTTTTGCGCTATTTGAACGGCTTCTTCCACCATAAGGGCGAGAATTTGTTCCCGGCTGAAATTATTCCCTTTTGTGCGTAATTTCACCTGCTTCATGCGAATTTTAGCTTCAAGTTTCATTTTATCCACACTATGTGCAGGTTTGGCGGCTCGATCACTCCATTCCTTCTCTATTTTCTGGCGAGATTCTTCTAAAGCAAGCCCTCGAGCGTGGTAAAAAGCCTGCTTCTCGGCTGCCAATCGAGCCACTTGTCTGCCTTTTTTGGCACGCCAAGTAGCCTGAAGTTTGACTGCTGAGCGTAATATTACTTCCATGCGGTAATGTAATAAATTGCGATATCCTCCATGATCCAAAGGCACCACATTGGATAATAACTTGCTTCGGCGCTTTGGGAGATATTTGGAATAATCCGTTTTCAGCGGATCATTTTCCCCCATTGCTAACGCTCGTTCATGGATAATTGCCTTCTTCCAACAAGATAATTCCTCGCGCGGTTGAGTCATTTGTCGAGCGACTGTGTATTTCAAGTCGTTGACGTTGATTAATCCGAGTCTGTACTGTTGGATTGGACTCATATGCTGGATCACAAACCGACTTAACTGCTGGTATTTCCATGACAGTCCAAGTAATCCGCATAGATATTTGGAGCTCTCTATCGTCTCGATGCAGTAGTTGTTGAATTCGTGTAGTGTCATGCCAGGAATCGTCTTTATTTCACTCGCATTGGTCTCAGAATTCAAGCTGTTTAACTTCAAGAACTCTCGTTCCACGAATTCCTTAATATATTCTCGAGTCAAAATCCGCGGGAGGTGGATATCTCCAATACGTGAGAGAACACTAAAGACGATACGGATAATTTCCGCTAAAGATTGGAGGGACAGCAAGCGAATGGAACTTGCACCAAAATTCCTACTTTCTTGAGCAAAAATGTCGAAGAGAAACTTGATCTTGTCAGCCACTGAACAGCTCCCAGCTCCTACTAGCATAGCGATAGCAAGGTCCACTAATTGGAAGGTAAAATCCTCTCCTTTGCCTGAAACGATCGCTGGATTTCCAGAATTTAGAGCCTTGAACAGAGGAACGAATAATTGTTCCTTATCAAACACTTCTTGAGCACGAGTAAATAGGAATTGTTCGTTCTCGTGGAGACGGCAAACACGCTCCAGTTCATTCTCCCGGTTCTTAATTTGATCTTCCGCAAACAAAACTTGAGATCGGAGCTTTGCTTCTTGACCAGGAGCTCGCAGTTTCGACGTCGTAAGCGCCGCATATTCCTCCTGAGCCGATGCCAGAGCACCTTTTGCTGCATTAACCTCTCGTGCGTACCGTTCCAGTTCTTCTCCATGGAACATTAACCTCGTATCTCCCAGCGGACGATCGACGCAACGTACGGCAGCAACTTGTTCAAGAAATTTCGCACATTCTTGCTCTGCTGCTTTCATTCTTGCGTCGATATTCTGCTTTTGTCGAGTTAACTCTGCATCTTCGAAGACCTCCTGTCCCCTTGTCTTCTCATCTTGCGCCTCCTGTGTTCGAAAGAAAACATCGTTTGGATCCAGCTCCTTCTTCGCGCGTTCAAACTCCGCTTGGCGCTTTGCCCAGTGTTTCTCTCGCTTTACTTTTAGGTCGTTCTCTTTCTGTGTCAATATCTGTAGTTTTCCTTTCTCAGACGCAAGAGTTGACGCGAGTTTATCTTTCTGATACTGGATTTTCATTTCAAAGATGGAATCCTCTTTTGTTGTCGACGCATTGTCGCTTTCCAAAGCTTCGTCCACTCGGTTCTTCTGCTTCTCGTACGAGTATCCGAAGAAGATGGGACTTCGTGTCGATGAGTCGAACAAGTCAGGAACTGAGCGCTTAATAACTCGAGGTTTCTTCAGCATTGCTTCAACCTTAGCACGGCCATCGAGAGGCATCTGGTCGATGGCATGTTCAGCTAAATTCTCCTCATTTAGTGGCTGTTTTTCGACGTCTTCATCTGGTATCGACGCTACTGGATGGACGGGCTCTTCTTCTTCACTGTCGCTGTCTTCCACTTCGTTACCATCTGCGTCTTCTTCCTCATTATCCAGATTTTTTGAATTTTTTTCAGCATTTTCAACCTCGTCCAGCTCACTTTTGTCATCCTGTTCACCTTCTTCTTCGTCTTCTTTGTCTTCGGTCTCGCTATCGTCGCCACTCGCTGCTGAACTACTCGCACTATCGTCGGTGTGACCATCAATCTCGTGCTTTGCAGGAGGTGGCAATAGGATATCACCTTTGTTGTATTCATCGAGCGCCGACTTCGCTTGATTTTCACGTTGCATGGCAAAACCTGAGCATGCTGGATGCCACTCAGCACTGGACTGACTGCTGGATCGCACAGTTTCCTGGAAATGAACATGAGTCACAGCTTTGATAAACAACGGCCACTGCACAATTTGTCGGAGCTCAACACCCTCTATAGAGCCAAGAAGATGCAGCTTCAGCTCGCGCAGAGCCAGCGCCTTCTCCCGTAATTCACGCTCAAACTTCTGTTTCCTAGCTAAAAATTCTTCTTCAGGTGCAGGTGAGTCGTCTTCTATTGCTTCCTCCATCTCTAAATCCTCTCCAAACTGCTCTCTACTCGGAAATTCGGAATCATTTTTCTCCACGTTAACACTTTCAATTTCTACTTCTAGTTGTTCTAAAAGGTTCTCCAGAACAGCAACTTCCTTCGAAAGCCGATCGACTGTTTGGTGCAACTCTGAGGTATCCGAAAGTGTTGATCCACTGGTGCCACTGCCTTCTGTCTGCTTTTTCTTCACTTTGACTAGGTCCGTGTACCAACGCAGGAATTCTGTCAGTCGGACGAGATCCCAATGCCGACAATACGCAAACATTTGCGAGCGATTGGCGACGTCGACGCTGGTGCGTCGTACACTGGCGACGGAGCTGTTGATTGGAATTAATTGGTTTTCGAGCAAAACTCCATTGTCGCTTTGAAGAGCGTCCTGTTCCAGATACTTCGACACTTCGGCGCCCATTGCTTACGACAAAAAGATACGAAATTCCCTGGACAGCATACAGCAGATAGCACACTCAACGAAGATGGAGCAATGAATTCTCCTTGAACGGGATGCAGAGGACTCGATGCCGAAAGATGATCGCGTATTTGTCCACGTCCTTTCGGCGGATACTTTCGACACATATTTCTACTTTTAAGTTTTTTTAAAACTTAAAAGTAGAAATATGTGTCGACCACCGAAAGCATCCATGTAACAGCCCACATGCCGTTTACTGGAGCACTATGAAGGAGGCGTTAGTGAACAATAAAAGTTGGTACACAAGTGCACATGCACTGACAGTACAATATTGTCAAAGGACTAGTCTTATAACAGTTGATTAGCGGCGAATTTATGCTAATAGAGTGGAACTTGTGCGAGCTGTTGTGGTCCACTATCAAGCGAAAAGAAGTAGAGGGCCTCATCGACCGCCTCAGCTTGCTTTGATCTTTCGAATCAAGTATCATAGTGCCTTGTAATAGAAAGGTCGGGATATGTTGTTCTTAAACCTGCCGTACAAATTAGCCGAAAACTGCGGGTTGTTACAGGCAAAGTTTAAAAGCTTTGCCAAAACTGGGTAGTCAATAAACTTTGCCAAAATTGGGTACAGAAAATGTTTACCAAAATTGGATACTGATTAAACTTTATCGAGGTTTTCACGCTAAAAATAATAAATTTGAAAATTTATGGCTACGCATAACTCGAGCTATCATAATACTCGCTGGTCTTAATTAATGCTGCGTAATTTACGCATGTGCGCCTCTACATGTTCATAAGTATTACAGTAATTTGCCTAAGTAGCGAACTTATGTATTTTTTTAAACCTTTAAGAAGATGTCTTTACTGTACACTTTGATACTGTAAATAATAATACCGAAATCATTGCTCGCGTTCGTAGATTATTCTGTCGAGTTGTTGTTGATACCACGCGAAAGATCGGCGGAAAAGCGCTGTCGTCCAGCGAATACCAGGTACCGTATTAATAGCGTACCATAATCGACTGGCAGCGTTAATGAGCACATCGCTTGAATCTTCTTATCGCCGGGGTACCCGGTGCCTGCTTGTCATTTCGTATTTCCTTCGGTTGGCCACACTCGATTCCTCGGAAAGATGTCCTCAATTCGCGCTCTTCTACTTGTGGCTGCCACTGCAGTCATCGGATCTACTGCTACTGAAGCCGCGGAAAGCTCCAAGTTGCCTGTCTTCTTCTTCCACGGTGCTACCGGCAACAAGACGAACGCTGCTGTGATCGAGGCCAACTTAACTGCTGAAGGTCGTACCTACGTCGCTCTCGACTTCTGTCAGAAGGCTTGTTCGGTTCGCACCGCCCTCCCAGACCAAGTTCAGATGGCAATCAAGCAGCTTCGTGAAATCATCTCTAAGGATACAACCACCTATGCCAACGGCTATCATTTCCTCGCTCACTCGCAAGGCGGTTCGGTTGCGCGTGGTGTAGTCGAAGAAATGGACGACCACAATGTGCACTCGCTCATCAGCCTGGCTGGTGATGGTAACGGCAATTACTACGGTCCGCAGGCGTCGGAGGCAATGCCTCTTCAAATAATGCTGCAGGCTCTTGGTCCCTACGCTTTCGATGCAACAGACTTCAACTTTACCAAGTACGCAGCAGACCCGACCACGTGGAAGGGTAAGTTCCAGCGGGACTTCACTGAGCTGGTGACAACGAACGAGAACCTCCAGGCCAAAAACTCCATTGTGAACAGCTTCCTCCCTCCGCTTGAGGGTCCTGCTCTCGAGAATTGGCTCAAAATCAACCCGTTCCTACCGAAAGTGAACAACCTCGAGAATTGCGGTGCTGACGCTGTGTGTACGGCTGAGCAAGCCCGACGCAAGGCCAACTTTATCAAGCTTAAAGCCGCTCACTTCTTTGTGTCACCGCAAGATGATATTCAGTCACCGTGGCAAACTGCCGTTCTTGGCAAGTACACGACGGTCGCTACGCTTGGTGAGGTTGAGACCAAGTTTGCCGACTTTACTATGGTCGACATGAAGGACACTGCAGAGTACCAAAAGGATCTGTACGGGCTGAAGACACTGGACGCTGCTGGCGGCCTGCACCTTCATGTGGTGCCTGACGTGCCGCACATTTGCTGGCTGTTCGACTACACCTCGTTGGCGACGAACGTCCTGTGCAAGCATCAGCCGGTGTACGACGCTGAGCTGTACCCGGTGTTGGTTTAATCGAATGATGAATTACCCAGGGCTTAGAATATTCACGTACGTATCAAACATTATCGAAGTGGTGTGATGTTGCTCGACTTGCAGACAATTTTGGTGATATCCTTTGGCGCAGAAATAATATATCGATACCTATTCGATGATCAGATAGCAACAGCCATTCGATGCCATTCCCGACGCTACAGTACTCGCGGACACTTACAGTATTCGTACAACAGCAAATTACGAATCTTAGGTGGCCAGGACGTTTGTGGCGGAAGCCAATGCCAACAAGTTGTTGGCAACAACCGACCGCAAGTGTTTTTTTTCTCGCGGTTTGCCGTTGGGATCACGGTGCTATGATTTGCTCCGTGTGATTCACGGAACAAATCGATGCAGCATACAAACGTATCGATGAAGGAAGATCGTATGTTCCGATGTGCTGGTTGATTCTCTGAAGAGTGTCATCGAGCCGGACCAGCGAGTATCCTTGTTTGTTTAAGCCTGATCTCGTTTCGAGGCTCGAATCGTTCGAGTCGAACGTAACCTTTAAGTCAAGAAGACGATCGTATCCGGGATGGCAAGTTGCCACTGGCAACGAGTTTTGTTGTTCGACTCGAACAATATTTTGGACTCTCCACCGCGTTGTTATTGATGGCGAGCCGCGAGGACACGCCGGTTGTCTACAAGCTGTCCCGTTCGAGTTGTGGATCCAGCTGGAGATGGAATTTCAGGATTGGAACGTGTTGCCGACGCGACAAGAAACCGGCAAAGAACTTACATGAATGGCTCAAGCCTCGAAGCCGAAAGCATAGCGAAAACATAGCTGCACGACTGCTGGGACAGTCTCGGCAGGAAATCCTCAGGTTGCAGCTGGCACCGTACATGCCAATGCGTGCAAGTCCAGCATCTTCGGTGGGAGGGTGCAGCTAGATCATGCCATTCCTCGATTTCGACGGCAGACCCCACTCCACCGTTCCGAACCATGTTCTCTGTTCGTGCTCTCCTTATCGCTGCTACGGCTGTACTCGTCGGCTCCGCTACTGCCAACGAGGCCGCGGGGGCTGCCAAGCTGCCGGTCTTCTTCTTCCACGGCGCCACGGGCAACACTACCAATGGTGCCGTGATTGAGGCCAACCTGACGGCCGAAGGACGCACCTACACCGCACTCAACTTCTGCTCTAACGAGTGCTCCGTCCGTACCGCTCTGTCCGAGCAGGTGCAGATGGCCATCAAGCAAGTGCGTGAGATCATCGCCAAGGATACTGCCGCCTACGCCAACGGTTACCACTTCTTGGCTCATTCGCAAGGTGGGTCGGTCGCTCGTGGCGTCATCGAGGAAATGGACGACCACAATGTTCACTCGTTTATCAGCATGGCTGGTGATGGTAATGGCAATTTCTTCGGCCCTCAGGCTTCGGATGCAGTTCCTCTTCAGGTTCTGCTGCAGGCGTTGGGCCCGTATGCCATCGACAAGGCCGATTTCGACTTCGCCAAGTACGAGGCTGATTCCACTACCTGGAAGGGTAAATTCCAGCGCGACCTGGTGGAGCTGGTGACCACGAACGAGGCTCTTCAAGGCAAGAGCTCGATCGCCAATATCGTCACGCCTCCTCTGGACAAGGCTGCGTTGACCAACTGGCTGAGCATCAACCCGTTCCTCCCCAAGATGAACAACCTGCAGGACTGTGGCACCGATGCTACTTGCACGGCCGACCAGAAGCGTCGTAAGGAGAACTTCGTGAAGCTCAAAGCAGCTCACTTCTTCGCTTCGCCTCAAGATGATATCCAGGCACCGTGGCAGAGCTGTGTGCTGGGCAAGTACACGACGGTCGCTACGCTTGATGAAGTTGAGACCAAGTTCGCTGACCTCACCATCGTCGGTATGAAGGATACTGTCGAGTACACGGACGATTTGTACGGTCTGAAGACCTTGGACACTGCCGGTGGCCTCCACATTCATGAGGTGGCCGATGTGCCGCACAACTGCTGGCTGTTCGACTACACCTCGCTCGCAACGGATGTGGCTTGCAAGCACGCCCCCGTGTACGATGCTGAGATCTACCCTCTGCTTGTGTAAGGCTGCAGTGTGGAAGCCATGTTCTAAACCTATAAAGCGCAAATTGTTCCAGTATAAATTCTGTAGTCGAGGCTTCTGGAATCAAGATCGTGTATCGGTCATTGATGATAAATCTCTTTTTTTAGCAGATCGTATCGACACCCAAGTAAAAGCTGAATGACCTTCAGAAAGTTTGCAACGACGGAATAGAATCTCTCTGAATAAATGACGGATAGATGGATAGGTCAAATCATCTGACACTTTTTTTAAACTATTAGTCCAAATTTGACCTTCATGTACAGTAGCTGGAAAGCTATCCTGGGGTGCTGATGCTTGCCCCATAACACGAGCTCGGGTCGCTGAGTCCACATGCTGACATTGTGTGCATGCGGACCCAGCGACCAGGACAAAAAAAAATTTTAAAAAAAAATACTAGTATCGGACAAGGATTCCAATCACTTAGGCCCTGGTCTAAGTAGAAATTCCGAAACTCGTTCCAAGAAATTCTGCTTGGTCATTGGCTGAAAATAGAAACAGATTTCGGAACGCGTTCTCAAATTTTACTGTTCAGTATGGCGTTCTCAGAATACCTCCGCTACCTATTCCGAAGTGGGAACGAGTTCGGCGTCTCTACCGATGTATACCCGTGCCGACTTTAGGAATAGCTCATTTTGCTGTGTGCCTCCGGTAGACCTCAGCACTAATCCCCTGTCAAGTCACGTCGCTTCGTAATGGGCACCAAGGCAAAACTCGCCGTTCTCTGCATGTTGCAGTGCGTTTGTGCAACTGTGTCCGCTCTGTGTAGCGATCGTCGTCGTCTCGGTGGAGAGACCCGTTCCAGTGTCAATACGTTTGCAGCTACAGCTTTTGAGAGAGCAATGCAGACTAAGAAAACAAAATGGTTTCACTCGAAGATGCGTTGTGACAAGCGAACATTTCTTGCGGTTGTAGCTCTTGTCAGGCTCAACTGGAGAGACCGTATCCATCACAATGTCAAGTTTGACATCACCAAACGCGTTGCCGTGACCATGATCTATCTATCTACCGGTGGAACGATTGATAGTGCTGCTACTGTCATGGGGATGTCAAAAACCAGTGCTGTTGTATACATTTGCCAAGTGCTGTCGGTTCTAACGAGAATGGCGAAGGAAGAAATCACAATGCCCAACACACAGACCGAAATCGAGAGAGTTACAGATCGATTTGAGCGAATCGCAGGCTTTCCTGGCGTCATTGGTGCAGTGGATGGCTCCTTGATGCGAATTAGCCGACCTGCGGAGCACGAAGGCTGGTATTGTAGAAAAAATTTCCCTGCTGTCAATATGCAGGCCGTAGTGGATCATGAGACTCGATTTCGTTCTTATTGTATTCGGGCTGGGTCTATCAACGATCAAGCTTTGTGGAATCAGTCGGGTCTGCGCAATAAAGTTTCTGTGCCTAGTGGAATGCATCTTCTTGGCGATGCTGGATACAAGATATTTCGGCATCTTCTAACTCCTTTTGACGAAAAAGAAGCTTCGTACAGTGCTCAGAAGCGGCGCTACAACTACAAGCTATCCCAGACCCGAATTACTGTCGAACGAGCATTTGGCATCCTCAAGAATCGCTACCGCATACTTCTGGGCAAGATATCCCAAAAATCCCCAGCTCGTGTCACGAATGTTATTGTAAGCTGCTTAGTTTTACACAATTTGATGATTGGTCTTAAAGACAGCTACACTGTGGTAGGAGAGGACCCCGATCGAGCTCCACCAAGTATGTTGTCCTCTCTTTCTGGAGAAGATGAATTGAGCCATGAGCAGGGTCTAGCGAAATAGAAAGATATTATGGAGTATCTTGGTAGTTTTTAGGTAGTATGCAATTTACAGTTACATTTCCAATGTGTATCTTCAATGTGTATCTTCAATGTGTATCTTCAATGTGTATCTTCAATGTGTATCCTCAATGACCTACTATCATTTAATGCAATGTAGAACGCTAGGCTGAAGCTAAAGCCATTCCTCGACTACAATTTAATTTGGTGGGGCCATCTTGGAGACAAGATGTTCAAGCAGTGTCAACTGGCGCGCCTGTAAATCGCGGGCGGCTTCTTGAGCGGCCCGGAGATCATGGAGCACCTCAACGAGCTTATCATCAGTCCCCATCGATGCGGCGATAGCTGTCATGCCGTCTTTCATGGCAGCAGCCAGACTTGCAATGGGTGTAGCCGCTTTTTGGCGGCTGTTCGAGGATGAGAAAGACTTCTCTTCTTCAACACAGTCAGAATCGTTATCTGCATCCGCCAGAGTGGCTCCACCAATTCCAGTACGACCAGCGAAAGCGCTGTTCAGAATACCCCAGAGCTCACTCTCATCTTCATTTCCATCGTTGCCAGTGTCCGTTCTAGCCTCTTTTCCTTGTCTGTACTCGCACTTGAGTTTTTTGTACTTGTTCGCAACCTACAATTGCAAAAAATGTTAAGAACTGGAGAAAAAATAAATAAAATAGTTTTCAATGCACCTGATCACTTGTGAGCACCACCTCCAGTTTCTCCGATAATCGATTGGCAAAAAATTGCCATGCGAGAGCTTTCTTTCGGTTAGTGTCGGCCTTTTCGACACGAAGCCTAACGTCATCGTCTTTGAAGCGCATGTCGAGGAGCGCTTCGATCATCTTGTTCGTCCAGACGAAGCGCTTGGATGGCGTTGTTTCCTTTTTGGAGGATTTCTTCTTTTTTCCTTGTTGCCCAGCGCTGGATTTGGCGCCTGCTTTGCGTTTTCCGTTCACGGTAGTCGACGGGTTAGCTGTAGTTGTAGATACTGGAGTTGTTTGAGCCCATTCAGTAGAGATTGGAGCGGAATCGGGGGTTGGAGACGGCCGAGGTGGCTGGGTCCAGCATGTAGAAGATGGCATCGCTGCTAATGACTCCCGGGCCAGATGCGATGGCAGCACCGGCAGCTCAACGATGCCGTCGAAGTACGGACGCTGGTGAATACTTGGTAGATCTGACCCATGAGCGTCCATTGTGTCCACTGGAGAAGGGTGCTTGGAAAGTGAGGAAGTGACTGCCTTCTTGTGCTGGACAACGATCTTCACCTTCCTCGGATTCTTACACGAAGCAAAACTCAGAACGAGTTCTGACCTGGTTGCTGCATCAGAATGGACTTCAGTATTGGTTTACTTTGACTAGAAAAGTGTTCTCACTTAACCCAAACCCTACCCAATTTCTCAGAACGAGTTTACTTAGACCAGGGCCTTAAAGTAAAGCACAGCCATTAAGATAATAATACTTCGAGGAATAATAGACAAAATTTAAAAAATTAAACCAATGTCTTTCCTAAAAAAAGACATTACAAATGACATATGTTTCTATTATGCTCGGTAAAATGGAACTCATTTTGTGTCAAGATATTTTTTTTGACAGTTGGTACGACATACAAAGTGACATCAATTAGGGAAAGCTGTGTATTCTAGGCGATTTCTTGAACCAAAACCAGCAAGACTCTCGTATAACCCGGACGAAAATGGTTGTCGGTTGTCTCAGTTATTGTAATGAGCACCATACATGCAATTCCGTACCAGTACAAGCTTGTGCCCATTTACATGTACAACACCTGTTTTGCTGTTCGAAGATTGGCCTCTTTGGCCGAAAGCCTCCGATTTAAAGATATATCTGAGCCCACCTCACGTTATACGTATCAGTGATTCCTACAGCGTGATGCTGAACAGCTGCTCTTTGTGCTCATCGAGCACAAGGACTCGTCCATTGTCTACCGGAAGCTTCAACGTGGCGCACAGCATGCGGGTGATCGAAGTTTGGGATCGGCCCGTGTCTCCGAACGCCCGTGAGATTGGCGGAAGAGCGTTCGATTGCTGGGCAAATGTATTGTGTTTTCTCGGTTAGCGAAAATCCCGACGTTGCAGCTGTTGCCGTAAACGCTGAAGGTGCGGAGCCAACGGATTCACTTTGTGCGTGTCACGCTCCCTATTTTCCAGTCACGCTTGCCCGTGACTCCGCTTGCCATTTCACCTTTTGCTCGGTCGAGTTCACTCAGCCCGTCTCAAGCCATGGTTTCGTTCCGTGCTCTGTTCGTCGCCGCCGCGACCGCGATCGTGGGCTCTGCTGCTGCTAACGAGGCTGCCGCCACCAAGCTGCCGGTGTTCTTCTTCCACGGTGCCACGGGCAACAAGACCAACGGTGCCGAGATCCAGGCCAGTCTCACCGCTGAAGGCCGCACGTACGTTGCGCTCGACTTCTGCCAGAACGCTTGCTCCGTCCGCACGTCCCTCTCGGACCAAGTGCAGATGGCCATCAAGCAGATCCGCGGCATCATCGCACAGAGCCCTGCCACTTACGCCAACGGCTACCACTTCTTGGCTCACTCCCAGGGTGGTTCGGTCTCTCGTGGTGTAGTCGAGGAAATGGATGACCACAACGTGCACTCATACATCAGTTTGGCCGGTGACGGCAACGGTAACTTCTTCGGTCCTCAGGCTTCGGACGCCGTGCCGCTCCAGGTTCTGCTGCAGGCTCTGGGCCCGTTCGCTATTGACAAGGCCGACTTCGACTTCTCTAAGTACGCCGCGGACTCTACGTCGTGGAAGGGCAAGTTCCAGAGCGATCTCATCCAGACGGTGACTACCAACAAGGCGCTGCAGGCCAAGAGCTCGATCGCCAACATCATCACTCCTCCGCTCGCTGACGCCGCTCTGACGACCTGGAAGAGCATCGACCCGTTCCTTCCCAAGGTGAACAACCTCGAGAACTGTGGCTCTGACGCCGCGTGCAAAGCCAACCAGGCCCGTCGCAAGGCCAACTTCTTGAAGCTCAAGGCCGCTCACTTCTTCGCCTCACCGCAGGACGACATCCAGGCGCCGTGGCAGAGCTGCATCCTTGGCAAGTACTCGACTGTGGGATCCGTGGCCGAAGTTAACTCCAAGTTCAGCACCCTCAAGATCGTCGACATGAAGCAGACTGCCGAGTACACGCAGGACTTGTACGGTCTGAAGACTCTCGACACGTCCGGCCGCCTGCACATCCACCCGGTGCCCAACGTGCCGCACAACTGCTGGCTGTTCGACTACACGTCGCTGGCGACCAAGGTGCCCTGCAAGCACAAGCCCGTGTACGACGCTCAGATCCGCCCCGTGCTGGTCTAAGTTACAATCTTTAAATCTACCAAGTAGATAGATCCATCGAGCAGCAACTAAAGTCCACTAAACGGTTAATTCAGTCGCCTTCTGCTCAATTCATGTCTGACCCTTCACGGCTAGAAAAAAACTAACCAAAGACTATGAGCAGTGTCACGAGCACTGTTCGTCGTTCAGCCCGAGCTGAAGCAAAGAAAACGCCTTCAAATGCGTAAGCTGAAGCTGTACCAGTGTCGTTGCTTGTTTTACCATTGCTAACCGTGTCGATTTATTGTGCAGTGTGGCAGATCGCTTGAAGGCGACGGAAGTACGTCTTGCGAATCGCTAGTAGCGATCAACAGAATGGAATTTTAGAATTTATTAAATCTGATCCCTGCTAACAGGAAGCTCTACGAGCTGCGCAAGCTACTATTGCCCGACAGGAAAAGAGAGAGCAAGAGCTGAGACGCTTGGTTGTTTCACATGGCATTGCTCAAGAAGCTACTGAGGCCAACCCAGCAGTAGAAGGTTGGTTTATTTTCTGTAATTTATGTAGACTAATATTTGCTAACTCACAAGGGATTATCAATATTTGCAGCAAAAGTTGGTGCACTCAAAACAGTGCACGAACAGAAAGTACGAGCTCTGATGCGCTCGATCAACCAACTCCAAGAGCAACTTCAAGGGCTGAAAGCTCAAGAAAAAGAGCACCGACGGTCGGCGCTGATCCAGGATCTGCGGACGCAACAACGCGAGCAAGAGCTTCTTATCGATGTCTTGAAGCAGACACTACAGGAGAAAGTCTCCGAATTCCAAGATTCGCGAGCACTTGTGAACGATTTTGTACTTAAGAAAACCGCCGGTGGTCCTATGAGGTTTCGTCCGAAAACTCGCGAGGAACTTGAGAATGAACTCCAAACACTTGGTCAGAACTTCCAGCGGACAGTGGAGAAACTCAAGCAAGACAGTCAACGCAACGCAGCACCAAAAGAGGAGAAACCTTATGAAAATGATCAAGAAGAAGATGAAGATGAAAAGACAGAGGAGAAGGATACAAACAATCCCACTGCTGGTGAGAAATTCATTCTTTGATCATTTTTTTTTTTAGATTATTCTAACATTAATTTTGCAGATGCAGCACTTTACGAGGAACTCGAGCAGCTTCGAGCTCAAGTAGCCTCAAAGTCGGTGACAATCCACGCTCAAGCAGAAGAAATGACTGAGGTGTACACGGAACTGGATAAATTGAGAGTGTACGTAAGGTTACATACTTGCTTCAATTTGAGATATCTAACTTGCTTGCGTTAGTGTCGAGGACCAAATCGTGCGGAAAAAACACAAAATTGCCCTGCTGAGGGAGCAACTGGAGCGTCAACAAGCGGACAACGTTGAGCTGGTCCAAGAGAAGGAAGAATTGGCTGAGAAATACTTACAGCTACAAGAGGAGACTCAATTTTTACGAGATATCACTATGGAGGACGCCGGTGCAAAAGATGAGGAACGATTACAGCAGCTCGAGCTCATCCAAACATTACGTTCTCGAGAATTAGAACTTCAAGATGAATTAGAACGTCAGCAGAAGAAATGGGCCACAGACCGTGACACTGTACACCAGCGACTTCGGTTACTGGAGAAGGAGAAGAAGATCGCCGAAGAAGAAGTTGAAAGAGGTGCAACAGAACTGGCGAGTCTTCAGAGGAAACATGGTGTGTAGAGCTCCCAATAGTTATTTTTTTTTACACGAAACTCACACATTGAATTTGGCTTTAGATGTATTACAACAAGAAGCACAGGCATTGAGGATCGCTGTGCAAGACGAGCAGGACCAAAAACTACTCTTATCCAGCAAAATTGAGGTGAGTCTGAAACCAGATACTTTCGTAGTTCATCGGATGTGACTATTACTGATGGGTTATTGTTTCTAGGAACTCGATACAAAAGTACTTCAGCTCGAAGCTCTATCACAAGAAGAACGCGAAAACAGCGCTCGAGCAACGGCGGAAAAGGTTGCTGCATTGGAAAAATGTGTCGAAGAGAAGACGATGGCGGTCAAAAAGGCAGACCGCCAACTGAATGCTGCCAAATTACTTGCTCGCCAGGCCAAAAAGGAAAAAGAAAATCTATCGCTCCGTGTATCCAAGCTCGAAGCAGATTTAGCTGGCCGCACAATTTCGAGCTGAGCTCAACATCAACTATATTTTACTTGCAAACGTAAAATATTTGGATTGTTTGCGATGCTAAAACCAAATAAATGACTCCACATCGAAGCGATTCAAACCTCTCGCAACGTCCTTATAACTCCGACAGCATGGCTGTTTCTTCTCGTCGTCGACGCTCTTCACGGTCGGCGTACTTGTGCTCGAGCAAAATATGCCATCGATGTCTACCACCTCTAGCATAGTACCAGAAGAACCCACAAACGACTAAAGCACCTCCAATACCTGACAAGATGTATCCTAGAGTCTTTAAACCGGTCTTACTCGCAGTGCAAAGCTGCTCAAGTCCAATCAGCATGCCTGGCAGCACCAAATAGGTCCCAAAAATGAAAAATACACCCACTGCTGCCCATGATGCACTGAAGAACGCGATGGATCGAGCCCAACTCAAGACTGGACGTCGCATGAACGGTATCGGGTAGAAGAGAATGATGCCAGAGATGTTAAACCACAGATGCGCGAGTGCTACAGCCACAGCCTGTTTGTCTCCAACTACTAACGAAGCTAGAAGCGCTGTGCCACACGTACCCAGATTTGTACCGAGAATCAGCGGATACACTTGTTCAAGCGTGAAAACTCCAAGACCAGCCATAGGTGTGAATGTACAAGTTACTACCGTCGATGACTGTACCACAAAAGTGATACTTGCTCCTGCGAGGATGTTAACGTAGCCATTAAAGGCAAGCATTCTTGAAACCAGCACTTTTGTCGGACCCAGAAACACCTTTGCAAGCATCTGGATGAACCAGATTAATGAAGCTGCAAGCATCAGGAAGCCGATGACAACCACGATAGCTCCGATCTGACCATCGCTCAACGAAGTGCCTTCGAACGCACCTCCCGATAGCAATGATACTTCACTCGTGCACTCTTTCGTACCGGATGTGATGTCGAGAATGGTTTGTGTGTCTACACGGATCAACAAATTTGCAAAGGGCTTCACCACTGCGTCCACGGGACTGGCGAAGCTTCCACTCGAAGCTTTCGCATTGGACATCATCACTGACAGCTTCTCCAGTGGATGAGATATTACTTCCAAAGGGAACATGACGAAGACGGACCACAAGTTGAACATCGTATGTACTGTAGCTGTCTCCATGGCTCGCTGGAAGCGCGAGCGGGTCTGGATCTGACCGAATGCCACCACGATACAAGTCACGCAAGTGCCGATGTTAGCCCCCATGACGATGAAAACCCCTTGACGAATCGTTAATCCCTGTGTAGCGACCAATGCTACTGTGGTGGAGGTGATAGTACTAGAGCTGTGGAGTAAAGCGGTTGACACAAGACCAAGGACGAGACCTGCCAATGGGTTGTCGGCAATAGTGAAAGCTCTCTTAGCATCGCAACCCAATGCAACCGTGAATCCAGACTCGATAAACTTGACTGCGACCATGAAGAAGTAAAGCGCAGCCAGCATGGCTACGAAGTAAAATAAGCCCAATAGAATGTTGTGTAGCAGAGAGTGCCCTGTGTACGTGACTTCGTCGTCGTCTTCGTCATAGTAGTCGATTTCGAATGGTCCTTTGTCGAATGAATAGTGAGGTGTGCCTGCATCACTCGAACTGTCGCTGAAATTCGACACTTTGAGTTTGTTGTATGTGTCGGGCGACAGCAGAGTTATCGCGCCCATTGTTATGAACTTGGTGGCCAGTCAGTAGCTTCTGCACTGAGGTCTCACCTCAAACGCAAGTGGAGACTTACATCAAGAAACATACTGTACGTATCTCTACCCGTTGTCAACTCTTTGTGGTAGCTTTGACAGGCTCATTTCGATCAGCTCAGTAACGAAAGGCATCGATCATGGAAAACGTCCGACGTCAAGATGTTGCCTTTGCCAAGGAGTGAAAATAGGTTCCTCCACCGACAAGCATCGAGAAATCATCAAGCCGTCCCCCCGGCGCCACAGCAAATCTCGCTAACGCAAGGCAACAAGGCTGAAGCGGTCATCTCTGGACGAAGAGCTCCACAAGCTGTGTGTCAGGCCAGGGTGCAGTACAAAAACAGAATCTCGGCGAGATGCATATTTCAAGAATTCACATTGGTTTTCAATGACGTGAGCAGGCCGAATCTCGAAGGTATTTTCATGTTGCGCAACAATTTTAATCGAGTTCAAAATCGTCCATCGCAATATTGCGGCAAGTACATGCACTTCAAGTAGGGTTGTTATTTAATGTTAAATATTTAAGTGAGTTTAAGTAGATTTGTTAAATTAATTGCCACTTAATGATTATTAAATCCTAATTTACCAAGCAGAAGCGGTATTTTTGCATTCATTACTTCCCTGAGCACAGCGAGATTTGTAAATTTGGATTCTTTGCACCTGGCGATCTTTTGCAGGTCTTACCGTTGTCGAGTCAACAGCGCGCGCGATTCCATGTCTACTCGACACCGGCGCGCGTGAAAATCGGGTGCCCCTCACAACACAACTCACTCTCAAGTGCTCTACAAGGTCCAAGTCTACTAGTTCCTGTCCAGGCATTCAAATGCCACCGGGGCGTATATCGGATCCATTGTGGTCGGCGTTTGACGAGCTAGTGCCCCGAAACAAAGCTGCCGGAAAGACGCATCCAGATGTCGCCTGCCGCCACTGCCCAAAGAGATGGAAGAACGCGCAACTCGGCCTGCATATTGCTGATCACATTTTGAAGTGCGAGTCGACCCCTGCTGCTGTGAAAAATAAGTGGGAGAATCACGCTAAGAAGATTTTGGCAAAGCGCAAGAGCCGCCCAACTGAAAACCCAAACTTTTTATCTCCCACCAAAACTCGTCGAGCCAGCTACTCCACACCAAGACGTCAGACGCCACCACGAGCGGCCAACATGCGTGAGAGTGCACTGCAGAAAACAAATCGCCGGATGGCTGAATTCTTCTACTCGAGTGGCATCACATTCCGCCACATTGATAATCCCAAGCTCAAAGAGGTATTCCGTCTCTGCTGCCCCAACCTGACTTTGCCTTCGCGCCAAGCGCTGGCAGGTTCGTATCTGAATGAAGCCTATCTGAGTGAAAAAGAGGAGCTCGCTACGCTGCTAAAGAAGCAAAGGCGATTATCACTGGTGACAGACGGGTGGACCAACATTAACCGCGATAGTATTGTCAACTACGTTGTTACGTCACCCAAAATGCGTCCACTGATGTGGTCTTCGGGCACGTCTTCTTCTCACACTTCGGAAGATATCGCTAGTGATATCTCAAGAGTCATTGTGGAAATCGAGGAAGTTGCTGGAATGGGAAAGGTGACGTCCGTTGTATCCGACAACGCTCCTGCCATGGCAAAAGCAGGAAGACTTGTGGAGTCAAAACACACCAACGTGATTTACAGCGGTTGCAGTGCTCATGCTGTGAATCTACTCCTCAAAGACATCTTCACCAAGCTCAATTTATTCAGTGATGTGCTCAAGAAGGCAGTGAAGGTGACAAAATTTGTTCGGATTCGTGGCAAGCTACTTCGGTGCGTTCGTTCAAATCGTGTTCGAGTCTCTCCATGGAAAAGTAAACCACGAGAACTATCCACCCCGGTCTCCACAAGATGGTATTCGCAGGAAAAGTGCATCGCATCTGTCCTGGGAAACAAGAAAGCTTTAAGGGCAGCGTTTGGAAACATCAACCTTATCAACGAGTACAAGAAGGATAAAAAGCGGTTACCGAAACTGATTGAGACCCAAAAAATTGTTGGCGATAACCAGTTTTGGACAGATGCTAGGATGGTGATCAAAATGACGAAACCGATTACTCGGGCGCTCGCTGTTTTTGAATCGGATATGTGCTCCAATTCAATGATTCTCCACGAGTTTGATCGCATGAAAAGGGCCCCGGAATACGACACGAGCTTGCCTGGTTCGTATGATAAATCGATGCAAGAAGCAATTCAAGAGCTGATTGAGAGTTGATGGAAGTTTATTCGCTCGCAGTCTCACTCTACATCGATAGCCTATTTGTTGGATCCATCCAAACCAGTTGAAGCTTTCAAGACCTTTAAGAAAACTACCTCATCGCGTGAAACGATCAACAAAGCAGTGGAATTGGCGGAACGTTTAGGTCTACCGCACGATGTCACCCCAGCAAAGTTTCGGTCGCTTTTGACGGGCTTTTACGACGACAAAAAATCGTGGAATGAGGAGACCAAGGCCGAGAACAGTAAGTATCCACCGTTGGATTGGTGGACGACACAGGATGATATGCCTGTTCTCCAGGACTTTGCTGCAAAGATGTTGAGCAGTCCTACTTCATCAGCTGCAAGTGAGAGATTGTGGAGCACGCAGGGGTTTATTCACAGCAAGGCTAGAAACAAGTTGAGGGTCCGACGTGTGGAGAAGTTGTCCTTCGTTCGCACTAATGGGGGTGATAAGAGCACCAGATCGGAGGTGATATACCAAACTCCTCCAGTGGTCGAGAGTGATGACGACATGAGCAGCGACGAGGAAGATACAAGCGTGTTTGACTTTGATAGTGACGATTTTGCCTTGCTGTTGGAATCAATAGCGAATTTTGACGGCGAATATGATGACAGCGACGATGAAGGAGAGGACGAGCTTGCCGATGAAGCTAATGATGAAGGTGGTGATAACTTCTAGATGTAACACTGAAGTAGCCAGTTAACTGGGAGTGAAGTGAGAAGACAAGGGGGTTTGACAGCGACAGGAGCTTTTCCTCCTCGTGTCATACGATGGCGAACTCGCTCGTCGAGCTGTGTGTGCTGTGGCTGAGCTCGTGCAGCTCGTCCTCGGCACCGTCGACGAAGGCAGCAGGTCGTCAGGTAGATGGCGTCGCGCTGGTGCTGCTCCGCGGCGTTGTTGGACAGTCATCGCGGTCGGCTGGGCTCCTTCTCGTGCAGACTGTCGCGCTTCTTGCTGCCGGACCGCCGCGTCCGGTACACGTGAACCTGCTCGCGCGACTTGACCTTCTTCCAGATGCGGCGGTCCATGCGCCGGTCCTCGGCGATCGTTTGCCAACAGCGTCTTGGCCACGATGCCAGCTTGTCTAGTTTTGTAAAAACGCGAAGAGGTCCCGGAAATATTTCAGAGGGAAGGTATTTTATTTCGCTTCAATTAACTCTTAAAAAAAGCCGCCAAAACTTTCTTAATTCTACTTAAACTCCTAAATAACAACCCTAACTTCAAGTGACTCTGAAGATTTCAGGATCACTTGAGGAGGGGGCGAAGCTTCGTGCAGGTTTTGTTGTCTTCTTCAACCAACTTGGCTTTTCAGCCAATCATTGACTAGTTTTCGTCGTACTTTACCAGGAGAGCCAATCAGATTTGGATTTTAAGTTCTGTAAATCGTCCGGAACTTTTAAGAGCAAATCAAACCTTCCTCCGATGCCAGCCTCGATCATCGTAGACAACCTCCAGGAGGACGAGGTGCTCTCGTACCCGTTAGTTTTGCTCCAAGGTCGCATCACCGACCTGCATCCTAGTGCCAACCTCTTCCTGGACGCTCGTCTGGACGACTTGCGCCCTTGTCTCTGGCCAATCTCCCCCACGGGCCACTTCAAGGCGTTCGTTCTGCTCCCATCGTCTGGCAAATTCGCCATCACTCTACAACTCAGTGGCATCGCTCGCCGCATCTTTTGCGTCGAGTACCGACCCCGTGTTACTCGATTTGTGGTCAAATTTCACTATCAAATCTGCTCGGACGCAGACACTCGCGACGGATTCGACGCTCCTCTTGGTGTCGACAATTCCGACACTGTAGCAATTGCAAAGATCCGATTCAATGCGTTGATATTGCAAATGGCAGCAGCCGAGTTGATGCACGCAGCAGGTTTGCCACGACTGACGTTCGCTATGCAATTTGCACCCGATGGCCTGCCAGACGTGACGCTGCTGCGGTGCAGATTCACCAACGCTCATGCACGATCGGTGGACGGTCAGAAGCTCATTAAGCTGGTTCAACAGGACATCGAAGCCGCTGGATGGGACGACCATCCAGAATTGGATTTTAAACATGCAGTAGTGCTGGGGTGCTCGAGATACAATCGAGAGGCAAGGAAAGCTGAGGGACATACAGCACTTGGAGGAGGAAAAGTTGGAGTGTTTGGGTCTTGTGGACTGCACACGTGGCCTTCGCATCTTGGTGAATTATCGTTGTGCTGTTTGAATAACACGAGGATTGATACGCGCTATCTGTTGGACGATAGCTGCTACAGAGGCACCTTCTGGGCCAATTTCTCCACTGGAATCGGAGCCATGTTGCATGAAATTGGTCATACATTTGGACTTGGACACGCCACGAGCGGCATCATGGCGCGTGGGTTTGATGATATGAACCGACTGTTGTGTGTGTACGCAGCTGATCCACGCTCGTCGCAGCAGAGTTTCCGTCGATCTACTGCTCAAGGTTGGCTGGATTTAAACCACACCGTTGTTCGTGAAGTTACCAGTCGAGGAGGAGCACACTGGAACTCTGCTTCAGCTCAGCTGCTTCGACACTCTCCATGGATCTCAGGATACGCCAAGCCGTCGCTCGTAGGACCTACCGTGGACTGGGGAAGCTCGGTACTTGGACCAGTAGGCCACGGCACATACAATGGCACGCAAATCGACCTTCCTGAGAAGACATTATCGTCTTCGGTGGACGATGAACTGGGTGCCGTCATGATTGATGCTGATAAGTACATCGATCACTTTGAGACTCTGACACGTGCTCAAGTGGCTGAAGCTGAGCGCACTGAACCACTGCGTGCTGCTGGTTCCAAACACTGGTTTATTCTTGCTGACGGAGAGTATATCACTCGTGTGGATGTCCGTGCTATGGCTTGGATCGATGGACTCCAGCTGCACACGAACTTACGCTCATCACGTTGGTATGGCGGGACGGGTGGTAATTTGCACGCACTAAAGCCTGCTGAAGGGTGGCACGTGAGCTCGTTCATTGGCTCCAGAGGTGATTCCCATGTTGGTAGACTTGGTGTTCGCTGTCTGCCTACTTCCTCTGTATCCTCCCGTCCTCTGTCCCTGGAGTCTAACGGAACTACCAACAGAGTTCTATCGTTTCCTCCAGCTGGAAAAGCACTAGAAGGCAATCCCAAGACGCCGTTTTCGATCACTCTCACCGAGATCGGGGCTGTCGTCGTTCAATGTGGAAGATTTGTCGAGGGTGTTAAGCTGTTAACTCCGGAGGAAGCTGTGTCGAATTCAAGAGATCCAAGGTTCTACCGCTCAAACGAGCATGTCTTTCAGCTTTGTCCAGGTGAGAAGCTGATCAAGCTTGAGGTGTTCAGCGGCCACTGGGTTGACTGCATCCGGTTCACGACAACTCTACGTGCTAGCCCTTGGTTCGGTGGGGGCAGAGGACCAAATCACACAGTTATGGAGGGCCCAGCAGGACATCACATCTGCGGGTTGCATGGAATCCGCGGCAAACAATACGTCGGCTCGGTCGGAGCTCTTTACTGTGCTGATGCCGCAGCAACATGCCTACAGACACAGCACCAAGAACCTGTCCGGGAAATGGAGGATCAACCGAAAACACGGAAGTTCTGGGTTATGAGAACTGTCCCAGTCTCGAACCAGATCGCAGATCCTCCAAAGCCACCACTTGGAATTTTAATTGCTGTCCAGAACGGCTCCGTGACGTCGGTGCAGTCCTTCGACAGCGTGGAAATGTTTGATGAATTGGTCACCCAACTTCACTCAACTCTCCTCACAGTCGGCACTTCGTATCAAGTGCATTGCGTTCCGCTGAGACCTGGAGAAAAAGTTTTGCAGATCGACGTGAGCTTCCGTCCTGCCAGTGCCGACGATCCCTACACGGTCATTGATGGAGTCTGTTTCCACACAACTCTGCGCTGTTCGTCGTGGTTTGGAGCCTACCGTGAATCCAATCTACGCTTCTTCATGCCACCAGCAGACACCAGCGTCATTCGAGTACAAGGAACTTACACTGACAGCATCCTGACTGATCTTACAGGAGTAATTGGCGTCAGTATCAACAGCGCGACGCTGTTCACACCGGATGCTCGTGTCCTAGTTGACGACGGCGCGTACGACGTTAGACTGGAGGCTGCTACACCTGAATTTGGCGTTGAATCTGTGCTATTAGTCAAGAAAAACAACGGAGACAACCTGGACAAGCACGCGTGGACATGGAACCAGCACGGAATGCCATACCCACGAGCATGGCGAGTCCCTCACACGATGCTGGAAGCCTATGTGGACAGCAAAAGCACACTGTATGAAGAGTACCTTGTTGGCGCCATCAACTCCGGTGGAGCGTTTTCCAAGACTGCTGCTCCAGTGCTGCGTCAGTAAGTGGTTCAAACAAAAAGAGACATGCGTTAGAATCGTGCTATTGCGTCCGCAGATGCCTTTAACTCTCTAATTGTCACAGGTTAATCTTGATCTGACTCTGGAGAAAGCTGCATACTTTCAACGAACGCCAGCGACACAGCACTCTCACGGAAGCCATGAAGCAGGTCCCGGCACTGATCCTGGTCTAGTGCTTGATAGACAGCGTAGTGTTCGTCGGCCACAACGTCAGCGACCTCGATAGACTTCTCAAGTAGCGGTCGTGCCAGCTCTGTCTTGGCATCCTCTGGGTAGTGGTTCAAGCGCATGATTGTCTTGGCTGATTCAAGTTGGATAAAGTGCAGGTTGAACACCAGCGCCGGCAAGCATCGCCCCCGGATAGCAGCATCCTCTGCAGCATCGTTAGAGCAACCCAAGAGCCATCCATTTTCAAAGTGCAACACCTCTAGCGTCGCTGCAGCCGACCGTGACACATGGAACATGAGATCTGCCAGGTATTCTTTCTCCTCGCTATATAGAGACAGCGTCTCTGCACCAGGACTGTTGATGCAGTTTCTCCACAGATCGTACTGCGCACAGGCCTGAATATAAGCGCGCCAGCACAGGAACTCGCGCATAGCTCGTTCAATCTCGTCGTTCTCACACAGCACCTGTGAGTCGCGATTCAAGTCCATAACACCGATAGAGTCCTCCGGTAAGCTCTCTTCAACGAGCTCCTTTACAGCAGCAAACTTGCCCTCGAGAAGAAATTGCCGCGTAAGTAAATTGGCACGGACCAATGCCTCTGCGCGATGTTGAGGGTAGAAGCATAGAAACTCGATGGTCCGGATCCGCCTCCTGTCGATCTCTGTTGTGGGCATGTCGGAAGACACAGGCTGGCCCTTCTGTTGATCCTGCGCTACCAACCGATACTCTTCGCACAGACGTTCCACCACAGACTGCAGCACTATTGAGAGAACCTCCATGCCAGCGTATTCCAGGATCCTCTTGATGCACAGCTCGCGTTCTAAACTGTCCTCGACTGTGGACAGCATCTGCACGTAGATCTCGATAGCACCGTTTGTAGGGAGTCGAGAGGCGTAGACTGGCACGAACTGCAACTGCCGATGCTTCACTAGATGCCGGATATACAACTTGAGGATCATGTGGCCTGCCTGTTCGTCGAAATGCTCGCCAGTGAAGTTAGCGAACATGATAAAGTGGGCTGCAAAGCGCAGGAACAGAGACGAAGTCTCGTCGGCCTGCACCGTAGAGTTGAGCTGCAGATCCCAGTTGTACGAGTCATCCTCCGGGTTGAATAGTACTGTGTCCAAGATACTCGACACGATGAACTGGAACTTGGCCGTCACCAACTTGGACTGAATCTGACGGTGTGGTTGGTTCGCTTGCATTCGCACCAGCTCGCTTTGGCTTCCACGTAGCTCATCGAACAGTGTGTCCAGATCCACTTGGTAACGTTTAAGGTATTTGGTCTTGTCAAGCAAGCTCGAATAGTGACGTAAGTAGTGGACATTGTTGCCAACGATCAACTGCGACGACTGAGTCTTCACCTTCAGTAGTTTGTACAAAATTTCATCCAGTTGCTGCTCCGTAATTCCCTGGAGATACGCCCAGCAGTGGTCCTCCCAACTCTCGCATAGTGAGCTCTTCGTAATCACCTGAATGTTGCCACTTAACGCAGCGTAAATAAGCTCCTCATACTGTTTCGCAAGTAAGCTGTTGCTCTTGGAGAGCTTTCCGTTCGCATTCTGCTCGGACAAGCGCCAGCACATTGTTTTCCACAGTGCACGGAACGGATTTCCCCATCGCTCCAACGACAAATCTTGACGCTCATTGGTCTCACTAGCGCCAGCAGGATTGCCTCCCGAAAGACTCGCCGCTCTCCACGACTGACCCAAGCGGATACACAGATCAATGGCATCGTCCATCCGTCCAGCACGCACGTACAGCCAGAGAGCCTTCATCAGCTCAGCTTCATCCTCCAAGTCATCGGGCAAAATGTGAGCGTCTCCGTCACGCACAACAGCATCAGGATCCATCTGAACGTCTCCTGCAAAAACCTGTTTCTTCATCATTCTCAGTGTACGGGACCCACTAGCGTCACGTTTCTCACTAAGCTTAATCGTGCTCTCCAGTGCCATACTCTCCAGCCACGCCTTCACCGCTTTCTGGATCTTGAATGCCTCGTTACGCGTTTCCAGTAGCCGCACGGCGTCGTCCTCCAGCATCTCGAACCGTAGCTCCTCCGTCTCAGCGCCGAGCATCATTAGCGTGTCCTCACCGTCTGCTATGTCTTTGTTCATGTGGCACACTCGCCGCAGCTCAAACAGCAGTCTCCATGTATTGCGTTCATCTCTCAGCTCCTTGATATCGTTCTGAAGTCGCTTTTGTGCCAACGTCGGCGCCCGTGCTTTGCTGGTGCCTGCAAGTGAAGCCTCCATTTTCTCCAGTCTGTTTTGCAGCACTCCGATGTATCCACTCAGCAGTTTCTCGCAGTATAAATCCGAATCTTCCACGTCCTTCAGGTTTTCGTAAAAGTCGGCCGCCATCTCGGCAAAAGAAGCTTCTTCCGGTCGAACATGACGCGAGAACAAGTCTCCTCTAGCTGACGGGACTGTACTGAGCGACAGTGACTTATTGAATGTAGCCAATTGGGTCATAACGTGATCATTGGATGTAGCCAACTGATCCATCGCCAGTGACGGACCTTGAGGCTGTGCATACACCGACGAGATGGACGAAATGGACAGTTTAGGGTCTGTTTGCTGCGTTTTCTTGCCACTGAATAGGTCACCGCCTCTGCTAAGGAAGCTGTCTCCAATTGCAGCTGCCCTGACGATGTGGATGGCTCCTTCGAAGCCCATGCCACAGTCCACCACAAGCCACGCGTCCTCTACGATCTGTCCGCCGAACATGACGCGTGCATCTCTCGCTGAGAAGCCTAGATCCCGTACAGTGTCACGTCGCTCGCATAGTGCACGCTTGAGATCTCCGACGGTCGTAAGTTGAGGATCCACGTCCACGAACTCTGTAGATTGGTCTGGGAACACGCCCTTGACGTGTAAAAGGCCGTGGCGCACTGATGTACTGACTACAGGCTCTAATAGACGCGCGTCATCGTTTGCTGACACCTTCGATTCATCTCCCTCGCCCTCCATGTCGTCGTAGGATCCTGAGGTTGACGAGAAATGGAAGGTCTCTGTACTCATGGGAATTGCGCTTTCGGCGCCGAAGCCCGTACTACGCGGTGGTCCAGGTGCGGGTGCGTCACCTAGAGACGCCAATAGACTCAGCGACTGGTCTGCACTATCGATCAGACGCTGCACCGCCGCGCTGCGCCGCGCGCCGTCGCCGCTGGAAGAGGAGCGTCCTGCCATCGGATTCGGCGATAGTAAAGTGAGGGAACCACTCACACGGTATCCGGATGAAGCAGTTATCCGGACAACAATTAGTGTGGCGCACATCATCTAGTAGTACATGACATGTGAAGTTAAAGCACCGTTCGTCTAGCGATATATGCCTGGTGTTGCCACTGGTATCGCGCTTCCATTAGACGCCTATGGCATAATAACGTGTAGCAGCGACTTCGAGCTCAGGTTGCAGCAGCCTGGGAAATGCAAGGAAGCTCATTTAATTCTGCGGGCATACGATCTTTCTTGTGGTGCACGCTAATGTACCCATTCCTCGGTACATTTTTTCCAGCCCTCATCCATCCATCACGAACGTCATTAGGCCAAAAGCACTGATAGACGCTAGACCCCTTCCATTTCCTCCTACGATGCAGCTCCTGATCGGCAAGAAGCCGGGCGACGAGGAGCTCAAGTGCTTCCTAGCGTTTTCTCTCACTGGCACTGAATTCTCCATTGGCGCTGCGGACAAGAAATACTCAAGCTGCGGCCCGCAACTAGCCGTGAAGCCTGACGCTGAATTGCTTTTCTCGGCCAACGCCGTGTGCCGCTTCGTGGCCGCCAACGCTGGCCAGTTACAGAGCGATGATCTGGCCGTGGACGAGTGGATCGAGTGGGAGGCCAACACGCTGGCCCCATGGCTGCGCGTGGCCAAGGCCACTAGCAACAAGAACGGCGAGCTGGCCGGCCAACTGGCTGCTATGCTTGAGGCCAAGGAGGAGGCGCGGCCCAAGAACAGCGGCGACCTGCAGTTCCTCTTCGGCTCGGAGCTCTCATTGACCGACGTCGTGGCTGGTGTCACGCTGCGCGCTGCCTTCAAGGTTGTCAAGGAGGAGAAGGACGAAGCCGCTATCTTACAAACTTTCCGTAAGTACGTGGCCCAGCTCTTCGCCCGAGACGACGTGGCCAAGGGCGTGGCCAGCATGAAGAACGCCGGAAAGGCTGCTAAGAACGGCAAGAGCGCCCCCGGTGCCGCCTCCGGTGCCCCGGCCACTGCCGTAAAGGACGTCAAGCGCTCCACGTTCAAGCTGGACGAGAAGCTCGAGCAGGGCCTGACCTACCACAATATCCTGGAGGTGGTCGAGTCCCTTTTTGATGCTGCTATTAAGGCTGCATACCCTGGCCTGGACGTCCCGCCTGTCGAAGTGACGCGTACCAACGTCAAGAACGCCAAGTTCGGCGACTACCAGTGCAACTCGGCCATGTCCATCTTCACGGCGCTCAAGGGTACGCCCAACGCGGCCCGCTCGCCCCGTGACGTGGCCAACACTATTATCGCGGCCATGCCCGAGACGCGTGTGCTGGACCGCCTGACCGTTGCTGGCGCGGGCTTCATCAACGCTTTTCTGACTAAGGAGTTTGTGGCCGCGCGCCTTCAGAACGTGCTGGCCAACGGCGTGCAGCCGGCCCCGCAGAAGAAGCAGACGATCGTCGTCGACTTCTCTTCGCCCAACATCGCCAAGGACATGCACGTGGGCCACCTGCGTTCCACGATCATCGGTGACACCATGTCCCGTATCCTCGAGTTCCAGGGCTACGACGTCAAGCGTATTAACCACGTCGGTGACTGGGGCACCCAGTTCGGCATGCTGATCTGCCATCTCACAGAGACATACCCTACCTGGGAGACGGAAATGCCCAACGTGACGGACCTGACCAAGCTGTACAAGGCCGCCAAGGAGCGTTTTGACGCCGACGCGGACTTCCATGAGCGATCCAAGGCCCAGGTGGTGCTATTGCAGTCCGGTGACGAAAACTCCCGTAAGGTGTGGGAGACGCTGTGTGAGATCAGTCGTCGTGAGTTCCAGAAGGTGTACGACCGTCTGGGCGTGTCGCTTAATGAAATGGGCGAGTCGTTCTACAACCCCATCATCCCGGACGTCCTGGACAAGCTGCGTGCCAAGGGCATCGTGGAAATGAGCAACGGCGCCGAAGTGGTGTTTACCAAGGCGTTCAAGCAGCCGTTTATGCTGGTAAAGAGTGACGGCTCCTACCTGTACGACACGACCGACATTGCTGCTCTGTGGTACCGTCTGCACGAGATGAAGGCCGACCGCGTTATCTACTACACGGACTACACGCAGAAGGATCACTTCGGTTTGCTGTTCGAGGTGGGCCGCATGTCGGGCATTTACGACCCGACCAAGCAGCGCGCGGATCACGTGGGCTTCGGCACGGTGAACGACGAGTCCGGCAAGCGCTTTAAGACGCGCTCGGGCGAGACCGTGCGTCTGGTAGAGCTGCTGGACGAGGCAAAGGTGCGCATGAAGGCGCAGCTGGTTGAGCGTATTGAGGCAGGACAGACGTCGCTGCCCATGGACCAGGTGGATGCTGCCGCCGAGAAACTCGGCTACGGCGCCGTCAAGTACTTCGACCTGCGTCAGAGCCCGACGTCCAACTACATCTTCAGCTTCGACCGCATGCTGTCCACCAACGGTGACACGGCTGTGTATCTCATGTTTGCGTACGCCCGTCTGTCGTCAATTATCCGCAAGTCGGGCGTGGACATGGCTGCGCTCGTGGCACAGCAGCAGAAGGAGGGAAACGTGCTCAAGCCCGAGCACCCAACGGAACAGGCTCTGGTCATCGAGCTGCTGCAGCTGCAGGACGTGATCGTGTTTATCAACAAGGACCTGAGCTCCAACCGACTGTGCAGCTACCTGTACACGATCTCGGAGAAGGTGCAGACGTTCGTCACCGCTTGCCGTGTACTTGGTAGCGAAGAGCAGAACAGCCGTCTGCTACTGTGCGATGCCACTCTTAAGGTCATGAAGACGTGCTTCTCACTGCTGGGAATCGACCCGCTAGACCAGATTTAACACGATCTCGGAGAAGGTGCAGACGTTCGTCACCGCTTGCCGTGTACTTGGTAGCGAAGAGCAGAACAGCCGTCTGCTACTGTGCGATGCCACTCTTAAGGTCATGAAGACGTGCTTCTCACTGCTGGGAATCGACCCGCTAGACCAGATTTAAGGCGTGGTTCGTTCGGCTCTCAGTACAACGGCATCAACGGCGAGGTGAATGCTCGAAAATGAAGCTCAATATTTGATTAGGAAAATTCTAACTTGCGGGCATTTCTCCAGGACTTGCTGGTGATCGTCTATATAACATGCAGAGTTGGGTGATGGTCGTAGTTGTTGAAACATGCAGGCAAAATTACATCGTGACGCCGGGCCCGGCGAGATCTATGCGGTGGTGCTGTACTGGAGACCCGTGTCGGTCTCGAGCACGGTGCAGTCGGACAGGATAAAGCGCAGCGAGTAGGCCGACAACCGCCGTCCGCCAGACGATTCGGACGAGTCGTCCATGTCTTCGTCCTCCTCCTCTTGGCCCGCGTCATCGTCAGAAGCAGCGGCCAGCACGGCGGGGTCGATCGGGGCGTTGGCCGTGTAGCTTGGCGGCGGCAACGTCGGCACGTCGGCCGGCGTGAGCTGCAGCTCGGACGGCACCTGGCCGCCGACAAGCTCCAGGTACTCCTGTGTGAGCTGCTTGATCTTCTGCTGGATGCGAGCCTTCTGCTCGGCATCCGAGACGTGCGCCATGTACTTGCATAGGTGCTGGATCTTGATGAGCTTGGACGACACCTGACGGTATGGCCACCGCTGGATCTGCTTCCTGCGGCATACGCGCTTGACTACGGCCTCGCAACTGCCAAGGCGACGCGCAGCTTCCCGCAGTGGCAGGTGATAGTACTTCTGCAGCTCGGACAGTTCGAAGTCGGCGCTGGTGCTGGTCATGGTGCTTGTTGCTGTGGTTGAGTTAGTCGAGGTTGATGGGACTGGTAGCCGTAGTCCGTAAGCGAGTGTTGTGGTGGATCGGAGCTGCTGATGCGCTTTGAAGCAACTTGTGAAATGAAGACGAGATGGTGGTGTGCAGCTCGCGAGCAGGTGGGTGAAGGAGCTCGGCGCAGAAAGTGCGTCGTCATGAACTCGGCGCCGCGCGTAGAGTACCTGTTCGCGCGATGACAAGAAATTGAAGTTCGGCGGGCTCCGCTAAGTTTCGCGTGCTAATCAATGGAGATCAGCAGTTGCAGGTCGAATGGATTCCAGAACGGACGACGACGTTTGTGCGACGGCAACGGCGAGCCGTGATTTCGCTGCCTGACCGCCGCCGGCATTCGATGTTCAACAGACCAATGCACTGCTGTTGCTGTTGGCTGTAGCCACCCGCGACAAGCTGCGCTGGTCGCTGCAATTGAACTGATCGTGGCGTACGATCCTGCTGCAGGATTCCGACACAGGCCTATCTGACAGAGAGTTAGCTGCATGACACTCCGCCACACGAGCTCCGCTCGCGACTTGCACAGAAGCTCTGCAAAATCCATCGGTTCCACAGCCGTAAGCTCGACGTTGTGCCGTTGTCCTCGGTTCAAGTGTCTAGGTACGTAGAACACGAACGCGGAGAGCGACAGGCACGGCAAGTGGACGTCACGCCCAAATGGCTACGCGCTCCGGGCCAATGTACCATGGGCGACCGCTGCTAGTAGCGGGGCTCCAGGATCCAATGCATTCAGCAAACATGCCACGTGTATCTTGGCCGTTGCCACCGTATGCCTAGTACTGTATGCTTGTCAACTTGACTGTCAAGACCCTCATGCGACAAGACTCGAGCTCTCGCTTCAGTTACAGTTCAAAGATCCTTCTACTAACTTCAGAGAGCTGGTTCAGGTCCGTCTTTCTGGTGGCCGTTGTTGGCCAGCATCTTTTGGAGAAGCAGATAGTCTCAGCCAGTATTCTGACTCGGAGCTCGGAGCCACGACTCCACCGAGCCGCTCCGGTGGTGGAGCTGCTCTCTTCAATACCGATCCGACCAGGTCGCTAATCGACGCGGTTGCTCAGTCGCGTACACAACGAAGCGGTGCCAGGCGCCGCAGCCACAGGTTGCCGCCAGCTGGGCAGGCGTTGTGTAGGCTCGCGAGAGCTCTCGCCGCGATCGGTGCACGCGCGACCAGAGCAGAGCCTCGCACACCCGAGACATTCTCGTGCGTATATTTTGCTGACGGTGGAGCCACCGCGCGAATCGTCACGGCGAGCCGTTTTTCTTCTGCTGGCAGGCAGCAAGATCCGATCGGTGTGCTGTACTCTGTACATGCACGAGCTAAAATCCGCCGCTAACAGCTCGGCCTTGCCGCTGACACAGCGCTGACGAGAGCTGTCCGCCGCTTCGTCGCTTGCAGCGATCCAACGCGCAATCTTGTGTCGATCGCCTGCCCCGTCCTGCGTGCGCCGCCTCAACTCCAGCTGCCTGGATCGCCTCGCAGCCGCCGCCAAACTCGTGGGCGCGCGGCGCGGGGCTATCCTCTTGGCTGCATGCGCGCGTAACGACCAAGCGACTACCAAAAGAAAACAGAGCCTTCGTAGAGCTCCGATTTCGATGGCAAGCGGCCAAGCAACCGGTTGCTCGAATCCAGTCGTATTGCTGCATGCCAGCGACGGGGTCGCGACGAGCTCAGAGCGCTCGGAGCGGTGTTGCCGCGTCGAGCTCAAAAATACAGGCACGGAGCCGCTGGCGTACTACAGCGCCGCGTTCCACCGTCCAACTGCAACAGCTTGCACGCACGCCGGTTCAACCGGCGCCCAAGCGCCACCAACGACATGGCGACGTTACTTGAGACTCAGCTCGCGACGCCGAAATAAAAGGGTCCACCGGCAAGTCTGCTGTCTAACCTACCGTAGGCCCTACGAACCCGGCGGGGCGAGTTAGCTACATGGATCGCGTCGCAGTCGTCGGCGCAGCGATCTTGACTCAAGTTGAGTTGGACGCACGCCGTCTCTGTCTTCCGAGAGATGTCTCCGCCGTGAGACGTGTGGTTGCCAAGTTGCCACTGTAGCCATCGCCGTCGTGTTGTTGAAAGTTGAACCGAATAAGATCGGGGCGGGGTCGCCAATTCAACAAGATACCTGTACACTCGTTTACTAAGTATAATTTTCCATGGCCTAACGCAATGCAGGCGTTGTACTCTCTAGTAGTTCACTAAGTTGCCTCCGCCGCGCAATTATCCAGCCTTTCTAGCAATTCGCAAGCTGTCGACAGGCTCACTACATATTCGCGACCACGCCAGCGCCACGCGAAGCCATCAGCTGGCGCTGCGTTTCTCCACGGCAAATCCCGCGCGCCGCCGTCGCGTCGGAGGCGACTCCCAGCTGCCTCCGCGACGATTCTTCCAGCTCAGCGGCCTCGTGCTCGACGAGCACTGCTCGCTCCGAGAAGAGGAGCTACTACCCGCCCAGCGATCTGTAGCATGGTAATCGAGGCGTTGAATGGCCAGCAAGCGCCGATACGAGCGAGGAGCAGGCAGACGGCACGTCGAGGGAACTGTTCCCCGTTAGAACAATAGCCAGCAGCAGTCCACCCGTGGAGGTCATGCGCGGAACCACCACTAACTTGCACATCCCCCAAGAGTCCACCTGATTATTCCTGATAAACGATCTTTCTGCGGCATGTCGCGCCGATGTGTCTGTCCCCAAGAGTTCTGCGCTCTACTTAAGTACAGGCTGTCCGACTCGGACAGCGCTCCGTGTTGATCAGCAAGCAGTGCTGATTCAGGACACAATAAACAAATCGTGAACGCAGATTGTCATTTCCCAACACTTTTTTGGATGAAATTGCGAGGAAGCGTCCAGCGAAAACGGATGATCGGCGATCGGTACTCAGTACTACGTAGGAGATCGCCGGAAGGTACCGCCATCGCTGCTCCTCCACGACGCCGTGAAAATCACTGCAGGCTTGCGGGCAACGCTCGGCAGCACGATACAACTTTTTGCTGAAATAGTGAGTTGCAGTCAGGTTGTCCCCTCTAAAGCTCATGATGTGAGGAGCGCACTTCAAGCGATCACGACGATAGGTACGGGTATATAACTATCTTTCGGATCGGATGCCTATAGCTCACGCACAGTGCACAGTGTGGCGAAAGATCACGCGGCATCGAGGTCGAGAAATATATGAGGCTACCTTCATAAGGAAACGGATGGAACACAAGTACGTGTATATGTACAAAACACTCTGCAATCCCGATCTCGGTGGTCTGGTGATGACTCACCTTCAGTCACTCAAGTTGAAGCTATTGATGAGTCACGGTTATAATCATCAGGTAATGTGGTGTATATAAACTCTTTGTTGCTCCGTTATAGCTCACTCACCCTCGACAACCAGTAAATCCTGGAGATTGAACCTTGTGACAAAGTCGGAAGCCGCTTCTCGTTCCTAAACGCGTTGCGCCATCTCGTTAATCCAGCCTAGTTTCAAATTAGAAAAAAAATGAGAGCTTACCCTGCATTTGAACGTGGCCTGGAAGAACCTGCGTGCGAAGAGAAGCACAAATTCGCACAAGAAGAATGTGTCGGTGCCGTACTGTGATCCGTAGAAATACACTTGCAGCACACTGTCCTTCTGCTCTGCAGCTACGACATGGAAACCGTGTGCTCCTAAATGTCGCTCCAAGTCGGTTCGAGATGGTTGATTCGCAAATGTACACGAAAAGGCTCCACTGTTCAAGCGAAATATAAAATAATTAGCCAGTATTGCTCTTGGTGAGGGATAAGGGTCCTTACGTGGTCTCAGTTTGCTTCCACAGCTGCCAGAAGTCAGACGCAGGTAGGTTAGCATCCGGGCTCATTAGAAAGACTGGGGAAGCAAATGGAATTTGCTGGTATCCCTGCTCTAAGGACGGAGATGTTTCCACGACAGTATTCGTCGCTCTGGCCGAGATTCGAGGGGAAGCAGGACGTGCACTTAGCTGTCGACGTGCTGAACGTGCCTCGTCATCACCTCCTTCCATTGCCAATTGCAGCTGAGACATGGTGTGAGTGTTCGGGCCAGGTTTGGTGCTGTCTTGCCGTCGAAGTCTTCGCTGAGATACTGCTCGCTGCTCTCGAGGAGAAGCATTGACAGGCTGGACAGCGGATGCACGGATGTCCTTTTCGTCTTCGTCCGAGTAACTTGCTTCGTCGTCGTAGTCACCATTTTTCTTCTGAGGACGACGGATATCGGACAGGAACTCCGCCCTGTGTAACACATGCACTTTAGAACTGGCAAGTTTACCATGATCATAGTTCGACGACATACCCAAAGAATTCATCAGCCTGGGATCCCTTGCGGTGGATTGTACGCAGTAGCCAAGGCGACGTAACGAGATGCACCTTTCAAGTGAAAAAGCACAAAATGCATTTGGTTAAACGAACACTAGTGTCCAGTTAGTAGAAGACGTACGGTGACCATGGTAAGTGTCGTGAGGTAAATGATATTAACATTGGACGACGTGATGTACTGCACCTCCACCAACCCGAACGCCGATAACGTCGCAATGCCCAGCCATAAAGCTACATTTACGGCACAACTCAGCGAGATCCGCGCTACTTTTTATGAATGTAGAAACCATACCTATCGCCCATGACCCGACCCCGAGAATGAAAAATGTACGCACGTGCATGATCAAGTGATTTCCGTCTTGTTGCATCTTGCGCCACTTGCCATCGACGTAGAACCCGTGAAAACTGAAAGTTAACGAGATCGCCGCGTAGATGAAATACAAGTTGGCCAAAGTCACATGGCCCGATACTCGGTGGAATTTGACGATGTTCGAGTAATAGCCACGAATGACCTAGATAAAAACCAGTCAGAAAAAAAAAATCATCTAAAAAGTCTGAACAAACGACTTGAACGTACTCCACCGAGAATGAAAGCGACGATCGAAAGGAGACCAATGATCACTCCGAGGATTACCAAACGACGGCGAATCTTCTTGAGGATGGAACGCTTGGTGCGTTCATATTCCTCTCGACGTATCTCCACCACCTGAGCTCCACGCTTGTCGTGGCGAAAGTTCTGCAACAGAGATCGTTGAGTAGCTGGACTACATTATCGATAAGTAAATTACGAGACCGGCAAACCTACGCTAGGCCGCATCACGGACCCTGTGGCCATATTGACGAGGCAACACCTTGTGACCAAAGTGCTCGAGTTGCAGTGTTACAGCAAGCAGATCACTATTTTTATAGGTGGAAAACGGTAAGTGAAAAGAAAGAAGATGTTATCCATAGTCTATCTACAGGCCACAAGCCAGTACAAGAAGGAGATCAACGAGTCCTTGACAAGGTCGTCGATTATTTCTTGGCCTCGATGATCTTCACCTTGGCCTTGCGCGTCTTCTTGGGACGACCAATCTCGATCTGGTTGCGCTTGTGTAGACTGTCGAAGCGGTCCAGGAGCGGGTTGCCCTTGGGCTTGAGCGTCCGCATGTTGCCTGTGAGCTCCTCGGAGAATGAGACAGGAGTCTCGCGCTCCAGTTTGCTGCATGCCATAAGGACATAAGGTTAAAATGACAAGCATTATGGTAAAACTTATCGTAGAGTGGTGGGCGTACGTGTACTTTCCGGCCACGCGGACAAGCGGTTCCTCCTGCAGTTTCTGCTCCTGCTGGAGCTTCTTGAGCTCCTGCTTCTTGGCTGCTTCCTTCTCACTCTTGACGATGTCCTGTAGAATATGCTGCGAGCTGTAGTCAACAACACATCAGTTAGTTTTTTTTTTAGGAATTTCAACCACAATACCAGTCACAATATTCTAAACGTACGCATTGATCTGCTTGATGATCGCCTTCTCGCCACGCCGCATCTGATGCTGCAGCTCCATCTGCTTGTGTCTCGAGCGTTTGTTGCGCTGTGCACGTGTCACCTTCTCCGGCCGCTTGAGCGTCTTCCTGGTCGTGTCGTCCTCGTCCTCCGACTCGCTGGATTCTTCGTCCGAGTCCTGCTTAATGTACTGCAGTGTCTCCTCTGACATTCCATTGGACACAGGCTCTTGTAGCTGAGCCCTCTTTTCACGCTTCTCCAGCTCCTTCGCCACGGCCTCGGCCATAACGTCCTGGTGCGAGTCAAAGTCCGGGTGGTATGACTGGCCTGCCGCCGCCACCTCCACAGTGGCAACCTTGTACTTGGTAGAGGCCAATAGTTTACGTCGTTTGGTCTTCTTGACCACCACGGGCGCCACATACTCGTCCAGTCGCTTGTTCTGTTCATCGTCCTTGACGCTGCCGTCCTGACCCCAGAGGTCCTTAACCTTGTTAGTTTTCTTGGGTTTCTGTTGCTCCGGCTGCGGTTTCTGCTGCAGTTTCTTTACAGTCGATGCTTCACCCTTGTGGACCTTGGACGCGTCGAATTTGCGCGTGTTGGCTAGCAGTGGGTCCTTCTGGAGCTTCTCCAGCTTCTGCTTCTTGGTCAGAGGAGCAGGCACGTCGCCGCCCTTGCTGTCCACCTGGAAGAGCTGATCCGCCTCCACATGCTTGAGCTTTTTGTCCTCCGCATCCTGTCGGATACTCTCCTCCACCTGCGCGCCGACGGCCTTAACGCGCTGCTGACGACGACGCTTGTTGCTGCCCATGGTTTGCAGGTGTGTCAATGCCAACCAGTAGCTCAGTTGCATTTGGATCGGGTCAAAATATGTACAATTTGTGTACAATTTGTAGCAATTATTGCTTAGTTTTGCTTAGAGATTACAATTATTTTATAAACAACGTTTATGGCTACATATTTTCTTTTTTCAATTTTCTACCAATCAGAAGGTGTTTTCGTATTGCACCTGAGTTGTGCGAGTCTTACAAAGCGCTTTTAATACTATAAAATTCAATCAGGAAGAAGAGATGGCGTTGTCTCCGAGATACACGCGTGTGGGGGCGGAGGAGAGCCGTGACGACCTGGCCCTAGTGCGGCACGGAAGCGGCAAGTTCTCTGCGCAGACAACACAGCGCAGCTTCACGACTGAGGATCTGCCCAGCGCCAAGTCGTTCGTGAACGTATCGGATGCTGCAGAGGAGACTAAGAAACGCTCTGGCTCCGACATCTTCGAGAGCAGTCGTATGGCCATTATTAAAGGCATACAGGGCGTTGGACTCGATCGTGTGGTGGACTCAGTGCAGAAGGCCTTCACACCTGACGACTCGGAGCGAGTATTGAGAGCCGAGTGGCTCGTGGTGGAGACGGAGGAGGAGCAACTCCAGCAGCTCCAAGAGGTTGTGCACAAGCTTCAAAAGGCTTTCAAGTTCTCCAATAGACTGCGGACTCTAGTCAAACTGGCTAATAGTACACTAGCCAAGTGCGACGAGCTCGTGGAGCGCAGTCAGGCGCATCTGGAGCAGTGTAACCTTATGTTCGCTCAATGTGCGACCGAGATCGCCACACTAACGGACTATTTGAGTAAGTTGAGAGAAGCTGTGATCCCGCCGCTACAGACCAAGGACCATAACGAGGAGAAGAAAAATGCTCGACGAGCAGAGTGGGCGCTGGCCAGGATGACTCAATGTTCTCAGTCTATGGTGTCGGAGATGAGAGAGAGCTTGGATGAATTGGATGACTTGACGACCGAGTGCACCAAGTTGATGGTGCAGAGTATCACGTTGCTGCATATGAGAGGAAGATCTGCTGATTTTAGCGGCACTGGTGTGGCTGCAGGCGCGGCTGGTGTGGTGGCTGGAGCGGTCGTGGGTGTGGCTGGAATTGTTGCTGCTCCAGCGACGAGTGGGCTGAGTGTACCCATCTCACTTGCGGGCAAGAGTTTGTTTCTGTCGGGTATTGCGGCTCTGACGCCGTCCAGTATCATGCTCACCCGTAAGTTGTTGTGTCTGGTGGTGGTGTTTATGGAATGTCTGACTATTTATTCTTATCGAACAGGCCAAAGCCAGCAGCTTCATGGACTGTCGTCGCTGGTGGTGAATCTCAAATCTTGCTTGGAGATTATGAATCAGAAAAGGGAAGAGATGGCAGTGGCTTTTGCAGCGGTGGAAGGTCTCGATCTAGATATTAAGCAAGCGACGGACTTCTGCCAGGACGCGATCGAGCTGGAGAGCTCCATTTACGTGAGTTTTACTGGAATATTTTCTTGTGTGGTAGAGAAAATTTACTGTATTCTTTTGGTGAAACTTGTAGGAGAATTCGTGGGGCTTTATTGAGGATATCAGTGTGAAGCTCATGACGCTCAACCAGTCGGTACAGCTCTTCCAGGCGTCTCCAAGTATCTGGCACTTTTGCAAGTCGGAAGATGCCATGTACCAGTACCTGCTTGCTGAAGAGGAGGAAAACTGAGCTCCAGTAGGATACTGTGACCACGGAATACACAATTCATCGCCACGCAGCAGCAGAGGTTTGTATCCACGCAACTATGCGCGGACATTATCGCCCACTTTCATTTTGTACATGTAGCCATTTTGCGTCGTATTCGCAAAAAGTACATACCCGCTTTTGTCAATCAATTCTTTTGTCAACTTTTCTACTACTTAGTAGTAACTTACAAACAGAACTCAATTTTACATTCCTGGCCATGGATCTGTACGCGGATTTGCCGCTGGCCAAGGGCGCGAAGGCGTCCTCAGCGCTCGATGCAGATGGCAAGCCTAAAGCCTCCCTGTCCTCTACCAGTTCCGGTACGTGTTTCATCTGGGTCACGCCCAATGTCTTCTAAGCTCCACCACAAAAAGACCCACCAACTCCTCTCTATATCTCTGTAAATCCCGCCTTTTCTCGCCTTCTAGTATGGGCCAGCGCGCCGTTGATGGTGCCACAAGCGGCCAAGAACAAGAACAACAATCGCCCGACAGCGGTAGTCACCAGTGTAGGGTTTTGTGGCCACAGGCAAGAGATTTCGATGGTGTAAAGACTCATGACGATGTTCGAATGTCCGTTATTGCGGGCAGAGCATGTCGATGCTGCCCGCTGCATTGGCCGCAGGAAGAGGCAAAAGCCCGATGCGCTCGGCCATCTCATTGGCCTTCAAGCCAGCGTCGGTGGCCAGGAGAGCGATGGCGGCCAACGTAGGATTCCAGAAGGAGCAGAAGGACAAACCGGAGGCAGCCCGGCCAATAGGCAGTGGACTGGGATACGTTGCGGCCACGGAGGTGAAGGTGACGTCACTGCAGCAGCATCAGAAACAGGAGAAGGAGGACGTGGATGTGGGTCTTGATGCCGCTGGAGGACACTTTTTCCAGGTCACATATCGAGACGAGTACCATCCTGCACGACCTAACAGCTACGAAGTGTACTGCAAGGAAAGAGAGGACAGAAAGAAAATGGAAGAAGTGAAGAAGGAGCTGACTCGACGGCAAAGAGAGCAAGAAAGAGAGGTAGGAAGGGACTTATATCGGTGTGTGAGCAACGTGTGACGATGTGGACTGGACGATATAGGGCAAACTGGAGCGTGAGCAATTGGCAAAGGATCTGGCTGAAGGTCGAGCGCCAACGATGAAGCTACCGGCACCTGCTGGACGCGGACGAGGCATGACTATGCCGGCTTGGATGCGCAAGAAAATGTTCGTTCATTGGTGTGAAAAGGATCTGAGTGAGGCTTACTAACTGCTAAGCTGTTACAGTGAAGAAAGCGCTGCTGTGGCCGCGTCACAGCCCGAGAGTGAGCATGATGGCGACCGAGACAGGGAATCGAAGAGCTCAGAGATGAATGCAACTGCTACTGAGGGGCAGTTTGAAGACGCCGTGGAGCGACGAGGCGGCCTGGGATTCTCGAACAGGGGCATTGGATTCTCTTCGTCCGGAGTAACAGCCGAATCAAATGCTAAACCTCGAGGGAACACTTCGAGTGGTGGCCATCACGATAGCAAGGATAGAGATTCTGCACACAGACCAGAGCTGGATGAGTTTGGGAGAGAAATTCGACCAAAGCGAAAATATGGAGACCAGCGCGAAGGTCGTAGGGTGAGCTCGAGCAACTACGACGACAGGCGCGACATCTGGAACAGGAACAGTGCAAGCGATTCTTCTAATGAGAAGCGGCGGCGTACAAGCGGCTGGGATCGTAGATCGCCAGTGAGAGCGTCTTTAACTAGCTCTGTGGTGCTACTACAGGTGAGAAACTATCGCCAACGTAGCTGCGTATCGATCCCTGCTGATTAAGTGTGTGCGTTGTTAGAATATGGTTGGGCCAGGTGAAGTGGACGATGAATTGCAAGAAGAGGTTAAGGAGGAATGCTCTGAGAAGTATGGCCCTGTGATAAAGTGTGTGATCTACGAAGTGACCGGAAGAGTCCCACCTGAAGAAGCAGTTCGAACATTCGTCCAGTTCAAGAATGCAGGAGATGCTACGAAAGGTACAGTGGAGTACAGCAAGAACCTCATACCATCGAGATTGCAACTGATTGTGTGTTGGTTTAGCTTTGACAGGGTTGAATGGACGATTTTTTGGAGGTCGCAAGGTCAAAGCTGTGTACTATGACGAGGGCAAATTTCAGAGAATGGACCTAAACAGCCAGTAGAGAAAGACACTTACAAATCACCATGTAAGTGAGTTATGGACACGCTTTATTTGTTTGACAACTACATGTCGTTTGTGTGACCGTGCATCAGAGTAGCATTGTGATGATCAATAGTGCATTCAAGTTTGAGCTTGGCGAACAAAAGACTTACATTATTCCTGTGGATAATGCAGCACGACGGCTATGGAAATAACAGCAAACGATGTGTACAACGCCAGTAGAGTGTAGCAAAGCCGCGGGCGGTATCGAAAGCCGTCGTACGATGCGATCCCAATGTTCAGCAGCAAACTCAGCAAGAGGTATCCGAAGCTCATGTAAACCAACGGCGACGGCTCGCCCATGGAGAGAGGGCCCCGTGAAATGATGGCGATCGTAAGTGACAACCCAACGCCGACCAGCAAGTTGAACATTGGCCCCGCAAAGCAGCCCGCGAACGCCATAGTAGGGAATCCATCGCGTGCGATCGCCATGTTGGATACGAGGTCTCCAATAGAGTTTCCCCACGCCAGAACCTGTGAATCATTCAACAAACCCACGACAGTTAGACTCTATACTATTTCTGAAGCCTCACAAGACCATGAACGCACCGATACTCCTAGAACGGAGCTGGAAATCCCGAAGAGCTGACCCAGTGTCTCCAAAACAGCAAGCACTTCATTGGCAATGTTCATGATCCAAATGACCGACATGACAAAAGCCAAGCAAATCAAAAGCGCCAATTGCCAGCCTTCTGGCGGTGTAAGTGGAGAAGTGGAGTACTCGATGGTAGCGCTGAATATTCCACCCACAACGATGACCGTCATTAGGAAAACGGGATCTTCAAAGCTGAAAGAAAACACCGATATGCCGAACAACAGCATCGCGAAAGGTGGGCACACTACAACCAGGTTCTTATCCCACGTATCCTCGTCCACCAGCGGGATCGTTAGTCGTCGAAGAAACACAGTGAAGACTTCGATAGGAGTCCAAATGAACCGCATAAAGGCCCAATAGATACCTCCTCCCGCTCGGATAATAAGTCTTCTCCACCGCTTCGCTTGGACCTTTACTCGATCGAAGGAAGACACAGCCATACTCGCCTCCAGAGCAAGTTCTTCTTCTTCTTTGGCTTCCTGCTCCTTTCGTTGTGTCTCGTCCTCTGATGCTTCTTCCACTTCTGTTTCAACATCCCCCGCCTCGGCAGAAGGTGAGAACTCTTCGATATCACTGAGTGCATGAGCGTGATACCCGCGCGTCCAGCGTCTCGCTGAAGCCCCAAATTGTGCACTCCGTTCCAATGATTCCCAAGTTGATTTACGTTGACGTCTTTGTCGTCTCATTCGACGTAGTGAATCTTGCATTGACCCCACACACATGGACGACGGTCGCTTGAGATGAACATCAGTGACTTCTAGTAACGATTGGCCTTCAATCGGCCCCAACTCGTCACAGATGTGAGGCTCTGATCGTGGTGTCGGCAACGAACTCTTGCGATACAACAGTCGATCGAGAAACCGCGGAGACGGCTCCGATTGCTCTGAATCCGAGAAAATTGGCGTGTGATTGAACGTGTCGTAGACTTGAAGCGTTTGGCTCTTCAAGTACGGCCGACGTTTCTGCTCTGTGGGCTGTAGTAGCATCAACGGACTCTCCGCAGGACTCTTTTCACTCATCGATGACGACGACCAGTACTGCAGATCATCGTCGTCGTCCAGCACAGCGTAGATGGACTCTTCTGGTACTCTTGATGGGAAACACCAACGGGCTAAATACTTGTCCGAGAAGACCACCAATACGTACACAAAGTAGATGCACAGGAAGCCGACAGCCTCCAATAGCTCCACTTTGCCGTCGAAGAACACTAGTCCTAGATACAGAACAGCGATCAAGTAGAACATCACGTCACGTAGGAAGGTGCGTGGGATCAACTGGTCCTGACCTTCCGATACGAGTCCCACACACGCCGTGATGACGGTCGTCACTAGTAATCCACCACCAAGGATGGACGTCACGCCGATCGACGGCGTAGGCGTTGCGAATGCTGCAATGTTGGAGAAAACGTCGGGTGACCCGTTACCGAAGCTCAAGAAGGTCACACCGGCCACGTGAGGAGGGATACGGTACTTCTCGACGATAGCCTGCAATACCGGGCAGAAGAACTCGTCGGCCGTGGAGCTCAGTAGATACAACAGCAGCACGAGACACAGCACGAGTGCGGCCTTGGCTAGAACAGGCGAGCTCTGTAGCAGTGGCGTGCAGTGTACCAGGTGATCGTAGTCGATGAAGCTGTCGCCCGTACTGGATGGCCCCGAGCAGTCGTAGGATGGAGTGTCACGGACTGCAGGGTCCTCGCCGTTGACAGCAGCAGCAGTGACCGACGCCACGGACGCGAGCCACAGCGACAGCAACGTCAGCAGTCGCGACCACTTGAGCATGACGACGGGAATAACGGAGTGAGCTGCTGGATCGCGAAACAGGAATGAGGCGAACGTACGGAGGACCACAACTTCGTGATGTGGACCGGGCAATCGACTAACTGGCGAAGCCATGACTGATTCAAATGCAAAGTCTAACGTGGCAAGAGAAAGGAAGGCTGAACCAGGAATCCAACAAAAACACGCGTAGCAAGTGCTGCTGCTTGCGACTGAGATATCGGATACTACTCACAGCCTGTGAATGGACCATCAAACATTTGTGATGCAGAGATTGCCTTCGTTGTTGCTGCAGTAGCGACAGAATCTATCCAAACCAATCAATTCCTGCGAGCTCTTTCGCTTTTGACTTCAAACTTTGAGTCGAAGGTTTTGTGAAGAATATGGAGGGGTAGCCGTTGGAGATGTTGAGATGTCTTGGTTTGTGAAGAATACGGTGTAGCCGTTGGTGAGTCTTGTAATACCACCTACTGCGTTGTTTATGATAAGAAGAAGCTGCGGCACTATTTCAAGAAACGAAGATGTCTGCATGTAGCTTTTCCATTCAACTATTTGTCAGGTAAGATTCTCCTGTGGTGTTGCAGAAATATCCATCGTGGTGGATATTTCTTCGCCATGCCGTTCCTTCCATGCGGTGCAGCATGCTGTGACAGGGCTGTCAACAGCCTAATAGCGGTGCCGGCATCACCGCAACTGCGAATTTCGCTAGACTGTCGTTGTCTGGCCAAGCCTACCACACCAGCTCAAAAACATAATCTCGATCTCCGCTGTCAGCAGCTCGCTAAGAGATGTCCTTATTCTGGGCAACAAATACAGGTATGCATGTATTCGTTGACATCGACTCCCGTTGAACGGTCTCCGCTTCAACCACTTCAACCAGCTGTACCCATTCTGCTAAATGGTGTAAGATACACAATATCATATTCGAATGACAAGCTGCTGTCATTTTTCAGGTTCGCTTTTGCCGCTGCTGCCACCTGAACATGGCGAAAAGACGCAACGGCCACAAAATGTCACAAAGTCGTCACCGAACATCAGATAGCAAGCGATCGTCGTGCGTCGTTCCACGTCAACTTGACCCTTTTGGATGTGCCTATTCCTGCTCACACTTGGTTTCACCGGGCCAGCGGCACAGGGCTCCATCCAAATTGACATGGTTCATCGTCGTCGTGCCAAGCAGCAGGTCGTTAATGCGGGGGACTCCAATTTGTCCTTCTCTTTCGCCTGCGGCGGCTGGCTCAAGATGTACCTCTTCGGTGTTGCCAAGGCGCTGCAAGAGTTCGAGCTCGAGAAGAACGCGCGGCTTATTGGCTGCTCAGCCGGCGCGCTGACGGCCACGGGACTGGCGCTGCGTTGCAATTTCGACGCAATCCGCGACCACGTGCTCCATAACATCGTCCCGCAGGCGCACTCGTCGCTGGCCAGCTACTTTCGTGTCCGGCCGTACTTGCGCGACACGCTGGCGCGGCACGGCGGAATGGACCAATTCGAGGCGCTCAATGCGTCGCAACAGCTCACGATCGTCTACACGTCGCTGTCGTCGCTCAAGTCGCGACGCGCGACCACCTTCGAGTCGGCGGAGCATCTGACGGAGACCTTACTGGCCTCGTGCTGCGCCCCACCCATCGCTGGGCTGCCCTTCAAGCTCAATGGGGAGTGGATCATGGATGGCGGCATGCTCGATTTCCAGCCTGTATACAACAGTAAGACGGTGACAATCAGTCCGTTCTACTGTGTCGGCGCCGATATTAAGCCGTCGGTATACGTGCCCATGTGGTGGGCATTGATCCCGCCCGGAGTGCGCGATGTCGAGTGGTTGTTTGACTTGGGCTACGAAGACGGTCTCAAGTGGATCGTAAAGAACGGATTGACTGGTGGCCGCAAGGACGTCGTGATCCCAAATAAGAGCACGCACTACGCTGGCGGATGGAATACAACGGTGGGTCGTGTGGTTGGCTACCGTGCCTGCGAGAGCCACTTCCTGGACGCACTGTTCATCGGGCTGTTCGTGTGTTTATGGAGGCCAATGGCATTCATTTGCCTGTACTTGGAGCTCTATCTGCAGGCTATTGTGTCTGGCGGCAAGGCCGTGGTCTTTGGAGCCGCGGCCAAGCTGCTAATTTCGAATATCATCATGGCCGCGTTGGCAATGGCCCTGGCCACATTGGGCCTACAGGACACAATGTTGTTCCTGCTAGGACTTGCGGCGACAGGATTCTTCTTGGGTGGAATGGTTCTACTAGTGGGAGGTCTACAACAAGCGAGTGCGGCGGCGTCGGCCGACTGGCAGAAGTGCCGTTCGTACATGCGCAGCATCACGAGTTTGTCGCTCTTTTTGCACAGCATGCCAGTAATCGGCGCTAAAGTACAGATCAAGCGTCACGAGTTCCTACTGAAGCATTCACTAGTGTATCGTGTCGCGATGCATTTCGTGTAGACAGTAGAAACCACCTAAAATATTGTACCACCGAGATATAGGTGCGACCAATGTATCTTATACAGCACACACGTACGACCCACGCACACGAAGGTCTCTAATCGACTCGATTGCAAGGTGAGACAGCACCGCTATCACGGTTAGTGAAGCTTGCCAGCCGATGCCAAGCACCTAATAGAATCGTGCGACGAACAGCGCTCTGATTCAGCAGTTTCGGTCGTTTCAGATGTTGGTGATGGAGGCTCGTCGAAATCTCACCTCGCGACCTTTCGCGAGTGGTACATAAATAGGTGGAACCCAAATTTTTTAGAATGGGTATCATCAGGCAAAATGGGTAACAAATGCATCTGTCGTGCAGCCTGCACTGCAGGCGGTAATAGGAGGTGGCAAGAACGCTCCTTGCTCATAAGAAACACGATTGGATTTTAATGGTGCTCAGCACTGTTGACCTTCTGGCGAATGCTTGCTTGGAAGGCCGTTACTATAGAATGGTAGCATTTCAATTTTTTCATTGCGTGGTAAGATGATTACATCCACCAAAGAAGGACAGGTACAGCAATGAACGAAGATCTCGGGTAGAAGGACTTCATAGTTGTGATGTTCGAGGCGCCGGAAAGTAGGGTGTCGCGGTTTTCAGAAAAAAGACTCGCACTTATACGGGATCTTACAAATAATAAGTGTTCTGCATCTTTGTCATGCTGTATTTGACAACATGTTTGGATTTTCTTATAAGTGCGAAAAAGCAGCACAAGATCTTACAGTCCCTGAGTTGTCAGCAAGCCTGACTCAGGTCCAGAACACGACCTGTTGTTTCTTTGCAGCGAAATACCCATTTGAATAGCTATCCAAATGCCCATTTGTTGAGCACTGAATGGGTCCACGACCTTTCATCTCATGACGTCACAGGCACTACTGTCACCGAATAGTAGTAATATGTGCTGTATCATTCATCACGCCATACAGTACTCCGTATCGGTCTGATTGATGGACTTGCCAAACCGCACATTCGGTGGCACAAATTCTCTTATGACATCAGACAAGTCTCATCATGGTGTAGTGGTGCAGTGCGACTTGTCGACGAATAGCTCCTCATGCGTTCCTCGAGCCCGCAGCGCGCGACTCGCTCGGTCTGACTTCGCCATCAGATTTGCTTTCTCTACCATTCGCATCGATCTTGTTTCCTCGCTGTAATGGCTCGCCGTCGCCATGATAGCCACGCGTCTCCCAAGACATCGTTCAAGGACATGTCCTTCTCGTTCGCCTGCGGAGGCTACCTTAAGATGTACCTCTTCGGCGTTGCCAAAGCGCTGCAGGAATTTGAGCTGGAGAAGAACGCACGCCTCATCGGCTGCTCAGCCGGCGCTTTGACGGCGACAGGGTTGGCACTACACTGCGACTTCGACGCCATCCGTGACTACGTGCTAAACAACGTCATCCCTGGTGCACACGAGTTCCCTGGCGGGTATTTCCGTGCACGGACATTTTTGTTGGACACGCTAAAGGCTGAGGGTAAACTGCACGAGTACGAGAAGCTCAATGCATCGCAGCAGCTCACGGTGGTGTACACGTCGCTATCGGCGCTGACGTCGCGTCGGCTGACGACGTTCGACTCGCAGCAGCACCTGACTGACAGTCTCATGGCTTCATGCTGTGCTACACCAATTGCTGGAATGCCCTTCAAACTCGGCGGTGAGTGGGTCATGGACGGCGGGATCTTCGACTTCCAGCCAATCTATGACGAGAAAACGGTGACTGTGAGCCCATTCTACTGCACTGGAGCAGATATTAAACCGTCGGTCTACGTGCCGATGTGGTGGGCTATGCTGCCGCCCCGCGTGCGCGACGTAGAGTGGTTGTTTGATTTGGGGTATGAAGACGGACTCAATTGGATCGTGAAGAACGGACTCACTGGCAAGCGTAAAAATGTGGTCATCCCAAACAAAAGTGCCGAGTATGCCAGTGAATGGAGCACGACGGTGGGGCGTGTGGTTGGATACCGCGGCTTTGAGAGTCGAGTACTGGATGCCCTCTTCGTGGGGCTCTTTGTATGCCTCTGGCGTCCTCTTGCTTTCCTCTGTCTGTACTTGGAACTGTACTTGCAGGCTATCGTTTCGGGCAGCAAGGCTGTGGTCTTTGGAGCCGCGGCCAAGCTGTTCATCTCGAACATTATTATGGCCTTGTTGGCGATGGCAATTGCTACTCAGGGTTTCCAGCACACGCTGTTTTTCATGCTGGGTCTGACCGCGACTGGTTTCTTCTTGGGTGCCATGGTGCTGCTGGTTGGTGGTCTGCAGCAGGCTGCGACGGTTGCCTCGAACGACTGGCAACGATGCCGCTCTTACATGAGAAGTATTACAAGTCTGTCGCTCTTTCTGCACAGCATGCCAGTGGTGGGCTCTTGCGTGCAGATCAAGCGCCATGAGTTCCTGCTGCAACACTCCCTAGTGTATCGCGTCGCAATGTACTGCATGTAGTCACCTTGCGACTCTTATTATTTAGCGAAGTTCTGCGTAGTAGACTCAGTCTACATGTAGTAACAAAAAGACTTTGCATTGCATCACGTGGATTCAAGGTCTTGTCTTCGTTTCAGCGGTTTAGTTTTCATGACATCACGCGCGGTAACCGAGGGCGAACGCGCCACTATCCACTCGCCTCTTGCATGTCCGTTGCAACCGACCCGCAGCAGACACGCACGACTCGTAGGCTTTGTCGTACCCCACGATCGGTTTTGCGACTTGCACAAGGTTGCGTGAAAGCGGTTAAGACATCTACTTGTAGATCTACTGCACATGTCCGGCGTCGACAAGTTTGAGTAAACTCTCGTTCATTAACTGCATCACACGGCTACCACAATACCGAAAAATGCTATTTCCAAGGAACAAAGCCATAAAACGAGTCCAAATGATGTGATGGGGGCTCTCATTTGTCGCTTGTTAACGATACTCACGAGCACACATCCTTACAAGTACTTCATATCCTCACTCCGTGCCATGTTCACAACATAATTTACACAAAGACGACCTGGTCTGGCGCGGCAAGTGGTTTCTACCTCATCGGTAGGACAAATCCCATCATTAGAGCGCGAACTGGTTAGCGTAGACTCCTTGGAAGCCGAACGTATTGGTGAAACGTGTGACCTGAATTGCTCCTGACATTAGAGTAGTCGGGTGTTCTTGGTGCTTCGTGAATGCAGCATCGCCGTAAATCGGATCGCTGGATTGAGGGTCCATGTTGACCTTGCGTAGTGTGAGGTCCGTGAAGCGCAACAGCTTCAACTCGAGACGGTACATGAGCATCATCATGCGCAGCGCCTTGGCTTCGTCGTCGAATGCAGCGATCACAGCCGTATCCTTCCAGTTACGACGACGCCAGGTGCGCAGTGCGTGGATCCATTGTTCCTGAGTCTCGGGCGTCGACGCTCCCAGCACTATACGCGTGCGTCGGAAGTGTTTGATCGAACGTTCGGTGTCATGCACTGAGCGGACGGGGCACAGCTCGACGCAGAAGCGGTTGGGTGTTAGTCCACCGTCAATGGGCTGCACCGATACGCGGTGACGAGTGAGCAAGAACTGGCCAATGAAGCGACCGTCCTTCTTGTCGTAGTACTGCAGCATTCCGCCTTTGAGCTCGAAGTAGAGAGGATCCTGTAGAGAAGAAGAGCAGGTCAGCAGCGGATAGACTAGATAAAGGCCGATCGACCTACCGCCTGTCGTCCGATATCGTGTAGCAGCAAGTAACCTTCGTAGTCGGCCATGGTCTGTCCGTTGTTGTGCTTGTGCTAGTTAGTAACTCGAGGAAGAGTCGCTATCGAGAAATGACCAGCGGCAGTTAACCACGTTAGTGCTTGCTAGCAATTTCCGTACTGCGGCCTTTGCTTTCGCGTCGGCCTGTCCAGGTGTGGAGCATTCTGGTCATCATCGAGAGCATTCGGACCATGGCACCGTTACGGCTGTTGGCGGCGGTAGGGGAATGACTCCAGTGTTGAAGTCAACTTCAGTTATTCTGTAAGCTAGGATCATGGCAAATAGAAGTGTATTTACGGTAATCGATCTTTGAACCCTTCTAACAGCATGATAAGTATGCGGCTTGGAAAATCAACTTGCAAACCTCTTGTAGAAGAGGAAGCGACGATAAGCTCTCTCAACGAGTTTCGCGCTACATGAAAGCCTTCGATATAGACCAGTTTTCGTGGATGGAGCGCCACGAATGAGGCGGCAGTGGAAGTGACAAACGATATTTCTCGGGGTATGTGGTGCCGCGAGCGTGATGGCGGCCGGACGTCGCTGGACTGCCGGCGTGAGTAGCTTGTCGGCTCAGTTCTCGCACTGGATGCAGCACAGCTTCATCTCAAGATGAGTACGTGGCAGCTCAGCTCGCGGCAAATATATCTGCCGGTCGTCTGAACTGTACGCCTTTGGAACTGGCGTGGATTACCAAATGGCGTGCAGGGTTCTCGCTGGTCATATCGACTTCACCATAAGCTTTCTGCATTTACATTTCATCAGGGCGGGCGAGTTGTGCAAAATGGCTACAGGTGCTTGAAGCCTCTTCTTCAAGTGTATGCTGATCACCGCGACCCAGCTGTTCAACAGCCTGTTGGCTGCTCAATGCGCTCGGAGCGCGCTGTGCTGCTGGTGAAAGTTGACAAAGCGCTTGATTGTGCTCGCGACGCAATCGTTTTACGTCTCGGTCGGGCTTTCCAGCATTTTGCCCCTGCCGGTGAATCGGAAGCTCGGGGTCGTGATGACGAGGAGCACGACAAGGCGATCACAACTAAATTATACGAATACATGTGCATGAACATGCACACTGCATGTACAGGCAGGATAAGAAGCCCGCAACTGCGGACGGGCACTACAGCCGAGCCGAATACGGACGACGAAGGAGATCAATTGCCACTGGCAACTTGCCAGTGATCATCGCTGCTGCCGGCATGACGTTGGAGCTTGAGACAAAAGGATTCACGGCGATCACGGCTGGATACACCGCTGTCCGCTTCGGCTATAACCGCGCCACTTTCCAGTAGAAAGCTTCCATGCAAGCCGCTGCTGCCACGCTCCGTGTCCAATTGCCTCAATTGGCGCTCGCTTCTTGTCTACAAGTATCATGAGCCTTTCGTCGCCATCTCGCCGCATCAAAGTCGGAACTTCCCGACATCCAAAGCGTTGTGCGAGCAAGGCGAGCACAATCAGCAGCAAAACAGGGGAAAGCCTGGAACAGGGGGGCGCACATTACACACAGCGATTCAGCCAATAGAAGCCGACTGTTGCTGACCATATCCTTCGAGAAAACATATTTAACAAAGTACTGTCACAGCGTTGTACCCAGATCCATAGATCACCCTGCATCCATTTCCTGTGAAACTCAATGTTGATGAACTTTCCATAAATCTGCATCTCAAACCCTCAATTACGAGCTCTCAAAGAAATCCCGAGCCAAAATACGAAATCGCTATCAAGTAAAACGTATCAGGTTTTCACACTTTCATAGAAGATCCATCTGCGGTTTTCAATCACACACACTCTCTTCCTCCTTCACTTGCGCTCACTATCCAAAGCGCCTCGGTTGGAGCTTTACTGCGCCCTCTATTTAAAGCACAGAATGTGTGTACGGCCTCCAAGTGCCGCGCGCTCTGCTCGAGCCGAGCGGGCCGCTGCCAAGGCCGTCGCGGCCGGCGGGTCGCGTGCCTCGATATCCATGCGCCCGCGCTCATGTTCCAACGTTTCTACGGCCTCGAGTAGCTGGTCTCCTACGGGCATCAACGGGGCTTCACGCGACACAGTCTCGGGCCGCTGGGTCGAGGATGCGGCCGCCCGTACGTGCGCCAAGTGTGAGAAGGGCTTCTCGCTCGTAAACCGCCGCCACCACTGCCGCGTGTGCGGCGAGATCTTCTGCCACGCCTGCTCTCGGACGCGCATGGTGCTGGCCACGAACCCTGGCGAGATTCCACGTCGCCAGCGCGTATGCGACCCATGCGCCGCTCACGCGCACAGCAGCGCTGTTCTGTACGAGGCTGAGGAAACGGCCCTTGGCCCACGTTTCCGCACCAAGACGGAGATCAGCGAGACTCCCCCAGTCACGGAGGAGCTGCTGCTGGCCAAGGAGAAACAGGAGAACACCGTTGTCAAGACGCAGACCAAGCCATCGGACGCGGACAGCAGTTTGAGCTTCATGGTGGCCTCGGCCGTGGGCTTCGCGGCCGCCTTCTGGTTCCTCAAGGACGAGGTGGCCATGTCCAACCCGGCTATCTGGATTTTGCTGGCCGGCTTCGTCAAGAACGTGTACGAGATCGTGTTGAGGATAAGCGCCGCCAGACAATTCACAGACGGCGTGACGGACCTGCAAGATGCCGAGAAGATCTTTAGCGGTATGGATCTAGACGCCACGGACGACCTGTCTACCACGACGACCGCCACGTCCACATCGGCCGTCTCGGAGAAGCCCAAGGAGAACAAGTACGCTGGTGTCACGATCACACCCGCACTGAGTGACGAGCTCATTGCCAGCTCCCAAAAGTCGTTGGACAAGGTACTGGAACTGGCCAGCGTGGACGTGACGACGGATTCCGCCTGGACGGAGGAGATCCCCACCACTGAGAACGTGACGGTCCACTCACGCGACGGCAAGCCGTCCCGCATCTACAAGTGTGAGGGCGAGATCCCTCTCTCCCCTGACGAGCTATTTGATGAACTGTACACGAACCTGGAGGTGAGCAATGTGTGGAATGTGACGGCGGCCGAGAGTAACGTGATCTGCAAACTGGACGAGACGACTGACTTGGTGCACCTGATTTCGGCCCCTGCTCTTGGTGGCGTGATCTCTAGTCGTGACTTTGTTAACACCCGCACGTGGCGTCGCCAGGACGGTGGAGGCTACGTTATCGCCAACAGCTACGCCGGAAAGAACATTTTGAAGCCCCAGAAGGGCATTACTCGAGGTGAGAACGGCCCGACGGGCTGGGTCATCCTGCCGCACCCGACGTCTCCGTTCAAAAGTCGACTCATCTGGATCCTCAACATGGACATCAAGGGCTATTTCCCGTCAAGTGTCATCCGCAAGGGCTCCATCAGCGAGGTATCTTGCTTCGTGCGTAACCTGCGTCGTTACATTGCTGAGAAGAACGGTGGGGACGAGTTTACCGCCGAGGCTTCAACTGAGGTGCAATAAATTGAAATCAGCCTGCATCAAAATCCCAGAAAAATCAAGACCAATGACGAGTGATGTTGCTACTGAACTGAGGCGGGCAATGCAAGCGGATCGAACGCTTGCTTCTCGCGCCTCTAGCTCTCAGTTTGGCTCTAGTCTTGGTTCTGTATCTGTTTGTGTCCGTTTTCTAGTGGAGCTGTCGCGTTCAACGGAAAATTCGACCAATTAGCTTCAATCTACTACTACAACTCAATCAAGGTCAAGCGAGGTGACAGAAGACATGAAACCCAGCGACCGCCACTATCGTGTCACCCGTGAGCTCAACGGAATGCCGTCGGACGACGCGATACCTGACAAACTTCTTTTACATTTTACATTACCTATTTGCTTTTTTGTTGGAACGATGATACAATAAAGAATACTAGCCTTACTTAATTGTTTATTGTGCTGTGTAGCAATGGCTGGACATGGAGGATGGTGGAGTTGGAGATGGCAAGACACTGTTGATTAATTTATCTTAACCTTTTTTACCCATCAACGCCCACTTTGGCGTTAGTTGTGGGCTTTGTAGCTCCCCAAGGTATCGTGGGGACAGCAAACGCGTTGACGACAGAGGCTATGCTGACACCTTTGGCTGATGGAGGAGTTGTGTCAAGATCCCGAGCAGTGTTGACGACCTCGACGCCTTCTTCTTCTGTTTCAGAGTCCGGAGAAGTTGTGCGACCAGCAGCATATTTCTTTGGAGAAGTTGATTTGCTATTCGCCTTTGCATTCGCGGCTGCAGAGCTGAACTTGGACATGGCTTTTGATACAGCGACTGCCGAGCCGAAGGATGCCAATGCTTGTGTGCTTGCGCTGAGTGCCGAAGCTGTAGCAGCAAGATTATTGCGGTCCCAGTACCATCCCATGACTCGGCTCACCGTCCATTCTGGAACTTCATCGTCATCGAGTTCGTCCCAGACTTTACAGAACAAGTTCCTGGTAATTAACTCTTGGCCCTCGAGCTGTATCGCCACGTCGATGAGAGCGTCAACGTGATCTTCCTTCATTGCCATGAGGAAGAGCGCATCCGTGAAGCCCAGTGAACGTGAGAACTGAGCTCGCTCTTCAGCACGATCTGCTTCTTGTTCTGAGAGACGGTCCCATGTGGACATGACGATGGCCATGAAGACATTAAGCATGAGGATGCAGAAGACGATATTGCCCGTGTAAATGAAGATGGCGCTGAAGATTCCTCCTTGGTCGTATATTGGACCTGGATCATACAGCCCGAAGTTGAGCTCAAAGACGCGAAAAAATGCCCGAGGGAATGTCGCCCACTCGGTGAAGTTCAAGCCATACAACATGTGGCCCGCGAACGAGTAGCCCACAATGACTGAGAAGTAGATTGGAATGAAGGACATCACTTCGGGCATTGCGCCGTAGATACTGCGCATGAGGCGTCGCCCTCCTTTGGTTACTTGGAAATATTTGAGCGCGCGAGCCGTTAGCAACAAAATGTTGAGAAGGTTGAGACCTAGCAGTATCCGATCCCAGATCATCAGTGGCAACGGATTAATATATTCGTCGAATGTCTTGAGCTCCAGCATTTTTTGGCGTGTTCCTGCTTTTTGGCTGCAGTATCGCCAGATTATGATTGCGATGTTCACTAAGATATTGCCCCAGTCCCCGATATTGTTCATCAATCCGTATCGAGCAATGTACTACAAGCACACAGAGCAAAATTGTCAATTACTAAGACTCATTAGTTAGCGAAATATAGGCAATGCTTACAATTCTGTAGTTGCCCCCAGAAAGAACGCAGACGTCCCAAAGCTCGAGAAGCGCGAAGTAGACGACGTGGCCGATATATATTGCTTCCAAAATCACGCGAACGATGTTTTTCTTCAGGTGAAAGTCATACGGCTCGAGGTTCAGTACGAGCACGTCAGAAGATGGAGTTACTCCACCTGCGAGATTGAAATCTATCGTTAAGTGTACGATCGACAAGACGCGAAGAGAAGGATTGTACAGCGCCATAACGATCACAACTTCCTTGGTTTGACGATCCACCCAGCCGTGCTGCTGCATTAAATTCGCTTTTACCAGTTCGTCGGCTCCATCCGTAGTGCTACGAAGGAAAAATGTCTGGTAGCCACTGATATCTGAATCATTGTCGGTCGAATACGAAAACATCTCGAGTGATTGGAGTTCCGCTAAACTCTCGTTTGTTCCATTGGTGACGCCAAAATCTTCGACAGACTCTTGCTTGGAGGAGTAACATGTTTTGTTTTGAAGCAATGGCGTGTCGCTAAAACAACTGCTGCCTTTGTTTACAGAATCACTGAAGTTTAGTGCCGCATACCGAGTTTGCCATAGATGAAATCCACCTAGAATAACTGTATGGGATGCTAATGTGTAGGCTTCGCTTCCATCACTTCCAGAATACATAATGCTGAGGAAAGAGTTGATGAACCAGTTCCAGAAGTCGTTAATACTGGTAATGTCATTGAAAACAATGCTTGATGATCCTTGTGGGGTCATCAGCAACTCCGTCTCAACAATATTTTGCACCACAGATCCTATAAATTTCGAGGTTAGACGAGTGTAGGGCAATCGAGAACAGCTTGCTACGTACGGCCAGAGATGTTTCGGTCCATGAGGAGAGCAGTCAAATAGATAGAGACGAATGTTATGAAAGCCAGCAGCTTTCGCGATAATAGTCGGAATTTGCGTTTTTCCTTGAGGTCCCGGAGCAAAAATTTCTGAGGAATGCCAACCGGTCGAGGCTTGGGCATAGCAGCCATCGATGTCACAAAACTCGGCAACGCCTTCATGGTCTCCACTTGACGATTGATCCCCGTCACCTTCACGCAGTACTAAACCGCTCAACTAGCTGCTACGCTTAGCATGCTATTCTAGAAACTGATGATCCACTCCTAGCACCTAATTCGGGAATTTTTCATGATAGAGAAGTTCGCTGCACAAAACAAAACTAAGTTAAGAAGTGCTACCATGAGTGGTAGGAGTGCTCGCTCTCGAGAGATGCCTGAAGCCAAACACGGTACTCAAATTAATCTCCTAGGGTATATGGTAACTCCTAATCTCGACGAATGCTTCTGTTTGGTACAGTGAACGTGGTGGTATCTCGGTACGCTTTGGCATTGCAGAGGAAGAACCAAAAGTTACGTTCGAATGCTGCTAAACCGAAAGTGCTTCGATTTCGCGACGAAGCTATTCATATGCCGCCAATGCCGTCAACCAGACAGGCCCCACCTGCAGTTATACCTTATCGTATACGTGCAATACCATCATCGAAGGATATATCCACTCAGAGTCTTTATCTAACTCCAAGACCGACGTTCCCAACTCGAATATCAATCCAGAAAGGAAGCAATCACCAAGAAATGATACGTTCTAAGCATGTTGAGCCATGTATAAAGAGTAGCTGTATCAGGTACGGAGACGTGGTAGAAACGAAAGCACATTCATCCCATGCAAACACGCCGTTGAGGCTGTGCAAGGCCGACGAGATGGAGCTGCTACAGAGCATACACTACCAGCTCTGCCATGCCGAGGCAAAAGCGGAAAATACTTTTCGACGACAGGAGCAACAAGCACAGGTTTGTTTCAGTTTAAACAATATCATGACGAGAAACTTACAAAAAATGTGAAGTCACAACTGCTGGCAGCATGGAAGATATTACAGTCGAAGCTGCGTCAACTGCAAAAGACCGCAATCGGCCTTGATTGTCAGCAGCATGCAAACCTGATGAAGACCTTTGTTGAAAACGTGGTACATACTACCAAGTTTGCTTTCCACTCGTCAAGCAATGATTGTGACGTGCTGTGCAATGCAGACAGAACCCAGCGCACTACTGGCCGTGAAGCTTCCCCGTTTTCTTGACAGCATAACGCAGCTGTGTACCTCCGTTCAAATAGCAGTTGACCGGTTAAGCTACTCTGACAATCCTTTTCAATTGAAGCAGCAAATGGAAAGTCTAACCTTGGAGCTTGACAACCTGGTAGACTGGATACAGGCTACAAACACCAACGATTCTGTAAGTTCATACAGCCATTTCACAAGTTTCTAGGCTCATGGGCGCTGATTTTTCCGTTCCAGATAACCAGCACTATTTCAACAGACCAAGAAATGCAACGCCTGGCCGAGCAGTCAGCCACAGCACTGCTTCAAATTGCTCATCTCGCCACGGAACTCAGAGTCGGGAGTAATTCTGGGACGCAGCTCCTTAACTCTAACGAGAATGACAACCTGGACTGATCACTCACGCTAAAAACCGTTGCCATTGATCCACATCGTTGAGGTCTACTTTGACAACGTCAGAATTAGTAGCCCCCTGCTGCTTGGCGTAATTTGTCAATCCACTTGTCGCGCTCTTGGATGTTCTGAGCACGCAGCTTAAAGACACGCCCACTATCTGCCGCCGACGAGCGCTTTTTGCTGTTCTTCTCGAAGAATCCTCTTTGCAGTTCGAATACGTGTGCTGACTTGCCTGGGGTGATGTCGAAGCCCTCACCAGCATCTCGTGATGGATCAACCTTGCAGCTGTTGCGAGACACAGTACTGTCAGCTTTAATTCAAACGTTCGGTTCACAAGTTCGACTCACCCAGTGAGGCAAAGCTCTTTGATAATTTTTCCACGCTCGTAGTCATCCTTAGTCCTCGCGTAGATAAGATTGGCACCGATGAGAATGAAGTACCGTTGCTTCCAATTCTTCCGGCCAAGGGGGTTTAGCACGTTTCCACCACCTCCCTGCTTGATCAAATACCCCTGCAGCTCAGTAACTTCCTTATCCTGGGCGGCTTCGATGACTTTTTGTTCAGGGAGTTGAACCTAAAGGGAGGGATTTCCACCTTACGTTAACCTCAACATGCACAAAATACCCTCAAAAACGTCTACGAACCGAGACGAACGCAGCTTCTTCCAGCAATTCCTTCTGCTTCGTGGCCATTGTGTGCATCCTGGTCAGGTCATTAATGGCGCCAACAAGCGCTTCTTTTCGCAGCTGTATAATGGCGGAGAATCCGTTAGTCAGGCTTCGTTTAAAGCAATCTCCACAGCAAACTCTTACCGATTGGAGTTTCGCAACTTCGACTAACTGTTTGTTGACATTTTCTTGCGCCTCCACTGTCTGCTTTTGATACATTTTTTGCTTGGCGTTGAACTCCTCAACTTCTTCCTCCTTTTTCTCGATCATTTCTTCTACCACATCGGTATCGTGCTGGCGGATTTTGTCCAGTTTCGCTGAAAACTCGGCAAGCTGCGGTCGAATAGTATTTTGCATGAACTTGGCAAGCTCCTCTTTCTGAGTTGTAAATCGTAGCGAAACATCAAGTAAGATTCGTGAACTGTACCAATAGTGTAGCATTCGACAGTACCTTCACTGGGCCTTTAGCTTGGTTAGTGAACTCCGCCATCAATTCAAACAAGTACGTCTGATAGTGGTGATAAAAGCGCTGTAAAATGAGTACAATAAACAATGATTAGGTTGAGATATCCCATCGTGGAGTCCTAGTATGGACGTACTTTGAACTCTGTTGACTGGAAAGAGTACCCATCCTCATCATCTTGAGGACCCAGCATCAAGTGCGCATCAACTTTGTCCGTCATCTTGGTGTGGAGTGTAGTGAGTAGTGACTGGCATAGCTCCGAGGAAATTCGGTTGTTCTCCTCCTGGATCGTGGCGAACACTGACTCCACCAAGTCACGGAATAATTTCTGCATAAAAATGGTTAGACAACACTGAAGCACATTTCTAGACCATAGAGTTCACTATATACCTGCAGCAAAGTACTGAGTTTTCCCGATTGAACCGGCATCGTGCGCAATGTTGTCTTTGCCTCGCGCTTTGCAGCACTGTGAACTGCATAAAGAACCTCGTTTTCGCAAGGCAACTACCAAGCACTAATATGAGAGGCGATACACAGCTTGATCGTCAAATAAGTGGTACTTACCTCGATCAATTCCTGGCGCTCTCGGACCGGAGCAAGCGCTGGCTGGAATCCTTTGAGGTCTGAAATGTCGACAACGCTGCCTAGTCGTTCGGACATTCGAAGTTTGTAGAGTTTGGCTCCATTCTCGACAACATTGAGGCAACAGTTGTGAATCGAGTCCTTCCAAATCCGACCCTTAAAAGCCTGTCAACACACACACTTTATAATCTGAATAACCCCACGGTGCAAGTCTTGAATTTACCTTGAACACGTTGTCACGGTGAGCCAGCATGGAGACAACGATAGAACCGATGAGCGGGCCATTAAGAACAACGCCCTTTAGATAACGATTGTGGATCGAGTCGGTGAAGACGCGCGATAATTTCTCCACACGTTTCTCAAACGCTTCTGATCCTCTTGGTGGGACAGCAAAACATCCCTGATCCAAGAAAACAGTCTCGAACAGCTTGCTAAAAAATGCACTCGACGAGTCTTCAGGCAATGCAGCCAAGGCATTACACAAATACGTCTGCTCCGCTTCCTGTAGCGACAATCCACTCTCCTGAACCTGCTCTTTCAGCTCACCAGTAGTGACATTCTGCACCACCCAAAGCAGCTTTGGTGACTGTGGGAAAGCTACCGAAAACAGACAAAACAAACAACGATATTAGCCAAGACAAAACTAAAACTTCTACTAAATTATTCAACTTACTGTAGGCAGGTGGTGCATCGCTCTCTTCAGTATTCGACGCAAGAAACGCGAACTGGTCGACAGCTTCAGGGCTTAAGTGGCCATCCACATGGTTCACCACAACACTACTCAGACCCGCGAGGATTGAGTACAGCAGTGTGTCCAATCGCTGCAATAATATAAATAACTGTTAGTCAAAATAAAAGTATAATAGGTGTATTGTGATAGCCTTACCTTGTCGTCTCCGAAGCCTGGTCGGTCCAGCACGGCCAGATATTTGGCGTTGGGGTAGTTAGCACGCTTGATATACAGCCATACACCAATGCTGTGACATATCATAACGCAATCATATATCGTTCATATAATAATCATAATCTGTATATGATATGAGATCCGCACTCTGTCTCGACGTCCTCTTCAATCCCCAGGAGACTCCGCACCAATGTCGTCTTGCCGCTTTTCTTGGCTCCATGGAAGCTCACAACCAGCACAGGTTCAGCCAGCCGCTGCAGGAAGGAGATGGCTTCCTTCTGGATCTGCACGTGGGCGTCATTAGCCTCGTCCGTCGTCACAGCCAGCAGCTGCCCCGAGAAGAGCAGCTCCCCCGCCATTTTAGGTTGTCGAGGAATCGTAGGTACAGATCTAAATCACAATTAGAAACCCTTCTGAAGTGATTGTGATTTAGTCCAGTTTTTTTTTAGTCCAGGAGACCTTTCATGAAGATCGAAAATGGAGGCGCTGCTGCTTCAGGACGGCGCGTATGTGAACGATCGGTATGAGGAACTGCAGGGACAACGGCGGCAATTGGACCAGATTGGGCCGGTTAAACCAATAGGCGACGTTGCCGGTTGTAGTTCCACGTCTGAGCTCTCGTACGAGGAGCGTCAGCAGCTGGAGCATTGGCGGATTGTGCAGCGAGCGAAGGCGCTGGATGCCAAGGGACCAACACCGCAACTGAACAAGAAATTTTTAGTGCTTCAGAACATCCTAGAGAAGTTGTATGCAGAAAAGGAGGCAGATCTGTACATCACTTCACCTCCAAATGGGGCTCTGAAGCGACCAGATCCTACGGATACCAACACTCCCGTGCCGTTTAAAGAATTACCCCTTCCAACGCAAGTCGTGCTCAAAATGTTCTTCCGGACGTGCCAATCGCTACGGGATCCGACGAAACTCGCGGCATATAGTCGTCTTTCGGTGCAGATAGCCGCTAAACTGCCGGGTATCTTGACGACGATGCCGTCGTGTGTCTTGTCACCGGGATTGGCGGATGACGTTCCGGTGGACTTGGAGGATAGGGGGAACATTTGGAGTGTATTTTACCAATTGTTTCAACTGTTTGAAGAGTTATTGGAATTGAAAAATGATAGTGTGGGTGGTGAAAGGGTTTGTCTATCTGCTAGTGATCGCGCTACTGTAATCGTGGCGTATGTGGCGTTATGTTTGAAGTGGGGGAGACTGAGCTACTTGCTGAAGGGGATTAAGCTACTATTGGAGAATGATGCTGAACTTAGTGGAGTACGCTTAGAACCCCTTCAACCTCTATTCCATGAGCTAGCATCTGCTTCTGCTGAGCGACCTCAGGTTGCAAATGGTGAAGAGGATCAGCCTTCCGGATATCTCATGAGTTTCGGTAAGGGCGACCACGGAAAGCTGGGTCATGGCCAGTGTGTGCACGTTAGTTGTCAGGAAGGAAACTGCACTGAAAACAAAACCGTTCCAACTATGATTGCGGCAACCAGAGACGTATTATTTCGCAAGATAGACTCACTTTCAACCCACAGTATCGCTATTACTGCAAAGGGCGACGCGATGTCCTGGGGTAATGGTGACAAATACCGACTTGGTCACGGATCCTCAACGAAAGAATACGCGCCCCGAACGATTGAGTTTTTGAGGCTAAAAGGACGAGTACGTGACCTCGCCTGTGGTCTTGGACATACGCTAGCGTTGATGGAATCGGGAGAGCTCTTTGCTTGGGGGAATGGCTCTAATGGACGCTTGGGGCTTGGCGATTCCAATGATCGCTCTAGCCCTGCGAGAGTTACTATCCCTACTGCTTCACAAGGCAATGCGGTGGAAGGAGAACCTGAATCAAGTTTTACTAGCGCGCCTATACGATTTCGGCACATTTATTGTGGTGCATCACACTCACTAGGTCTGTCTTGGGACGGACGAGCGTATGCGTGGGGGAAGAATAATCAGGGTCAATGTGGTCATGGCCACACGAACGATCAATGGACCATCCAAGAGATTGAAAACTTCGAAGATGGAGGAGAAGAAGAAAGCGTGGCTTACGCTGCCGGTGGTTGGGAACACACCCTGTTTTGCACAGCTTCTGGCCGCGTCTATTCTTGCGGCTGTGGATATAAGGATAGTCGTCGTGCTGGTATCCCTCCTGTCCTTGGACACGGTGACTGTGATCGTAGACTCAGACCTACTCTGATACAAACTTTAGATGACGCTCGAGAGGAAATCGTCAAAGTTGCTTGTGGGTGGGATCATTCACTTGCGGTATCGGCAAGTGGTAAAGTGTATACGTGGGGGTCTGGCACAAATGGCAAACTTGGGCACGGTGATGAAGAAAGCTTCGATATCCCCACACTTGTGCGCAGTATGGAGAGTAAGCACGTCAAAGACGCGAAAGCTGGATGCGAACACACTGTTTTCTTGACTTATGACCAAGAATTGTGGACTTGTGGACAGGGTGATAGTGGTCGACTGGGTCATGGAGATAGTCAAACCCGGAAACGCCCTACGAAGATTGAACTGTTTGGTGAATGTGGACTAAAACCAGTAGCCTTAGCAGTTGGGGACAAGTACAACTTAGTTCTGGTCCGGGATAGTGACGCACAATATGAATGTGAAGATGACAACGAGCCAGCCTCTATCCCTAAAACACAACAACGAGGGTCAAACGAAGTACCAAACCATGGAATCAGGTTGCAACATGGTCGGCATCGAACAGGTCAACACAAGAAACATAACGCTAATTCCGGGAATGAGTTCGGGGCTAATTGGGTCTTGAGCGTTGCTGAAGGTATGACTCCAAAAGAAATCTCTCCAACTACCCCGTTAAATGCTCCTGATTCAGTCAGTAACGCAGCTTTGTTCATAGCTGGACATGTTGATCGCCTTGCTTCAGATTATATATCAGAGGAATCTGAAACTCTTGTGGAAAAGAGTAATGAGCAAAAGGTGATGGAGACAAACGTAAAAGCTCCAAGATCGACCTTGATCCCGTTTGCCGTCGACACCAGCTATGAGTCTCTGAATGCACTACTCGATCTTCTCCAATGGGCTACATCTCTGGTGGGATCGAAGGAAAAGGCTGCGGGATCAGGAAGCACTTGTTTGAGAACCCTAGAACGAATGGGTCTTGCTCTTTCCTGCTTGAGAATTCTGCAATTGAACCTCAAAAAGTCACTGAACGTGCTCCGCTTATCTGCTGATAATGTCAGAGAGCATTTCTCCTTATCGAAGGATTTGTTTGGCCGAGTTCACGCGCTGCTGGACAGTCTAGCTGGTCTGAAAAAGGAGGACTGTGTCGAGCGTTTCGATATCGGAGCTCATAGATCGAGTGACGGTCAGAAATTATCCGCTATTGGGAGTGCTATCAGTCACGAGGCTGCTTGCGCGTTGAAGGTAGGCATTCACCGTTACGATGGCTACCAATTGAAAGATGAGTTACTCATTAACTGTTTTGTTAGATGGGGTTCGGTATGTTTTATCCGACAGCAGCCTCTCGCTGTAAATTATTGTGGGAGATCCTGGACGATTGCAAGATTGATCCAGTTTCTATGAGAACGATCATCCTCTCGGGCCAGCTATGTAAGGTGAGTGGATGCTGTTATCCCTAAAAAAGATTATTTAGTTCGAGTTTATACTGATTTATATCGTAAACAGGATACAATAATGACGGAGATATTCAGATGCTTGCCGACTCACGGACTATTGCGAAATGTGCTACATGATGATCACAAAGGCGTCCCCGACAAGGATATGCTCGACATCAAAACACTGATGATATTGCTGCTAAGACGGAGCAGTGCAGAAGCGATCAAGCATCTCGACAATGAGTCGTTTACCGACTTTACGAACGAGCCCGATTGCTTTTTGCGGCTGCTTCATGTGCTGCAGATACACTATTTCAGTATTGTTCATCGATCTGCGGTAACTAAAACGGATATCTCAAATGATCCAGGACTAATTCAAAGCAACACCAACCGGCAGATGCTGGACTCTCTTCTCGAATATATGGATGCACTGATGGCCGAGTCGCTGACAGTGCTGAAAAGGCTTCACATATCAAGTCGCCAGCATGAAGAAATTATCACGTGGCGTTTGAACGGAAGCTTCTTCCACACATTGCTGCCCAGTGCTATCGAGTGTTTATCCATACTTGTACTACCTACACCGAATCGGGAATATACATCTAATGCGAAAACTGTTGACAATCTGGTGCTGGTGGAGCGCATTCTACCGAATCTTCACGTTATGCTCAAAATGTTGGATGAAGTAAGCTGGAAAATGCACACTGCCACCGATGCGGGTAACCAAGCGCACGATGATACCACTACACCCACACGCCAGCTAGGATTTACTGTTCAGAATCGCAACTGGTTCGTTGACCTTGGAGATGCATGTGCGACACTTTGTGGAAAATTGAGTTGCGAGCTATTTTATCCATGGAGGACAGTCAACATGGGGTCAGATGATACCGAAGTCGGTAATTACTACTCGCATGTCTTGTCGGAAGGCCAGCTTCTCCGAGAAAACCAAGACGTTCTACCCACAATCAGGGCAAATGAGTCAAGTTCGATTCGCAATATTTTGGACTGGGAACGTTTGGGTGTTTTTGAAGTGGAAGACGAACTTGTTGGTGGTAAGGAAGACTCCACTGCGACTGGTTCGGTAGTATCGAGCGCTTTGGAGTCTCAACGCTTTCTACTACAGCTGTGTGATACAGACTTTTCAAGCAACAGATTATCGTTCTGGAATTGGGTAGCTGGGAAGCTTTCGCAGGTCGTGGAATTTAAAAGCGAAGCGCAGAAAGTTTTGCTACTCGTTCTGAGTATATCGTCGTGGCATTTAGGTCTGAGCTCAGAGCTTCGATCTGTTTACGAAATGTACGACGCTGCAGCTCAAAATTCTGTGGCAATTGACCCCGTAGTACCGACGGGTAAAATTTGGGAAATGCTATCTGTTCTTATTAGTGGGACTAAGTGGGAGTCATGGGTTTATAATGCGCTTGACTCGGAGGCTGTAGGAAATGCTATCAAATTATCTCGATTATTACTGAGCTTGCAGCCTAATCCAGCGCTGACACCACGCATCCTCCGATGTGAAGCGGGAGTCGAACATCCAGACCTTTCGGAATGTATTGATGACTCTCTTGTAGAGATGCTGGAATTTCTTACCACTATACACGACGTGGACACTATTCAACACTCGCTTGAGATGAAGGAAGAAGAAGCAGCTCTATTACGAACGGGGATATGCGTACTGCATGATCTCCTTAGGAAGCTGACTACTTCCTCTACAAAAAGCTGCTTGCTGGATGAATTTGTCGCTGTTACATGCGGTACCAACCGTGCGAATTTAATAAAAAGGATAATTCTGATAGGTCAGCATGGCAAACATATCGACAAAGCTATCGAAAATCTCTTTGTTCGACTAGCACGTGTAGTGTCTAATGAGGAGGCGTCATTCGAACTGAAGAAGATGGCATTAATGGCATGGACAGTGCCGCTAAGTGATTCCAAACGAGGTGTTCCCAGAGTGGTTGATTTGATAGCAAATTCTGGGATCATGAGCACACTGGTTGAGTTACTACTTGATGAGGCAAACGTGCTGGATGTTCACAGTGATATCAATGCTAACACACATCTGAGGGCGACTGACAATCACAATGACAAGCGGTTCGGAAGTGCCCAAGACGAATCCAAACTATCAACGAAGATGTCCCCTATCAAGGCTCTTTTGTTCGACCAAACGCCAGCCCAGATCATCAGTATCTTGGCGTGGGAGGCATTCTGCGCCATTGCTATGCAGCTTAGCAAATCAGAACATTTCGCTGAGCATCGGTCGAGTCTACTGTTACGCTCAGCGGGATCCAGCTTACATGACAAAGAACCATTAACTCCTCGAAGTTCAGTCATGTCCCCGCGTAGACGCTTGACGTTGCCAAAGAAGGTGATCATATCAAGTATTGATGAGATCATTGAGCAAATGGCTGACGGACTGTTTTCAATGCTGGAAGGGCTCAAAAACCGCTTAGATACCCTGGATATATCGTCACAAGATTATGGTGCGTTAATAAAGCAGATGGAGAAAGGCAGTGGAAGTACAGAGAAGCATGACTACTCTCGAGTCTGTCAGTTTGGGAGCCCAGTTCAATTGTCTCACTCGAACTCGTACGATATCTCAATACCCAAGGTCAATACCAAAGCGTCTGAAGGTACTACAAGTGTTACAGTGTCGTTTTGGCTTCACGTTGAGCATACGGGCGCAACAATTTCCAATAACGAAGTCTCTGCGCCATCTTCACCTTCAGGTTCGAAGGTCACCTCGGTACGGCTGATTACATTTAGTACGAGCCAAGCTACGAGTGAATCAACCGATACCGACAGAGATGGTTCGTTGGTTGTGTTTATTCGTGATATGAATCCCGATCACGTGTGTATTAGACTCTCGTTGAAATGTGAGGAGGATACGAACGAACGGTGGCGTTCGATTCTTGTTGACGAGCGTATTCCACGTGGAAAATGGGCTCAGATTGTCTTGGCTTTTGATAAAGAGAGACCTGAGCACCTTCACGCATATATAGGTGCTAGATGTTCAACGCTCAACAATAGTCAACAATCAGGAGATCGCTGTAAGAGTTTCTGCTTGGAAATTCTTCAGAAAGCAACTTCATGGACTCAAATGACTGTGGGTGGCATCGCTGATGTGGATGCGTTGACATATGTAAAGGAGACCAACACCCCGGAGCTACGACTACCAGTTCTACCGAAAAGACCAATGCATGGATTTACTGCAGTTCTGGACGATGTTGTCCTATCACGTGAAGCTCTTAGTGAAGAAAAGATTGCCCGGATGCAGCACAGTGGCCCCATTCTCTTTCGCTTGAAGCAGCAGTATATAGCAGAAAGTCAGTGTGTCAAAGTGCTACGTTTGTTGTGTCAACTTGTTGCTGAAGAAGAGACTTCGCGCGATGGTTCACCTGCCAAAATTCCGTCCTCTGATCGTTGGATAATACTCTTTACCCACATGCTGCTAAGTTCATGCCGCGATCAAAATCTCGCACAAGTATACCTTTGTCATCTTCTTGAGGATGTTCTACCACGAGCTTCTCCTCCTCCAGAGTGTGACATTCAAATTCTAGGCCATAAGTTGTTCGGTCCTCGTCAGAAAACGACTATGAGTCTCGAAGATCTTTTTATCGAGTTAAACGAGAATACTCACCTTCCTTCTAATTCAACCATTCGAAGGCAAAATGAAGCACTGTATCGGACGATGCACCAACGTGGTATCTTGCATGGAAAATATCGAGGTGGCAGTTCGTCTGAGAATGTTCAGCAATATGACGAAACAAATACTGATAAGTTAGCTCTGAACACGAAAGTTTCAATGCGCTTCGCTGCTGCCGTGCATCTCTTCCAGAAGCTTTGTAGTTCTCCTTTGTGGGGCAGTCGTATGGATTGTTTTATTGAGAGACCATGTGCCATTTTCCAGAGCGGTGGAGGGTTACACGAGATGCTTGAGTCAGAGGAGAGCAGCAGTATTCAACTCGCTGATATGACGGCTGTAGTAAGCGCTATCGCTGGATACTCGGAGCAGGTTGTGAATAGTCATCGCGCTTCTGTACAAAATGCAGCCATCCCGTCCTCTGCAATTCAAACGTGCAGTTCTCCTTTCGATTCCGTCGTTCGCTTCGATAAATACAGTGATGATCACATTCGGAAGACTCAAGATTTAATCGCTGCTATGATGCGCGAAGAAACAGGGAATGCTCTTCAGCTCTCAGCCCGAAAAGATATCTTGGCCAAGTGCCACAACGATATTGTTGCTGTAAACGCAATCGATCAACGCATTTGCACTGTAGTCCATCAACGCGCTCGAGTACTTAGGGTTCTGACGACTGCTCTACTTCGTGAAAAGATCACAACGACAAGCGGTTTATGGCACGATTTCTTACTCAACAACACAACAGTTTGTGATGATTTACTACAGCTTGCGTCCTCAAGCTTGAAGGAGCAGGTCGTGACAGTATTGGGTCCTGATGCAAAAATTGCAATGAAACTTCGTCGATTGCGTATCTTCTTTAAAGAAGTGGTACGTGGAGGAAGACACCATCGAGATGCTCCGCTGACTATATCACTTGCTGATCTGGAAAAAATACAATGGCGACTATGGGAGGAATTTGCGACTCGCTCTTCTATTTCACTGCTTCCATGGTGGCAGAATAGTGAATCCGACAGTAAACTTACGTTGGAGGTCGTTGGAGGTGATGTCGAACTGAATGGATTTAAAGTTACAGCCTTGGAACATTTTCCCACCGTAAGATTGGCACAAGCTTCGATTACTGCGAGCAGTGGCTTATGGTTCTTTGAAGTTGTAGTACTCACCGATGGACTCATGCAAATTGGTTATGTGGATGGAGACTTCACTGCTGATCCTCTTCAAGGCCAGGGCGTGGGTGATCATACGAATAGTTGGGCGTATGACGGATTTCGGTGCAAGAAGTGGAATGTAAATTCCTACGACTACGGTGAGCAATGGAAAACAGATGACGTGGTGGGAGTGTTGCTGGATACAGATCGCATGGAGCTCAGCTATTTTCTTAATGGTAAATTCCTGGGTGTTGCGTTTTCAGGAATCCCCATCACCTCCAGCTCTCGAATGTGTCCAGCAGCCTCGTTGAATGTCCAGCAATCTGCGGAATTTCACTTTGGTACACTAAATGTTGCGTCTTCTAGCGAAAGCACGAGTGTCGGTGGCTTCAAGTACTTGCCGGTGCTTGATAATGATGACCAGACTCGTGTACGACCCATTATCGCGGCACTTGGTACCGCGAACGTCGATAACTCTGGAAAGGAAGAAGTCAAAGAAAATGATACATCAGACTGGAGTAACAGTAGTAGTGACACCGATGAAGGTGAAATCACACTGGAAGGCTCAGATAGCTTATCTAGTTTTAGAAGAACGCTTGACTTGGGGTCACGAGATGGACGCGAGACACGCACAGCCGACCAAAATGACGAGGAAAGTGGCCACCGCCGTCGCGATTTGATCGAAGGCTTAACGGGTCTTGGTTTCCCTCTCGAATGGGCAACTCGATATGCTACCGAGTCGCGTATGCCAATGGATGAAACAGGTGCGGTTGCTTGGATATTGGAGCAAATGGAAAAGGAAATTGGACCGGATGTAGCATCTAGATTGCCGGCGACGTCTGGTTTTAACGACGGGATGATTCACTTACCAAATCTTGCTGTTAGCCATTCTACTGATGATTTTGCAACTGAAGCTGGAGAAATTTTGTCAAGTAGTGCGCTGGACGATAAAATCCTTAACATTCCAGCATTTCGTTCATCCCGTTCTTTGCTAGCAGGAAATCTTGGCATTACATCGGCAGGAATCAACGCTTTCATTGAGGCAGATAAAGACGATCAGCAAAGCGATGATATCACCAGCGAGGCCTTTCAATCAGATCTTTACAGACAAAGACAAATTGGTCTTCAGACGTTGAGTGATGTAGGCACAATATCCGAAGGGAACAAGCGTGGAGTGGATGATCTTCTTCCTCTCAGTATTGTCGTCGATACAACGGTGTTCGTTGCATACAGTCGACAAGCCTTCACGTCACTTTTGCTGCTAGCTTTGAAGAAAGAGGGACAAGAAGCGGTTTACCGAATGGTTCAACCATTAATTTCAACCGAGGAGACTTCAGCTCGTCTTCGTCATTTCTTAAAGATTGGAATTGGCCTCGATACGATGGATACAGTCTTTGAACTGGATTTTATCTCTGCAAACTTTGAGTCAGAGCAATCTCTTCGACTACAGAAAGCTGTAGCAGCACTTTTGAGATACGAAGGGACTTTGTCAGTTGAAAGCCCGACGGGGGAATGCTCTCCATTTCTCAGATTCTTTTACCAGGAAATGTTGAGCCAGTGTGATCGTGGACTGAGTTTGACTCGAAATAAACAAAGCAGTAAGAGTGTGAGTGATACAAGGAGTATTCAGGCAGACGCCGCGTGGTTCGCGTGGGTATCTGGAGCGGTGATAGGATTTGTCGAGGCTCCAGCCTGGGCCGTATCGGAAGTGAAGGATGAAGCTCAGAACTCGGACTTTGTTGCTCCTCTATTTTCTAATAGTGCGTTTGCGGAGAAGTTAGTGTCCATCGCTTCTAGTTCGTCAACGACATTGAAGGCGTGGAAATACGTGGCTTTTCGACTGATGACGAGAATTCTGTACGTGATTCGAGCACGTGACAATTCGTCGGAGTTTCTTGCTTCTACCCACCTGACAAATCTGATGGAATTGTTCACATTACGATGTCGGCGTGAGATGCACAGCAGGGTGTTTTACTCTGATGTCACGAACGCATTGTTTGCTCTCCTGGTGCACTCAGCCGCCAATGTTACACTTAATCAAGATAAAATCCGTCAGTCTGAGAACCAAAGTTTGAGTCTTCGTGTAAGCAATTATTCGTCAACACATGTGACCATATCATGGGACCAAGCTTCTGTCGCTTCACCGTCAGATTTTGACAGCTTAACCGACACATCTACCACAGAGAACAAAGCTGAAAACTACAGTGGGGTTATCATTCTTCATGTTACACGTGCTGATTCCGAAAAACCATTTGACATATCGAAGGCGCTGCCATCGAAAGGATCTTATACTATCCGAAATTTGTTACCAGATACGCAGTACCGTATTAGCCTCGATCCTGCTCAAACCGTGAGTGACGACCCTACCTGCGCCACCGATGAGTCTAAAGCTGATGGTAGTAACGATGTGGGTACAGAAGTTATGGTGCAAACACCACCCGAGCCTCTGTTTGAGCTTGACCGAGAAACTTTGGGGAAAAACTTGGTGATATTTAATCAGAATTTGACAGCCAAGAACACAGTCAACAAGAAATGGCACTCTGTGCGTGCTTCAGTCGCATTCGAGGAAGGAATTCATTCGTGGCAAGTGCGACTGGATACCTGCGTTTCGAAGAATATCTTCATTGGAGTGTGCACCGCAGACGCTAGTATGGAAAACTACGTTGGCAGTGACGCCTATGGCTACGGATTCCTCGCCAACAAGGCGATATGGCACAACAAAGCAAAATTGCACTCGTACGGTGAGATTTTCAAGCAAGGCGACATCATCCAGGTCACTTTGGACTGTAATGCCAAAACTCTCGCTTTCAGCCGCAACGGGGAATATCTTGGAATCGCAGCTACGAATATGCGTGCAGGAACTAATCGCTCGGACGGTGAGGGGAACTACAAGTGGTACCCAGCAGTCTCAATGTACAACAAAGACGACAAGGTGACACTTATCCCTCCACCCGCTGCAACGCTGTTCTCTATAAAGGAAGGCCGTCCACAGAATGCGTCAACACTCGAACTAATTGAAACGATGCAGATGGTATTGGCGTATCAAAGTCACGTGACAGGGATGAATATGTCGTCTACAAATTTTTTTGAGAATGCTTTCGAGGAATTTGACAGTTGGAGGCGTGAGGAAATTTTATTCCGTGAGACTGCGCTTGGTCAAGTGATTGCGATCAGTAAGAGCAAGTCTGCTACGGAGAAATACGGGTTAGCGTTTGGAGACACGGTGTTTACATCCAAAGGACAGTGCAGTGTTCTTGGTGAGTATCGACATGAATTGTGGTACGAAATTGACGAAGGAGGGAGTTCGGTTCTTTACAGAACATCTTGTACTTCTCAACTCGCTTCTTGGAGTTTGAGTACTTGTCGCGAAATGTTGGAGTCACCAGACGAGTATCCTGTTCATCGTCACCACAAATATAAGGTCGAGTTGGAAACCAGCGAAGCAAATTGTGCTGCTGACCATCAGGATTCATCTGCTGATACTACCGAACAAGAAGAGTTTTCTCTGAAGTCATTCGTCGACGCACAAATGGAATGGAGTGAAAGTGGTGTTGCTGCGGAAGCTGACTCAAAGTTACTTGCTGAGCTTGACGCAATCGCATCCTCACAGGGTTCCAGTAGCGCATTATCACTTACAATTGAGGACATTTCAACGGCCTTAATCTTGGAGAAATTATGTAGAGGTCACGGTATTGGAGCTGAGGACAGGTCTAAGCAAACAATCGCTCGTATTGGTTTGCTATTGTATACCAACCGATGCCTCTATAAAGTTGCGCGTCTCGCAATACCAAGAAACATTTTTGCAACAACACTGGGAATTTTGGAAATTTCTGAACGATTCACTAAGTCTAAGAACTCGAGAAAAGAAGAACCGACAGTGTGCACGGAGTATCTACAGGTCTCACCCATCGCTGCGCTGCTAAACTCGCCACAGTGGACACTTGATGATCCGTCAGCTTTCGCGCAAATTTCTATTCTAGCAGCTCGTCTCCTGTTCTCGTCACAAAAAGAAAAACTTACTGAAGAAGAACTCGACAGAACCAAGACGACAAGTCGAACGCTCGATAGTTTACAGGAGTCCAATGATAACGAAAATGTGGACATGGATCTCCCCGTGATCAAGATAAATTACCCTGTATCTGGAGAAGTTCCATTTTGGGAGTGCAGCCCTGCAATACTGAAGAAAAAGAAGCGCTTCTGTCTTCCTACGTCCACTGAATCGTCAGTTTTTGCGCAATTGATCAAGCAATTGTCCGCACAAGAATCTCGGCAATGGAGACGCTCATCTTCGCAGCCATTTGAAGCGATTCCGATATCACAAACGTTCCAAGTTCAAATCGAGAAACAATCAACTGAATCTGGAGAAGTTGGCAAACATGAACTTCATCAACAGCAAGATGAGGACGAGGACGAGCAGCTTCAACAGCCATCATCCAAGCAGACTGCAATGTACTTAAATCTCTTTGAAAATGCGGTTCGAGAGATCCAGTCGCCTTCGTTCCCTCTGTTTACACCCGTTCAAGGCCAAAAATTAGGCGAAACTCGTCAGTCGCTTCAACTTGATGTCAACCTCTACTTGTTTTCCTCATCTGCACTGGCACATTCTCGACTGCAAAGCTCTCAATTGTTACTTTGGTACTTCTGCATTGGACAAATTCTCGGGATTGCGTGGCGAAGTAAGCTACTTCTACCGTTGCAATTTCTCTCAAAGTCGTTCTGGGAAGAGCTTGTGTCTCCTGCTGGCCGACATAAAGACGAAGGAAGTCGGTCGATCGTTCGAGAAGCAGCTGTCCGTGCCATCCGCGATGGTCTTTTCTCCATTATCCCGAGTCGATGTGTAGCGCTCTTGAGTGGAACAAATCCAAGTCTTCGTGAACATCTCTCAGACTTGGATATCAACTATGTCGTAAGACTGGAACGTCACGCAATTTACTTAGTCTCTCGCCAAAACCATCACGACTTGTTCTGGAAAGTTGTAAACGCCTTCACGTCAGTTGAGCGTCGAATGTTGGAGCAATTCATAAACTCGGAACGACGACATAGCTTTAAACAAGTTGAAGTGACACAAGACACCGACAATTCCTCAAACTTCGTTCTCGAACTTGCAGACGCGCTGGCGGACGGTCGAGATCATCCAGACTCGTGCTACCCCGTTGTCGTATCTACTGGTCTACACTCGAGTCGTCTGCATCTACCAGCGTACACCTCCGCACACACGCTGCGTCAGAAACTGCTGCTCGCTATGACCAACATCCCTTTCGTGTAACAGTTTAGTAGCAAATTCCTTTGATTTATTTTCAACTAAATACATGTTACAGCAACGAACGGCAATATCTCGTTTTGAGTTGTTTCCAAGTGTCTGGAAGGCTGGGGAAACGACCTTCGGCCACTTCATTTCACTTGTACCAATAGTGGCCGAGTTCTAAGATCAAGCGTGTGATAATGAACGAGCTTCTGCTCCTACGCAGTAGCACGGTCCGGGGACAGTAAGTCGGTCTCTCCGTTCGCACTGTAACGAGCCTCAAGCACCGCCGGGTTGTCCATGGGGTCCTCATCGTCCACCGACAGCGCACGTGAACGTCCACTGGGAGCACTGAGCACCCAACCATGACGACTGTCTTCGAAAATCAGGAACAGAGCGAGGAACAGCACCAGAACTGCCATTCCTAACAGCATCATCATAACAGCACGGTAATTGCCCGTCTCATCGCGTAAGTATCCGACCATCAGATTGCCGAACGTAGCGCCAATAGCGTCGGTAATCTCCACAATACCGAAGGCCGTACCGAAGCTCTTTCGGCTCACCGAGTTGGGGATCGCAGCCATCAAGACCGTCGGTGTGAATGATAAACAGATGGAGATCAGCAGCATGGACACGATCGGGTTGATTTCCGTGAAGATCATGAACACGTAGGCCAACACCGACAAAATAGCGGCCAGGATGATGAGCAGGATACGTCCACCGAAATGGTCGATAGCGAGGCCGATAAATGGCGCGAACACCACGAAAAGATGCGAGAAACTGCTCACCACACCGGCCTTGACGATCGAGTAGTCATACCGCTGAAACAGATAGCTAGCACTGACGTTCTGGAACAAATGGAAGACGTTGATGAAGTTGACGTGCAGCAACGCGATGACCCAGAACATACGCGAGAAGTTCTGTACGTTGTCGCACGAGATCTGCTTGGCCTGTGAGTTGGACTTGCGCCAGCGATGTTTGCGGCGCTTCTTGTCGGCGTAATCCTTGAGCCAGTGGAGGCTTGGGTCCAGAGCTTCCTCGCTGATGACGCGGCTTTTAACGATACGCTTGAGATTTAGTGTGTAGTGGCACACCAGGACGCCGATGAGAGCTGAAGCAACACACACGGCCACGCCGTACCATAGAGCTTGCACATATCCGCCGAAGTAGAGCGCAATGGGGGCGACTGTGGCCTTGGCCAGCATCTTGGAGACGTTGGTGATGGCTACACTCACTCCCATAGCGAATGTCAGCTCCTTATTCCTAAACCATGAGGCAATAAAGACTCGTGCGCCGACCACGACGCTGCCTTCGCCCACGCCGAAGAAGACGCGGCCGAAAAGCGCCAGCCAGTAGAGCTTGAGCTGCATTCCGATCGCGAAAATGGCCTGGCCCACACAGATCCAGGCCAGGAAGAAGCGGATACTGCGGTGACCGCTCTTGTCCATTAGGCGGCCGCCCAGTAGTGGCAGGAACATGTTAGGCACGGATACAGCTGACAGCAGCGCGCCATACATGGTGTTGGTGATGGGAAAGTCCTCGTCATCCAGCATCAACTGTTCCAGCGACGACATGCCGTTCTTAACGAAGTGGCCGCCGAACGGGATGCAGCTCATGAGGATGAGCAGATAGAAGCGGTGCGGAGGCGACGTGGTGCGCCAGAATTGCCAGGCTGGGGCGCGACGCAGTGGCGAGCGCGGCGGAGAGAGGCCGCCGCCATCTCCGTGCTCGGACGGAGCGGCATCGTAGACCAGCGGCGTGAGCTCCGACGGCTCGGCCGCAGACTTTTGCTTGGGTGTCATAGGATTCCGATGGATTGACTTGCTAGCGGTCCGCCAAATATACCGGAGCTGTGTGCTGCTTTGTGGTGTAGGCAGCAAAAGTGCAAGTGAAGGTGGGAGAGACCGACGTCAACGCTTATGTTGCGCAAACGAGTGTGACGTGGTCACGACCTTGATACGCTTGCAGGTGCGAGGAGGGCAAGTCCGGGTGGCGGAAGTTTTGTATCTTGCTTGCAATCGGCGACTGGCCGCCGCCACGCGCCTTGCCGACGTCGGCGACCAGGAGTTGCCTTGAGATCGGCTATTGACCACCGTAGCCTTTTTGGCAGACGCACGTCGACGAGGAATGGATGGGACCGAGTTGGACGGGTAAATTCGGGTTGTCAGGTTGTTAGGAATAGCGATTTGTATTAATAGGCAACCTCTCAAAACATCAGGTCTCAGGGCAAATTTTAAGTTGCTCTATCCAATCGACCAATGGGACCGAAAGGTCGCGGCAGAGCCTCTGGAGGCACGCGCAGTGCCCCAATCAGATCGCTCCGACGGCGGTTTCTGCTCCACCGAATGATGTCACCATTTGGTGGCGCAACGGCTGTGGCCACATCGCAGACTCTAATTCCGATGGTGCGTGCCTTGAATCGCCGCTGTAGAAACTTGCAAGGCACGTGGCCGCCACGCTCCTATCAACGGCACCACCGCGTGGTGGTCCACCCGCAGATTAATGCAGCAAATCCATCGGCACGCGCTTCGACTGGACACGATAACGTGTTGACCCTGGCACCTCGCAGCTTTCGCGTCCAGTGTGACCGCCTCAACGATGCATTGGCTTCAACTCTCGAGTATCTTCTCTACCGTTGAAGTCGCTGCTGTCGCTGTCAGCCTGTCAGTGGTGCTGGCTCTCGTTGCTGACATGCATCGCAAGGCGCGTGGCGGCGGCCAGTGAGCGTTGGTACTCTTGAAGGCGGCCCGGTCTTGACCAAGGTGACTGGGATTCATGATGAAGTTCTTTGGTGCTGTAGAGTCGATGCCGACATGATCTGAGATCCAGATTCGGGTGGTCATCCAGCGGAATCCGCTGCGGATGACCACGAGCTGTATGTACGAATAGTACCTGTTGCATGTCACGGCGCACGAGAGCAACCAAGGTTCACTACTTACGTGAAGTACATATATTAATACTGCCAGCAGAACGAGTCTGGCCTGTCCGGCGACGAAGGTGCAAATCGTCACAAGTGAACGCCAATTTCGCCGTCGGAAGTTGACACGTGCCGGGGATCAATCATAGTATGATTCATACCGGTTGTAGTCGCACCTGACGGCAACTTGCTGTCAGGTGCTTTCAAGTCACAGCGCAACTTGAGCTGTGAAAGTGCAAAGCCAACCGTGCAGCAAGCCTAGTTCTGCACCCTGCGAAGGAGTTTTTCCTAGAGTGACTGTATGCCTAGCAACCTTCGTTGGCGGCAAAGATCGAAGTTGTGGTGCGCCGACAACGATTCGTACTACACATGTAACTTGACCTAACTTGATCTGACTGGTATTTATTGGGGGGTAACTTACGTGTAACCTGCTGGCTCCAGTATCGCTGGGCAGCATCACGTGCATGCAGTGTTGCATAATGCAAGAATGAAGCTGCATTTTATAGTCTATTCCCGAGCCTTCCTTGAAGTCTACAGAGAATTAATTAAATCTGTATAATTTTACAGCTATTTCATTTAACTTGTATAAAGCTTATAGAAATACAAAATCACTGTTATTATATTTTGAAATACAATAAACAATACTGCTTTTGGAATTGCTTAGGAAGATTATATGCGATTTGATGCCATCTGTAAAATGACAATTGCAGTAGCTTATCGGGTATTACTAGCCAAAGTCTCCGGATTGAGTTCGAGTGGATTGTATTTCGACCTGTTCATTCTTTTAACAAAAGCTGCAGAATCGTGTAATTTCATTGTTTATCAAAAATAAAATAAAACAAAAAAATGAAGAATATTTTTTGATAAACAGCAATCTCCAAATTTCCATGAAAACGCAAATCCATGAACACAATAAAAACATTATAAAAACATTAATTTACTATCCATTTGGGTTGTAAAATCAATCATTTAGTTTTAATTGAATAACAATTAGCCTTAAATTTAATGTTTCAAAAGTAGCAACATAAAAAATATATTTTGAAATTACACGTGCATTCGTATTCTACCGTGTGGTTATGGTGTCTCGATTTAGTCTCAGATAGACTGTTGGCCTCTTGTTGCATATCATCGTAGGTGTGATCGAGCGCAACTCTACTTGCTGCTATTGCTAGGAATTCCTCGTACTTAGCGTACAGTAGTGCGTGCGTGATGCCAGGGCACGGAAAAATATATAACTGTACTGGGATTTAAGACAAATAAGTAGGTGTTCCGTGTGATGAAGAGTCAAAGAGTATAAAATATTTATTTTTGTGTATTCTGGAAGATTTGATGCGATTTACTTCTGTGAGCGGTTATTTGCAGCTCCATATTTTTATTAAATACCTAGATTTGTTTAGGTCTTACCAGATTTAATTTTTAAAAAAGAGCATATTATCCAAAAAAAAAAACAAAAAAAAACGAGAGTATTTTTTAATTCGAGAATCCTTGTATAAATCCATTATTTGTTCAAGCGTTGAATTCCAATAATCCGTTATTCCGTCAAAACAATTCTATCTAATTATTTTTTTCGAGCCCACGTCGTGCTATAAGTGACAGCGCAAATGCAAACCAACCGTGCAGTCTACCTAGTTCTACACCCTACAAAGCGGAGTCTTCACTAGAGTGAGTATATGCCGAACAACCTTCGTTGGCGTGGTACGTCCAGCCTTTTATCCTGCCAAATGAATTGGACAGCACGATTCGTACTACATGGAGCCTGACCTGACTGTGCGTGTATTCTTTTTTTTGGCAGCTTACATGCTCCCTGCTGGCTCCAGTATACCTAGGCAGCCTCAAGTACATGTAGCGTTCAGAATCATACGGTAACATTTACACCAAGAGTTGGTGCACCGGAATTTCCCAGGTAATCGAAATAGAAGCTGAAGTGGCCACGAACTGCATAAGCTTTTAGCCATATGGATTTCGTCTGGCTTGGGTCTCCATGGTACATATACGAAACCAAGCAACAGCAAGAGTGCTATGTCCAAATAAATTTCCTTCGTGTACTTGGTAGTGGCGCTCACTGGATTCAATGATTGCAAATACTACGTTCCTAATAACAATCTCCCCTCATTGCACAATAGCATAGAGGTCGGCAACCGAGCATGGTTTACCGGTGTCAAGAGCCTCGAGCGCAGCGAGCTCGTCGATGTTATCTTCGAAGAGCTCGGCTAGACGGTAAACGAGCTTGACACGATTCTCCACAGACATTGTGCGCCACGGTCCATCGATCGCCGCACGTGCAGCAGCCACAGCAGCGTCAATATCGGCGATACCATCCTCAACTGCCTTGCTCTTGGCAGGCCGCATAAACTCAGTGTTATTCAGCAGGTTGGACTTCTTGGTCGAGAAGGGAGTCGAGAAGTTCCGCGACAGAACAAGCGACGAGGCCTTGGCAGCAGTCTCAGCAGACTTGACTGTGGCCTGGACGCGGTGAATTTGACGCAGAGCGTGGCGCTGCATTGTGAAAATTTCGGAGTGGCTTACTCGGGATAAGGCAAATTGCAGAATGAGAACTTGTGGTTACCGACTGGAAGCACGCCCTTAGCATTTTCGCTTTTGCCAACACGCGTTGACGATCGAAGCTCTTTGCCCGCTACTGTGGAGACGTGTATGTGTTGCCATTTGCCTACTGCAGATTTCCAGCCGGCACCGTCTCATCAAACAAAACGCAAAACATATCAAACAAAACGCAAAACCCCTTACAACGTCGATGTTGAAGCGCTAAATTGTCACATTGCACTTTTACTTACTTTAAGTATGCATTAATTCCTTTGTCCGACTCAAACTGCCTCATCTATTAAGTCCATCAACCCATTTCCTTTCCGCCAGTTGAAGCATGGCGACCAAGTTGGGCGAGCGGCTCGAGGAACTGGCCGCCTTCCTCGCGCACGCGCATGCAGTGGACAGCGTGGAAGAGACGCTTGGTCATCTGCAGACTGAGGTGGCAGACGCTATGACGCGCTCGCGGGCCTCAGCGCAGCAATGCACCATTCTTTTGTTCCAAAGCGCCGAGCCACCTAGTCTTCTGCGCTTCTTGAGCACCAGTGCTGATTTTGCGGATGACGCGCGCAAGCGGGAGATCTCAGCAGCCAGAGGAGGCGTGCTGGAGCTTCTGGCCGCCTTCCTCAAGGCGTACGGGGCGCACAGAGCGCTCACCAAGCAGCACGTGGTGGACTTATACAAGGCTTGCCAACAGACAGCGCGCACTGACCCGTTCAATCGAGTCAAGGGCCATGCGTTAACTGTAGGGTGACTAGAACTATTGTGAGGGGAATAGATGTACTGAGTTTGTGTTGTTGCCGCCAGGTGGTGGTGAACGTGCTCAAATTCGCAGACAAGCGCGTGACTAGTGACGATATTGAACCCCGAGCTTATGTGGAGAAGCTGTTTTATGATATAAAGTTCTCCAAGGCGACGCAGACTGCCAAGGGGCAAATGATGGAGGTGATTGGCTACTTAGTGGGGAAATTTCCAAAGGAGGTGGACGAGAATGTGCCGACGTTGCTAAGTTGGATCGAAAACGAATTGGAGAAACAATTCTCAAGCAATTCACCCGAGATGATGATGGTTAATGGACTTTTGTTTGCTTTGGCGAGGCTTTTGGAGTGTGACGTGGAGAGATACAAGCGGGATGGCGCTTTGCAGAAGAAAATTTACTCGTGAGCTGCTGGTTGGACGAGAGGATTTTCGATTATGTGGCTAACGCGTGCACTTATGTGCTGCAGGTACTTGCTCACGGTGTTTGCAACGACAGTCAGTGGCAATCTCTCGCGTTACCAGGTGACGAACTCGTCTGAAACGTTTCTAGCAAGACACGCGCAGATATTCCAGCAAGAGATCGGTCCAAATGGCTACCTATGGTTTTCGTACATGAAGTTTTGTTGCCAGAGTGAGAACAAAACGGTACGTATAGCTTTTTCACTTTGCAATTATTTGGAGCATTTGACAATATGATATTTCACAACTCGGCCAGATTAAAGAGCACGCGTTTACATGCTCGAATGCAATCTTGCAGGTGTTAAATAAGTATTTGGTGGAAGCGAAGGATGACGCGCGCAAGAAGTGTTTGAACAAGATTTTGAAAGAAATTCTTCCGACTGTAAGCGATTCGGCCGCTAACACGTCGATGACGGCATTTGCAGTGCAATGCCTTGGCTGGCTTGCTTCATCGATTTACGTGTATCTTGGGGCCAAGGGCTATGGCAAGATTGAAGACAAACTGAAAACGTTTGGTGAGTCCCTCTTGGCGCTGGATACCAAAGTGACGGCGTGGAGGTGGCCTCTTTTTTCTCAGTACGTACAATGCATTGGACAGTTTGTGCAAGAGGTAAGTTTGTCTGAATGTTGATTGCCAATCTGTGTGTGTGCGCGAGTTAACGTGATCTGTTTGATGTCGATGTGTTTAAAGCGCCACGGTGTTCCACTTGACGAAGGCTACGTCAAATTTTTGGGGGACATGTTGTGTCATGTGATGGCAGCTTATCCCCAGTGTCTCTGGAAGTCAAAAGTTGTGGTACACAAGTCGATTGCCGCAGTCTTTGCTGCTTTATCGAATTGGACAGTGATAGACCCTCTCGTCGACCGATTTGTACTTCACACACTGATGCTGAGCATTTCAAACATCACTGATTCAGAAGTGGTAAGGCATGCGCTTTTAAAAACTTTATTATGACTCGACTTTGACACTACTGATCGATTTTCACGACAGATTATCTATCATCCGGACACAGGAGAGTTAGTGACAAACCTTCTATACGAATACGAAAGCTTCTGGTTAGCCATGCTTGGTCGTTGCACGGAAATGGCTGCGGAGCCAACACTTGTAGCGATGAAAACTGGCAGCGATGATGTTGAGATGAAGGAGCCTTCTGATGTTGGGAGGTCGCTTCAAACCATCATCTTCGACTCTACAGTCAAGCATGTTCTTGGCATTATCGGTCAGCTCAATCTGTCGTATCAGTTCGATCTGCAGACAACAAACAACGGGAAGAATGCGACCGGGTACTTGGTACGTTGCGCTGCATTGAGAAGCTTCACCTGCTGCCTTTATGACATGTCTTTCTATGCTCAACCACAGCCTACGGTGCCTCGCGATCACTCAATCATGCTTAATATGACAGAATTTGTTGAGAGGGTCCTCGGTCAAGTACTGAGACCCCTTCTGCGTCCGTGGGTACGTTAGTAAGCAATCTAAAATCAAGTCGTGCAAGCTTTAACGCTTTGCGTACCTTGTTGCTTTCGCAGATACCCTTGATCATGCAGCGAGTTATGTCTTCCGCTTCCAAGCTACCGCTGGTTTCAAGCTTTTACCGAATTGGAACAGTGGTGGCTATAGCAATGGATGATCTCAAATTTTTCGACTCACCACCGATTATCGACGACCGGCTGTCCCGCTTCCGCGATGATTTCAAGACATTCGTCCAACGAGTTTGTGCTCAAGCGCGGTTTTACCAGGATGAACTGCTATTGACATGCTCTGAGTTTGTTTTGACGGCTCCGATCGAATTGATAGCCGTTCACACCATGATTGGCATTGTAAGATCAGTCTTGGAACTTGGCAGATCCTATCTTCCAGCTGCCATTGTCGCTGTCACGGCATTGGAGCGGTGGCAAAAGCAATGTTTAAATGACCTGGAAGACGTGATCTCCGAAGTTATCCCACTTCTCTCAGCATATCTCGATCAAGAAGCGCTTAGCGATGAAGAATCATCGTTGGTGAAGTTGAGTGGAAAAGGCATGAGGAATACTTCTTCTAATGAAACATCCGACCTCGCTCAACTTCAACGTCGCATACTACTGCTTCTGGGTAAGTGTGGCGGCAAGATATCGCTATTAATGAGTGAACCTCCCTCCTTGATCAACGCTGATGGCAGCATGGGAAGCATTTCTTCGCCTTTCTTCCGGTTGGAGCTTCAACTAAGTGAGTTATCAATATCGCTGGCGATGGATCCCATTTTGTCTCATCTTGGAAATTTGGCAACTCACAGTTCTGTTCGACGTGTGAAAGCTAGTGCAAGTGAAGGCTACCATGCCTTGGTTTGCTATTTGTGTGGAAAGACAGCGACGTACCCACATGCAGCCGGAAAGAAGTCAGAGTTTTATGATACGTGGCGTGGAGTATTTGCGCGTATCGTGCGGTTAGCTACAGACCCCGAGAAGATTTGCAGATCGCTATTCGAGCCGCTGCTCTTTCAATTGCTGCGCTGGATGGCTGCAAATAGTGATACGTTCCCGTTTGAGTATTCAAGCATGCTGGATGAACTCACGCGGAGCCTCTCGGACTCAGAGACTGCCGTTCGTACGATGTCTGCTCGATGTATTGCGGTATTTCTCTCGCTGGCCCTTGAGAATTCTAAAGCACAGGCAAATGCCGACGACATTTTTGAGAGAGTTTTTTCGCTGTGTCGCCACCCGGGAGCTGTGCAACGTAGTGGAGCAGCAGCGTCCATTAGCTACTTCCTTCGATCGTTTAAGGAAGAGGACGGACAAATATTGACACAGTTTGCTTTGCCGTGCTTGAAGAACCTCCTCTACGCTCTACGTTTGTGTGACAACGATGTTCGAAACAGAATCGGTGGAGTCGACATTTCGCGAGATGTGATTTCGAAAGCAGTGATGAAAATTAAACGCGGAATCTGTCGCTTTCCTCAGCTCTTTTTAAAAGGAAGTACTAGCGCTCGCGACGTTGATGAAGATTCGGTTCTACAGCGAACGACACTTTGGCTGTTCCAGCAGACTGGGGCGCGTGAGGTCTTGTTTCGTCGTCTGTGTCAACAACTTTTCATGTCTTTTAGCACACTGATTAGCAAATCGAGCGCGGAGTGGATTCAGAAATATGCATCGACTCACGGCAGTGAATCGGTTGTTACTGTTCTGGTGCCGATGAGCTCTCTCGCTCATACAAGCATTACGGTTCAGTGGATGGAGCAGTTATCTGCGTCTATTGAGAGCTACGTTTGGTGCGTGGAGATGCTTGGTGACAAGGCCAAAGACATTTTTGAGAACTCGCTAACATCTCGGCAAGAAAGCATGAAGCGAAAGCATTTTGCTGACGTTAGTGCCCAAGAGTATAGCTGCCAGCAGACGCTTTCGTGGGCTATTGCGACTTTCTTAAAAAACGGTGGTCCATGGGAGGACTCTTTGAAGGGATCGCATTGGACTGGAGCATATCTCTCTGTTTTGACTTCGTTATGCTGTTGTGTCATGTCATTCATGAAGACCGGTAATGTGGTGCTACGCAATGTTGCAGATATGGATACACAGTCGTTTCGAGGTGCTGTAGCTGAGAAGCTTCTCCAGGCAATACTTCATCTGCCTGACACGCAGGTACATGATGCAAATTCGTTGGACGGCATTGAGGAATTCTGCTCTGGTGTAATCACACGAAGTCCAGACTGGGCACAGCAAATGCAGGAGACAGTAGATTCTATGCTCTCCAACCTGCAGCTGTGTCTCGCTAATGTGAACAGCAGCGAAAGTTTTGTTGAGCATTCAATAACCATCGGATTACTGTCATTTTTCGGGAGCAAGGTATGTGATCTTTACCACACACGAGGAAACGTCATGTTGCTAACTTTTTTATGCTGTTTTACAGGTATTAAGTGCTGGTATCATCAGCTTTCCAGTGGCAGACAAATATGTAGAAATGTTTGCCATGGTAGCAAGCAAAGCGATGGAGTATGGGCACGGCTCACCTCACGACCGCCTTGTTGCTATTGCTGCACTTAAGGCTGCGGCTGCTTGTGGCTGGAGGATTACAGATATATTTGCGAATCCTGCTGATCGACAGGTGTATGGACCGGTATACAGTGACGTCATTCACTTCATGCCTACACTGGCAGTGTGGAATAGGTGCGCAAGCGAGTTGGTGTCTCAGTCTCTGAAGAATGACTTCGTCGTCAACGTATTAGCGGATATTCTCTGCCAAGTAACGAGTTTCAAAGTCTACCCGTCCAAGTCGGCCGACTGGGATGTGTTTACTAAAACGCTGGTGGCAAATGTCAAGCAATTTGTCAGCAATTTGGAAGCTGTTAAAGCCGACACACAACGCGTCCTGTCTACCTTGCAAGTGCTTCGGCACTTTTTGGAGCTGTGCCAGCATTGTTCGGAAAGCCTCGTCGAAGCTCTGAGGATGGGGCCTATCCCTGATATACAAGATGCCATCATTAAATTGCTCAAACAGCGTGGATGCAGCTATCTGGTGAAGGCAGAAGTTTTGCGGATGTTGGCTTTGCTGGGACCTACGTCGCTTCTTGTTTCTAATGAGGAGCAAGCCTCAAAAGCGATGCTGGACGCTCTTGTTGCGCTTGTTTTCGACGAGTTTCCGATCGTTTCTGTCGATGTTGCGCGTGGCTCGAAGGAATTTGATGTATTCTACTTGCTGTTCTCAGAACTTCTGGGTGTTATCGAGCGGAGCAATTCGATAGCGTACCTGAAGATCATTTACCCGAGTCTGAAGGAGGCGGACAACCATCTCTTCCGGACTGAAATCAAGCAAATGCTTGCACGATTCTCGATTTCGCTTGGCAGTCAGACTGGGCATGCAACAAGCGGTGAAAGGATACGGCATCAGTTGGTAGAGCTGTTGGATGTGTTGTTGGATCCCACGCTGGATATTGCGATTCGCAAAACGCTACTTGAGGAAGTATTTACGCCCTTGGTTGAGTGTCAGACAGGGGAAACACTGTTGCAGTTCTATTTGATGGAAAGCCTTACGAAGAAATCCACCATTATTAGTTTACTCGCGACTCTGGTCTCAACTGCAGCTGAGGTTTCCTCCGGAGGAAGTCGAATTGGCGTGTTTGTGGCGTTTTCGTTGGTGGAGATTTTGTACCGCCTGATAGACCCCGAGATTATTCGGACAGAGATCAACTCAGCTTTTCTGGGTCACAAGAATGGCAAGGGCCGGGAGTTTACGATGCTCGTGTGCAAGTGTGCAAGTAAGGTGGTCACGAAGACATACGGGGATGTAGACGATCTCGTGCGCTTGGCATGCTGTGCAGCTTACAATTGTCTGCTTACTGCCGTTTCTCGGACGCAAAAACAAGAAAAGTTCTTCGATCAAATCTTGTTCCAGCCAGCACTCTGGAGCAACATTTTGGATCTCTCGCGTGAGTATGAGCTGCATGCCGAGACAGAAACGTTTGCTACCATACCCTTGTCAAGCTTGTCAGCGATTTCTCTTGAAGCAAGACTGGACACGAATGCTACCACAAACGCAAAGTCCAAGCGCAATGAATCTGCAGCTCTTCGATTTTTCACGGCCAGCAGCTTAAGTATGGATACTGATTCGCAAACAGCCTCCACATTGACTGCGTCTTTAGACGTTAACCAGGTTGGCTCTACTTATGAGAACATTGAGATCGAACTGGATACTTTCAATCAACACCCCTGCATGATTCCATTGCTGCGAGTGCTAGTGCAGATGAAAACGGATTTTGGTTCTAGCTGGAGTGAAAAGGCAATGCCTGGCTGGATGAAGAAGATTTTCGATGTGATTGTCGATCCGTCAACGGGCTTAAATGTGCGATTGTTCGTGGCGAAGGTGGTGCTGAATGTCCCGAATGTCTTTGCGATGTACTCATCGCCATGGCTGCGTGCAGTGATGGAAGCGCTTCTTGACGCAAGCGCGGCACAAAAGGCTCCTGAGTTTAACTATATCTTGCGTGACTGCTGCAACCTTGTGCTCAATTCTTGGAAAGATGTGGCAGTGTCATCCCTCAGCGACACAGCCAGCCGATTTGTCAATGAACTGGTCAAGATTTGCCCCGAGCTGAATAATTTGATTCGGAACAGTAACGTGCTGCTCATAACCGAGTTGATTGCTCTATGGAAGGATTCAGCTAGCGTCGATGCAGGTGTACTGATCACCTACATGATCAATGACGATGACGATTCAAAGATGAAATCTGCTAAGCAGTTTGCTGCCCTCCAAATTGTTAGTGCGATGCTGACCACTGGGCTGGAAAGCGAACTTCTAGTTGAGGAGGGAGGGCAAACAATTGAAGATGGAATTTTGCTGGTTATGACGAGCAAGACAACGTCCTTGTACACTCTAGCCGCTGAAGTCGGCGGACTATACTTACAGACTGCTGGTCATTCGGAGGGCGAAGAGTTCATGTGTAAGGTGAGAAACCTGATCATTGGTTCGTACAACGAGGAAAATTTTGGGCGTTTTCTGGCATTACTCCGTAATGCTTCGATGCATCAACCAGAAATCATTGATTCGGTTATGCTACAACGTTTATCGTTCGTACTGCCGAAGGCTGTTGCAGTGGATGCGTGGGCTTTGCTAGCAGCTGACTCCCTGAACAATGCTGCTGGAAACGAGAGTGTCGTAAAGGATATATTCACCCATGCGCAGTCTGTTCTTGGTCGCTTTGTTGCCCACCGGCATGCTGGAGTGCAGCTCAGTACTCTTGGAGCTATATCACGTCTTCTGGATCATTTGAATTTGTCAGAGTTGGAACGACTGATAGCAAATACATCCGAAGGCGGTATTGGCACGCTCAAGTGTTATGAAGGGCATGATCTTTCGGAATATCGAAGACTCCTATTTACCGTGGGCAAGAAGCTTTATGAGAAAGATCTGTCGGATCAGGTGAAGTCTAGAGTGCGAGTCTCTCTACTCCATGGATTGTGCGATTCAGATGACCAACGCAGAAAGGAGGCGTTTGAATACTGGAATACCTCAGCAGCTATCGTGAATTCCTGTAGTGATCGACTGCTTTCGATCTTTGGTTCTTTGTACTCCTCGGAGTTTGACGAAAAGTGGATACTGTATGCTACCAATTTACTGGTCGGGATGTCTAAGGAGAGCAGTGAGTTTGAACGACCTCTGTTTACAAGTGCATTGGGCAGTGGAGAGTACGCAGAGACACCTATTGACGCGAGTTGGGAAGCGAAAACGCAGTCAATGGCGCCGCTGTTTTCTGTGGAAGCTGATTTGTTCAGCGCTCGTCCTGAGTTTACCCAGCAATCTACCAGTCTAACGTACACCGCATCGCAAGCTGATGGTTCTCTTGGCAGCACGATACAGTCGCAGTTGTTTCTCTCCAAACCAGGTACTGTTTTCCGTTCTGAGAAGTAATTTTATTTGTATTAATGCCAATTCCTGTTTCATAAAATGCAGCATCTATTGGGGCAAGCTACAGCCAGTCTTTTGGCGAATCGGATGTTGTACAGCAGCGACCAGGACGAAATCGCTTTTTTAAGCGACGAGCTGCTGCAGTTAATTCCGCTGTGAAAGATCCGTCTAGTTACGACAAGAAAGCCTCAAAACGATTTTTCCAAGACCAGTACGCTCTGCTGAAGAAGAAAGAAGAGGCGCAGAAAACCCGAGAGCGAAAGCAACGCCAGGGACACGTGTCGATGAAGAGGACGTATCGAGTTGGTGAGTTCCCTGACATTCAAATCACACAGCAGGATATCGTGGATCCTATTATGGCCCTCTGCGAGACTTCCATCGAGACGTCAAGCCTGGTGTTTGGCGCGTTGTTTTCATCGATTGTGGCAAGTCCACAGTTTGAAAAAAGTGGAATCACACACGAGCTGACGGAGAGGCTCGAGGAGACATTGACACTTTCGCAATCGTCGTCCGTGTACGTTGGCTGTATTGTATCAGCTTACTTTGCTAGTATTGTCAGAAACCCGCGGCTTTGTGAAATGCTTCCCGTTCGACCCAAAACGGTTGGCGAAGCTGGTTTATCGAGTGGGAAGTATCATATCAGTGAATTGACGCTTGAAGAGCAGTTGCTTCATGAAATCCAAGGCAAGACCAGGGACCTGAACTTGGCGTCAAACGAACTTGTGACAAATTGTTGGGACCTGCTGCACAAACTGCTGAGCACAATGCACAAACGGAATCTCCTGATAGCACTATCAATGGCATGCAGTACAACTGCCGAATCCAAACTAGCGCTCCAAGCACAGCTATCTGGAGACCTCCCGCTCGCTATAGCATCATATAAAAAGGCTGAAAGCATACTGGACTCGCAAATGGAAATCCTGGATGGCGATAATTCTTTTGCCACTGAGACTGATGCTACGCGATGTCGTTGGCAACGGCGTAATTGTTTGGAGACGTTAAACAATTGGGACACGCTGAAGAATGAGCTTACTGATGCAACTCAGACGGACAGTGACTTCCTGTGGAAGCAGCGGCCCCCATATCTGGAGCAAGGTGTCGGTCACTACTTGCGCTCGTGTCTGGGACTTGTAGAGGCTAAACAAACGAACAGCGACCTGGCAAGTCTTCGGAGTTTTATTGAAGGCGCAATGCGTGACTCGGCAAAGATGGAGCTTGTTCAATCGAGGTTTCCGGTTGAGATGTGCTTGACCTACCTGTCATCGAGTGACAAGAATCAAGCGCGTGTCTGTGTGGAAACCTTCTACACGAATTTTCTGAAAATGTGGAGACAGACGAGTCCTATGGCATCGACCTCCCGCATGCAGTTATTACAGTCGCTGTCGTCGATGGTGGAGATTGACGAAGTGTTATCCCGCTTCGGACGCGATTATTCTGATATTGGCAAGATGGGGCACCAGAGCGTTACAGCTTTCATGGATGCATGGAGAAGATCTCCTCCTTCAACAGGTGAGGAGGGCATGGTTCTGTGGTCTCAACACTCCATGGTACAGAACACCGTCGCCGGCTTTATGCTGAACTATGCACGTGACCAAAGGCTGTATTCGGATGAGATAGGGTTGGCTGTTCTTGGGGGCAAGAGCAATACTATGCTGCAGTATGCGAACGCGGCAATATCGTGCAATATTTTGGCCTTGGCGTCTAAGATGCTGAAAAACTACCGCGAGCTGTGCAACACTCACCAGCTTCCCAAACTGAGTGTGCAGATGGTGGAAGTATTTGTATCACACGTGCTCAAGTTGGTTGATCGTCAAGAACACCAATCGGACAAGAGCGGCTCTAACTCGAGCTCGATCAAGCTCATCACGCGATACTATGAGACAGCCACAAAGATGTTCGATAATGTGGAAATCATGAACATGATGGAGACAGCAGGGGCAAGCGATAAAGTGGCGATGGGTTATCTGGAAGCGAAGACGTTCGCGAGTGCTGCTGGATTTTATGCTGTCAATGACGTCGATGACAACCTAAAAGAAGAGTATCTCTCACGTTCACTGGATATGTTTAAGGTTTCTTGCAAGCGCATTGACGCAGTTTCGCGGAAAGAGATGGAAGATGGCGCTTCTTCTGCGTTCTTGAGATGCCGCTTAACCTTCATCGAGTTTTTGAACGATTTGTTTTTCAAGCGAAAAATGGAGAAGCTCGCCAAGCTCACCGATCGTAAAGCACTGACAAAGCTGTTGGCAGAGAATGTGCTGGGAGGAATGGCTGCTGGAGACCGTGAATGCGCCAACTACTTCCCCCAGTTATGCGATGTGATTGCGTCTTATCCGGATATTGTGGCAGAGTTTGAACAATGCGTTCTCACAAACGTCCCGTTGTGGACGTGCCTGCAGTGGTCGGCCCAGCTTATGGCATTGCTAAATGGGCCAATTGGGAAAACCATTGTCGCGATTCTGGAAAAGGTTTGTTGCGGAGTGTTTTTGCCTTTTTGTCCTTTTTAACCATCGTTTTGCATTTTAGATGGCCGAAAAATACCCGGTAGCGCTCTTCTATGATTTCATGGTCACGTGCAGATCTTCGCTGGGCAAGTTTAAAGTCGATTTGCATCGTCTAGAGGTGTTGCTATCGAATACGGTGATGGAAAAATTTGTCACCGCCTTGAGATTGTAGGTTCTGGTTTTTGATCATTGTGGGCTGAACATTGCTAACGTATGTTGCTTGAAAATTGAACAGGATTCACCACCCAGAACTTCGTCTGAAGGAGGGGCTACGAGAGATCGCAAAGCTGATAGAAGATAATCGAATGTCGGATGCACGCCAAAAGGTGGAGCATATATGGAAGGACTGTTTCTCTCCTGATCATCCACTACTCGGTACTCAGATTGGCCGATACAATCGCGACTGGAGCCGAAAAGCTAAACGGGATGTGGAGAAAATAATGGGCAAGGACGGCTCAAAGATGACGGCAAAAACTGTCAACACAGCCCGCGAGTGGATCATGAATCATTTTGGCGTCACGCCTGGTAGATATGGTATCACCAAGGACATGAAGGCGCACCTGGGAGACTTTGCAGAATGGCTTGAGGAATTTGACCATTCGAGCTGCATATTAGAACTCCCAGGGCAGTACACGTCATGTAAGTTGCATGCATATTTTGCTTTATCAACATTGACACCTGTCTCATTGTGTACACCCGTATATTGGTATGTTACAGATTGGCGTCCTCCAGATCCGTCTACTCACATTCGAATCTTAAGTTTCGATTCAATGCTTGGAGTGCTTGCATCGAAGCAGCTACCGAAAAGACTGACTATGCATTGCAGTGATGAGAAGGACTATACGTTCCTTGTAAAGGGCGGTGAAGACTTGCGCCTTGACCAACGCATAGAACAGCTCTTTGGAGTCATGAACCAAATCCTCGAAGCTGACCCGCGATGCTGCGATCAGAGGCTTTCCCTCACTACATATGACGTGATCCCGATGACGCAGGAAATCGGTCTACTTGAGTGGGTTGGTGGTACCACAACACTGAAAGCAGTTATTGAGGCGCAGCTGCAGATCGACGAACGCTGCGTCGATCTCAAAAGCAACAAGAGACAGAAACTGGAGCTGTTTAATACAACGGCAGCAAAGACTTACGAGTCATTTCTCCTGAAGCAGCGCGGTGCGAGCTTTAGTGCCAAGGTAGTCGCTCCTCGATCGAAAGATGTGGTGGATCAGTTCGCAAAAGTCCAAGCGATGATACCAGCAGATTTATTACGACGTCAACTACTTGGATTGGGCTCAAACTTTGAGGCGTTCCTGCTAGTTCGAGACCAATTTCTGAAGTCAGTAGCTGTATTCAGTGCCTGCTCGTACGTTCTGGGTATCGGAGATCGTCATCTGGACAACTTCCTCTTAGATCTCGCCAGTGGTCGTGTCATTGGTATCGACTTTGGAGTGAGTTTCGGCTCTGGTGCCAGTGTTCTTCCCGTCCCCGAACTGATCCCTTTCCGGTACACAAGACAAATGGACTTCGTATTCCAGCCCTATGACGGTGCCAATCTTCTCGCGCAGGAGATGCAAGCGGTATTTGACGCGTTGCGATCGAAGCGACAAGTGGTGGAAAGTGTGATGAACGTGTTCTTGCACGAACCACTACTGGATTGGCAGCAATCTACTACAACGCGCCAGAAAGCTTTGTTTGAATCTAAAGGCGATGATCAGTCTACTTTACAGGATAGTGATGTAGAGATGGAGGACGTGGAGGAGCCCCGAAAGACTACGTCTCCAGCAGGAGGTAATGAAACCACTGCGTGGCTACCTGATGTCAAGATTACCATCGCACGAAGGAAGCTGGAGGGCGTATCACCTGCGTTGCTGCTGAAAGAGGAGTTGGCCCAGAATCCCCATCTGAAGCCACACCTCAGTAAGTTCCATGTACTGGTTGATACGGCGAACATCGGCGAGGACGGCGCTGATGAAATGGTGGAGTTGAGCTCGTTGACGCAAGCTCAGGAGCTGCTGGCAATGGCTACAGCTCCGGATTTGCTTGGTCGCACATTCCAAGGATGGATGCCGTGGCTCTAAGACTTCAACTTTGTGTAAAACTTCAGCTTCGCATCATACAGCACGTGTGCAGGTTGCTGCTTGAGCTCGAAGTAATATAGTGAGTAAGCGGGGCATACGGCATTATTAGCTGTAGTGTGCTCCATGCACACATCAATGCATTTGGTTGATAAGATGTCCTCCGTCCGTTATAACCAGCTCACCACAAATAAGATTCTCCTCCGCCTATGATTGGTCAGAAAACAAGCACCGGTCCTACCACAAATAAGCAAACCCGACCCGTTTACAGCCAGACTTCTTGGAATTAGTAAGCAAACCAAAATTCTCTTGCTAACCCGACCCGTTTTCCACAAACAAACCAGCCAATCGCAGAAGGGCGCCAAACCGCCGCCTTTTCCCCACCATTCCCCGTTCCGCCCCCCTGTGGTCTTCTCGGCGTGCGTATCCCCTGCATCCCTCTCTTCTTCTCGCGACCTCCCCCAACACATCTAGACACCCATGGACATCTCGGCCGCTCTCCTCAACACTCAGAGCCCCGGTACGTCCATCCCCAAGTCTCCATAGCTGTGTTGATGGTTTGTTTAACTAACAGTATCTTATAACCAGATCTGCAGCTACGCAAGCAGGCGGAGGAGTTCCTGAACAATGCGCTGCAACAGCAGATGGGCCAGTTCATGGTGACGCTCGTGCAGGCTCTGGCCTCGGAGGAGTTCGCCGTGGTGGGCCGCCAAGCCGCCGGCCTGTACCTCAAGAACGTGCTGGACGCCAAGGACGACGCTCTACAGCAGCAGAAGATCAACGCCTGGATGGCCATGGACGCGGCCCTCCGTACCCAGATCAAGGACGGTTCTCTTGGCGTGCTACAGTCTAGCGACCCCGTGGCTCGCCACACGAGCGCCCAGTTGGTGGCTAAGATCGGTAGCATCGAGCTGCCACAGAAAGAGTGGCCGACTCTGCTGGAGTCCCTACTGCAGAACGTGACGAGCGGTAGCGAAGGCTGCATCCACGCCACGCTTGAATGCTTGGGCTACCTCTGTGACGAGCTGGAGGAAGGTGCCATCGATGAACAGGACACGAACCGCATCCTCACAGCCATCGTGGACGGTATCCGGGCCGACCGCCCGCCGGCCATCCGTCTCGCTGCCGTGACGGCCCTGCGCAACAGTCTGGAGTTCGTTAGTGAGAACTTTAAGCGGAAACAGGAGCGCGACCACCTCATGCAGAAGATCTGCGAGGCCACACAGTCCCCGGACCTACGTACTCGCGTGGTGGCTTACGAGTGCATTGCTGCCATCGCTACGATGTACTACGAGTACCTGGCCGAGTACATGGAGACGTTGTGCAAGCTGACATTCAACGCCATTACGAGCGACCAGGACGAGGTGGGCCTGCAGTCGCTCGAGTTCTGGTCGTCTATGTGCGACGTAGAGCTGGATCTGATCGAGGAGATGAACTACGCGCAGCTGGAGAACCGCACCGACTACATCCCGTGCAATTACTACGTGCAGACTGTGTTGAACACGCTCATCCCTCTCCTGACTGAGACGCTGAAGAAACAGGAAGACGATCAGGATGAGGACTCGTGGAACTTGTCGATGGCTGCCGCTACATGTCTGGCCCTGGTGGCTCAGGTGGTTGGTGATGCCTGTGTGGACCTCACCATGGCTTTCATCACGCAGAATATCGAGAGCAACGAGTGGCGCCCCAAGGAGGCTGCTATCATGGCGTTTGGCTCAATTCTGGATGGCCCAGACTCGGCTAAGATCGCTCCGCTTGTGCGCCAGGCGCTGGGATTCCTCATGGGCTGCATGAAGTTTGACAACATTCTGGTGCGTGACACGACGGCCTGGACGCTTGGCCGTATCTGTGAGCTGCACTGCGGCTGCATCAGCGGCGAGATGCTGCCTGGTCTCATGCAGCTACTGCTTGAAGGTCTGGATCAGGAGCCACGTGTTTCGCACAACGTTTGCTACGCTATCCACAACATCGTCAAGGCTTTTGAGGAGTCGGAGGCTGCTGCACACATGCTGACCCCGTACTTCAAAACGCTGTTCGACAAGCTGCTTGAGACCAGTAACCGCCCGAACGCCACGGAGAGTAACCTGCGCGGATCTGCGTACGAGGCTCTGAACGTGCTGGTGCAGGCTGGTGCTGACGAGGTGAATGAGCACATTATGCTTCGTCTGCCTGTGGTGCTGGAGCGCCTGGAGCAGAGCATTAAGGCGTTGATCGAGAACCCGAACAGCCTCCACGACGACCAGGCTGGTCTGCAGGCACTGCTGTGTGGCGTCCTGATTGCTGCCATCCAGAAGTTGAACACTGACATTGAGCCGCTGGCGGACCGTATCATGCAGGCCCTGCTGCAGGTGTTCTCTACTCGCAATGCTGCTGCTGCCGAAGAGGCGTTTATGGCTGCTGGTGCCTTGGCTAACGTTGTTGGCCCCAAGTTCGAGGTGTATATGCAGTACTTTGGCCCGGTCGTGCTGATGGGTCTGAAGAACAGCGAGGAGTACATGGTTTGCAGTGTTGCGGTGGGCGTCGTCGGCGATCTTTGCCGTGCTCTGGAGAGCAAGATCATGCCGCTGTGTGATGAAATTGTGGCTGCCCTGATTGAGATTCTGAAGAACCCGATGCTAAACCGCTCGGTGAAGCCGCCGGTTCTGTCATGCTTCGGTGATATTGCGCTTGCTATTGAGGGCGAGTACGAGCGCTACGCGGTGTCTTCGCTGCAGATGATTCTACAGGCGGCTGGTGCGTGTGGATCTATTGCGACGGACGACGAAGAAGTGGTGGAGTACATGAACCAGCTGCGCGAGAGCGTGCTGGAGGCGCTGACGGGTATTGTTCAGGGCCTTGGCGCGGCCAACAAGGCTTCTATGCTGCTGGAGTGCGCGCCGCAGATTGGAGCTTTCCTGGCTACGCTGGCGAACGACCTCTCGACGCGATCGGACGCGGTGACGACTGGCGCGGTGGGCCTTATTGGGTATGTAAACATCTGCTGGCTATTGCTCTCTGGTGGTTTATTAACATGTTACACCTGTTGTGTTATACGTATGTGAAGCGACATGGGCCAGGCGATGGGCAAGGCTGTGGAGACGCTGTTCCACCAGCAGTTTGTGGTTCAGCTCGTGACGGAGTGCGCTAACAACGCACAGAACCCTCAGGCGCAGCAGTTGGCGGCGTGGACGCAGAAGGTGATCATGGATCTCCAGGCGAACTAAGCTTTAGTGGACATCGGCTTTCGGTTTTTCTCCTACTCGTCTTAGCTGTTTGCCTTCTGCGAACAGAGAAGCGAGTGGATGGTGGAACTGAGTTGTGTGCGAGCCAAGCTTCAGTGGACCTGCAGGCTACTGTAAGTTGGCAGCGAATTTCTTGTCGTCTCGACTTGCTTTTTGCTGGTTGCCTTCTGCAACTGCAAAAGCGAGTGGGGAATGATGGGTAGTTTGCTGGTCTGACGTGCACGTCGGTTTTCCTGCATGGTAGGAATGCTTCGTGTGGCATACTGATACTTATTTATCGGGAGTGTTTAGCTGGCTGGAGACAGCGGGTACAGTGCACTCGACAGAATGGCTTGTTGGGTGCCTACGTGGGCATCTGTGTGCTTGTTCTCCCCGACTGGGAGGACAGGTGCAAGGCAGATTGTTCACCAAGCGCTCGCGTGTCAGTCAGTAGGAAACTTAGTTTTCTTATTCATAGAATACTATCGTGAGGACGGGACGACAGACCCAGCTGCATGACGTAGCTGGCCTGCTTGACTGCCTTGCCGATTTTTTCCCATTTACAGTCTTCGATTTCATCCACCTTTATTAAAATTAATTGGCCAAAAAAACAAAATCCATCGTCTTATATTAATAATATACTACTAGTAGTATTCATTAGGATTATATTTCGTAACGGTAAACCTGTTTTCGGCCTACAAACATTTTATGATAAATAAAGTGCGAATATAGTTTAGAACACTTTCCTAACCTATTTTTTCGATTGTGTCTGCAATATCATTCCATTTCAGAAACGCTCTTGTTGTTTATATTTGCTTTTATGATTAAAATCTCAGGCAAAACAGCAGCTGCTTGGCTTAAGAATTGCGTCACCTACATCGAAATTCGAAGGTGCGGCTATAGTTTGTAGCAGCACTGTATTAGAGGCTTTCAGAAGAAAAAAAAGAAGTGGAGTTGATATCCCGCCCCAGGGCGAAATACCTCGTAGACCCAGTAGTCAATCGTGTTTTAAGTACACGTACTACCATACTATAGTACTTCGATTTTTTTTTGCGCATAGCTCCACTTCGATTTATTTCGTTTTTTTTCTTAAAGTTTTTTTTTTAGCATAGCTCCGCCTCAATTTTATTTCGTTTTTTATTATTATCAGCCGAGAGGTCGCTATTTTAAAAAGCAACTTCTTAAATTTAAGCGAGGGCTGTGTACATGTAAAGGAGGTTCCAGGGACGTGCCGTCAACACTCGATACGTTATGTGTAACAAACTTTGTATTGTACCTATATTAACAGAACTGCTCAGTAATATGTTCGTGAGAATAAGCTTATTAAATAGTGAGCATTTCTATTGCTGATCATCATATGGCACATTTCAGCTCATCAACATTGCTTGCGTTGCAGAAATGAAATACATCTTTGTGTTTTGCTTGATTTTGATATTTGATAGAAAACTCTTATATAAAATATTTAAAATCTAAGAAATCTAATGTCTTCAAAATGCGGAAGGGGTTTGAGCGCAGCATGCTCAAGCGTATCGGCGGTACGACAACGAAAAAAATATGCTCGAGTGTACACTAAACCTGGGGCTTTGATATTGTGAGTTGCGTCTATCCCCGAGGGCTAACTATAATGCTATCAGTTCAAATACGAAATCATCATTTTGGCCGCACACGCCCACGTAGGCGCATTATCTCGTAGACCTGTGTTGTCAAACTGTTTTTCATAAACATAAGAATTCTGTTGAGACCAAATCTGGTATTTGATGATGGAACTAAAACTGTACTACTTCGAAGTAATAGGAAATTGTTGCTCGCAGTTCTCTTATACAACTTCGATAGACGACAGCGTCCATCCTGATCTTCGAACAGCAGAAACGAAATAATTACAAATCCGGCTACAAATGCTGTACGAGGATCACAGCATCCATGAGCTGAGCCTTATCGGTAATTGGCATGCGGCCATTGTTTAATTTTCGAACTGGCAAGCATTCCCTTCGTCTTTCAATCCAAATTGAGATGAAGTTTACTGCCGGCCTTGTCCTCGCGGTCATCGCTACCGCCGTCGTACACGCTGGAAACTCATCCATGCAGCAGGCTTTGCGCACCGAGTCTGTACCAAATTCGGCTTCTGTTGATTCGTCGGAATCAGACGAACTCGATACGACCTGCGACTTTAAATGCCTTCAGGTGATGAAGCCGGTGACAGACGAGAACGGAGTCACGTACCCGAATGAGTGCATGAAGCTCGCGGTCAATTGCAGGGAGAAGAAGGGCAAAACGTTCGATGCTTCCCCTCTCAACGACGATGCTGGCGATAAATCTGCGCAGAAGAAGAACAAAGGCTATTTTCTTCAGAATGATATGCTGAATTTGTCTGACGGTTCTGGTACGAGCAGTTCGTCGTCTGACGAAGAGTCTCTTGGTTTCTCCTGTCCTGATGCTTGCCCAGATGTGTACGACCCCGTCACCGATGAGTACGGTAACACCTTTCCCAGCGAGTGCCACAGGAAGGCAGAGATGTGCAAGGGACCGAAGAAGGATGCCAACACTTTGGACCAGTAAAAACTGCAGCGCTCTGACTATTAGTCAGTGACACACGATAAATATTTGGTTGAGATTTGCACTGCTAGCGCGGTGATGTATCTGTATGTAGTTCAAACTGAAAATACAGTGGATATATCCACTTTATTGATGTATTGAAACGACCAATACCCATAGAATTTTCTTTCGACAGATTTCCGGTCGAAGTAACTGATACAGGCTTCGCTGATTATCTCTTTTAGTTTAGCTCGTTTACATTGCAGCGAAGTCAATAGTTCTACCGTACTGATGTATATAATATATACATTATATACATCAATACGATAAAACTATTGACAGAAAGATCGCATATTATGCGAACTTTAGTTGTTGAAACAGTATATATGGAGCTGTTACTGGAGTATCACCAGACACAACGTGAAAGAATCCAGTAAAGACACAGGCGATAATGTTGCCGACAAATTGTTTGCTGTGGAAGCGAATTTCTGGATAAGTTGCGGTTAGTTTGTCCGATAGAAGTCCTAAAGTAGTATTGGACTTGCATAAATGACGGATAATAACCAATAGATCTAGGCCCTTTATTTCGGGGAAATAGCGATGAATACATTATAAAGTTACGACCAGAAACCACTCCAATTTCCCGACTGCTCCAAACTACTTACAGTATACATTAATGCTGATTTTCGACGGCTATGGCCAAATTATAAACAATGACTGCGTTACGAAATATTTGTTCGACGTAGCCTGGCGACGAAAGATTGCGGCATACTGCATCTAATTCAAACCATGGAACGTAGCTCAGCATCAGTATGATGCTCAAGCTGCCACAGTCGTCCACAACTCCTACTCATTGAGTATTCTACCCACCGGCAGTTCAGCGTCAGTAAGCCGATTTTTGATTCACTTTGCTCACTGTGATGAGTTTCCTGTTTGATGAGAACGGATCTCCATTACGTGATTAAAAAAAAAGACACATTTTCGTAGATTCCCACTGGGAATTTTCCAGTTCGGTGCAGCAACGAATGCCTTTTTTTTTTTTTAAATCACGCATTCGATTCTGTGTTGTTTCAAATAGGGACTTTTTTGAAATCCCTATTTGAAACAGTTTAGGGATAAGCCAACAAACACAATTCGCACACAATCTTCTCAAGTTCATTCGCAATAATGGCTTCCTCCAGTGGAGGTATGAGCAACGCTGACTTCGCGCGTATGTTCCGCAAGGAAGCGCGCGAGAAGGCGCAAGACCACATCCTGCAAAGCACAGATGATGTTTCCTCTACAGGTGATAGCACTATCGAGTCGAATCCGATGCAGGCAGCGGCCAGGAGAAGGCGTCAAGAGATGGACACCACAGAGTCCACCCAAGACGCGGACGAGGTGCCACAAGACTCTGGCCGTGGATTCGAGTCCGGCACAGCGTCAGGTCTGGGATTCGGGTCTAATTTAATGCTAGGTCTGGGTTTCCGACCCAGTCTTGGAGCTGAGAAAAAGGATGCAGTCGCCTCCAGACCTACCAAGACCAAGACTTATGCTTGGGAGAAGCACACAACAGGATTCGGTACTAAAATGCTGGCCAAAATGGGCTTCAAGGGTCGTCTGGGCAAGAAAGAGGACGGTGTATCGGCCACTATTGAGGTCAAGAAGCGACCAGCCCAGATGGGAATGGGCTACGGAGACTTCGTGGAGGCCAGCAACCTCAAGCAGAACAGAAAGTTGCAAAAAGAACTGAAAGGAGAAAGTGTGGAAGATGAGGGCACAGGGGAACAGGCTGCAGGTGTCGTAGAAGATGACTCGTTGTGGAGAAAGAGGAAAATGGTGGCAGGTCGCACGAAACACAAACGAGCGGCGGACTTGACGCAGGAAGCGCATGACATGAAAAAGCACAAGAGAAACAACACCATCCTGGATATGCGAGGGCCGTCTGTACGCGTGCTGTCCGACGTGACGGCTGTGTATGATGTGGATCCGCAGCGCGTGGAAGCCGCGAAGCCAAAACTCGGCGACGAGTTGATTTACAACGTTCGGATGGTGGTGAATCTCGCCCAAGGCAAAATTTACGACTTGACTCAAAAAATGGACACTAACAAGGAGAGTCTTGCTGGAATGAAGAAAGAAGCCAAGATGATCAAGGCACAGCTGGATGTGGACGACGTGCGACTGCAACGCATGCAAGCTATGGTGGCGCAAATGAAAGTAATGGATAGTCTGCGGGAGCAAGCTCTTGAGATGCAATCAGTGGAGCCCATTGTATCACATCTGCGCACTGTACGTCGGAGTTTCCCGTTAGAGTTCGATGCGCACAAGCTTCAGCAACTGATCCCGACTATCTGTATGCCTCCGCTTCGGGCCTTGTTGACAGAGTCAGATCTACTAGACCAAGCGTCAAGCGATCGTGTCGTGCTTCAATTCCAGTTGATTCAAGCATTTTTGACCGAGTTGCCCAGCAATAGAGCGGTAAAGGACGCGCCCGAATCCAGCAGTGTGCTTCCCGTTATCCGCGAGAAGACTGTGGCCGAAGGCGACGATCTTTACAATTTCATTCTGGAAGATACGTTATGGCCTGCCATGGTGCAGTGTGTGAACGTAGAGTGGCAAGCAAAGTCCGCTCCAGCTGCTTGTGTTGACATGTTCCTGAAGTTTAGACCGCAGCTTCCGAGTGAGTTCGAGGAGGCATTTCTGCATCAGTTGGTGCTTGCTCGACTGAAGAAAGAGTGCCATCGCTGGGACCCTCGATCAGATACCATTCCTATTCACGAGTGGTTACTCCCTTGGTTACCTTATGTCGGTGCTGAGATGAAGTCTCTTTATCCTGAGATTCGGTTAGCCCTTGCAGGTGCATTGAATCAGTGGCACCCCTCAGACCTCTCAGTCCTTGCTGTGTTGTCTCCGTGGAGAGAACTCTGGGGTGAGCGTGAGTATGGCAAGTTCACGCATCGACATATTGTACGGAAACTGATCCGATGTTTACACCGCGAGTTTGAGATCAACCCGGAGAATCAATCGCTGGAGTCGTTGACGTGGGTTTTGGCTTGGAAAGATCATCTTCCTAACCGCCAATTCATTGCACTTTTGGAAGGCGAGTTCTTTCCAAAGTGGCTCAAGGTTCTCCGCAAATGGGTCAGCGGCTCACCCAATCTGATCGAGCTCGAAAAATGGTATTGCGGGTGGAAGCTGTTTTTCGAGAAGAACAAATTAGCCACAAACGAACGATTGTTGGTCCATTACCACGGAGCTCTCGTGTTTCTTCAGGTCGCAACTGAGTCGGTTGGCGCTCCGACTGAGAACAGACCGCCAGTGCCGGAGCTGAACGGAAATGCCGCCATGAACTACCAAGATGCATTGGCATTGGCACGAGATGAAGAGCTGAAAGACTCGCCGGTTCGAGAGGAGAGAAAGTCGCCGCGGAATACGTCTTCGCGCAGCGTCAGCCTGAAGGATGTCATTGAAAACATGGCAATAAGTCACAATTTGACTTTCATGCCGAAGGGTTTCCACGACGGACAGCAAGTCTACATGTTCGGAAAACACCAGATTATCATAGAGCAAGGTGTAGTGTTCTTGGAGGAGTCCAAGGGTGTGTTCAAGCCTGTAGACCTTGAACGGATCCTGTAAAATCAACGAAACAATGAAACATTGGCATTTGCCTCAGCACTATTCCATAGTAAACCACACTGGATCATGCATGGTGATGGATGCAAAAACACAATGGAAACGCCAACCAAGTTGAATTATCCTTGAAAACACCCAAACACTCTGCTTTAGACTACTTCGTACGTAGACAATGTTGCTAAAAAGTTACACAACACGCAGGATCTTACTCGTCTCTTTCGAGCTGCACGCGCCGTCGTCTTGGACGAGGTTCTGCTCCGGGTTCTTACAGGCAGCGGCCTTCAGTTGGCACGGGCTCGAGTACCAGACACCGTCAGACCCGCAAACAGGCAACACAACGTCGGGGCAGGCACTCGCACATTTCTTGCTAGTAGGCGTCGAATTGTCATCGTCAATGACACCGTCCGAACCGTCCTCGTATAGTTGGCCAATGCCGCTAGAGCTGGCAGTGGACGTCTTAGTCGACTTCTTCATCTTACCGGAGTCCTTGGTACCCTTCACCATTTTGGTTGGCGTCGACGAGCTGCCGCTGTCCTCGCTAGTAGACTCGTCTTCATCATCTCCGGACTCATCTTCACGGGGGGCACCAAACTCCTTACCGTAGATCCGCTTGTACTCTTCCAGAACGTCGACATCCTTCTTCTTTTCCTTGCACTTGGCCGCCTGCATGTAGCACTCATTGGAGTATGTATTGCCATCTTCATCGGTGACAGGTTCTTCAACATCCAGGCAAGCATCAGGGCAATAGGAACCGGTCGACTCCTCACTTGGCGACGAACTGTCGGTAGCAGAGTCGTCGCTGGAAGTCGACATTTCACCCTGAACGAAGGAATCCGAGTTACCGCTCTCCTCGCTGGCGGATTCATCTCCGTTATCGTCGTCATCACGCGGGGCACCAAACTCTTTGCCGTAGATACGCTTGTACTCCTCCAGAGGATCAGTTTTCTTCCCATTTCCCTTGCACTTGGCCGCACGCATCATGCACTCGTTCGAGTACGTGACGCCGTTCTCGTCCGTCACAGGCCTCATCACAGCAAGGCAAGCAAAGTTGCAAGACGTGCCGGTCTCCGACGCAGGGTCGTTGGGCAAGTTCATCGTGGCCGGGTTACCAGCGTGGACGGTGGTGACGGCGACTGCCACGAGAACGAGTCCGACAGCAAACTTCATTTCGTTTTGGACTAAAGGAACGGTGGAGTTGTGCTTGTACGTTCGCAATTTGAGTAATGATCAAGCCAGGTTGCCTGCCTATCGGGTGATCCAGGACCATAGCCGAGAATCTCTCGTGCATCTGTGGTCGTCCCATCCTAGATTTTGCTGTTCGGATCTCAGATTTGGGATTTGAAAATGGTAATCGACAAGTGTGGCAATTGCAAATTACGTCGTACATGTACAAGGACCACCGCACTGTTTCGTCAATAGTGGTTTATTATTAATACGTGTAGTACAGCATTTGCCTCCCACCTTTACACTGGGAGATAGGTAGCGTAACCTAGCTAACAGATATTGGGAGGCCAAGGAGGATTATTTTTAATTGTCGTAATGCAACATCATGATGGTTTGATCTTCAAAAGCTAAATTGTCGACTTTGCGCAATACATGTATCGCATCAAATGTGGATCTCAAGTTCATTCTTAACCCCCTTAGTTACTAGTAGTACAGTGGAACACCTTTTGATCAAGTATATCAAGTTGATCATTCCACATTCCTGATATTTAGAGAGATCCAGTGTACCCAAGTTACATGAAGAGTGACCTGTCACTCTTTTAAAACGTGGTACATTGCTCTAGGAGCCAACCATTACATACCCACATAACTTTACTATACTGTAGTAGGTGACTTATAGTTTGTATTAGAAACCAAGCTAAGTTTACCTATAAATACAGCAGTCTTAAAATTACCCTTCTAAGTAGCAAGTAGTTTCATTTGAGACCGGGACCGGTGATCTTACGTTCACGCAGGTAGTAAATACACTCTAGCACTTCCTCTGTGCAAGGTGCTCGTGTGCCCCGCCACATCTTACATATAAGGTTGGATAAGAGTTGAAAACACATAGTGGAAGTAGTATCGTATATGACAGTAAAGAAAAACACTTGCAAAAAGTGTTTCCGGCGATTTTTAAAGTAAAATAAGTTTCTAAGAGGCATTTCAAAGCATGCTACCGTAAACAACGGGTTCAATGCAACAGGTGTAAAATGTCGTTGTCTATTTAAAATTTGCTTAGTTTTTACCCGTAAGAATCAACACGCGCTAATGTCCACCAGATCAAAATACTCGCGCGCAAATGACTTCTGTCATTCTAATTTCGCGCGCAACCTGACCAGGAGCCCAAAAACCACCAACAAGAAGAGCTATGTGTATGTACCGATTTACTGATGTTGGATACAATTCTAGCTGACTTACCTGGTTCTGTAGGCTCTCAAGTTACTCGAGTCGACAGGTTCTACGGTGGTGGGAGTCGCGGCTGCTGTTGGGGTTCGTTCCACCGCTAGAAGGAGGACACAGACCTCATCGCCGAGTCACGTCCTTACCAATGTTGTACCGGTCCACCCGCTTGTGCGCACGTATACATGCAGCATCCCGAGCAGAAGTAAGAGAATTCTACTTCTTTCCCTGAAACAACATGAAACAACACTTTTGTTGGCCAATCATATGCGACCACATGTAGATTTTTTTTGACCAATCAATTTCATAAATTATGTAGAGACACTCCAGTTACATTCAGTCGTAGAAATTGGTCTGAAATCGGGAGCGATGACGATCGCCCACCTAGAGGCGAGTGCCCGGAGTGCTCCAAGCTGGTGTCCAAGTCAAATATGGCTAAGCACAGGAAGGTCTGCGGCAAAAAGAAGCCTCGGAAGTCACGCAAGGCTATTAACCGTGACTCGTACGTCCGGAGCAAGGACAAAATCCTTCGCAAGCGTCAGGAATATCGTCTAGCCGATCAGTTTCGACGCCTTTCAGGTATTTTTTTAATTTTATTTTTTAAAAATAAAATATTTATGAAAAAATAAATGTGAAATGGACAGCGGCTCGACGTAAGCTCGCGGAGTTGGAGCCGCAAGAAATAGAAGTGGAGGCTGTTGAACGGACGGCGTGGACGCCGGTCACCCCGAGCAACATTCTGTATGGCGTGAGCAAGGACCCAGATGTGTTCGCTTACTTTATTACGGAATTGCGAAACCGTTGTAAGTCAAGACATGGTCGTGGCCCCACGATGTTATCGCCTAAAGAGCTGTACAGGGCAGCCATTCTTGAGTTGCATCCCGACAAACTAACCGCTCTACGAAACAAGTTTGGAGAGCGTTTCGAGGAAGTGGCGACCTACTGGAGCCGGCCCACCATTTAATCATTCGTAACGACCATCGACGCGCTGGGTTGGCCTACATGAAGCGGTATTGAGCCCCCGCACGACGGAAGGTGTGCGAGGTAAACCAGCTGTTGTACCAGTGTTTCGCAACATAGCCTGATGTCGACTGGCTTTGCCGATATAACGAATGGTCGATGCAGTTGAGAAGATTGATGAAGCTCTGCTCTCCCATCTTCTTTCCCCAACCAACGGTCACCTTCTCGCATCCTGTGGAACCTTTGTCACTTTTAATAGCTTTCTTGCTCAGACCAACAAGCGCAGGAAAAACGTAGTCTTCATCAACCCACTTGTGTCCTCTTTTCTCGGTAGCGTAGGCGACCCAATTTGACAAGTGTTCGTAAGCATTCATCGCTGTTTCTTCGCCAGCCAGCTTGTGCAGATTATAAGATCGCCCCTCCGCTACCTCAGTCTTTCTGTTGAAAAGCGTGTACACCTCAAATTCGATAATCTCGTCGGGAGCAAGGACGTTGGCGCGAAATTGACGTAGGGAAACGTCCTTCCATTTGAGAGTGAGAACCTCGTTGATACGACACATTCCATAGAAGGCGAAGGGTGACACCGCTTTAAACTACATCTGATAGTCTTCAGTGAAACCATCCTGTGCAGAGACCATAAATTTGTGCAGCACGTCCAGCATCTGAAGCGATATGGGCATAGCTCGTGCGGGAACATACTCCGAGGCTTTCTTCTTTTTTAGACCGCGCATGAATTGTCGGACGAACGGACCTCGAGCTGGGTTCCCATATCCACGTTTGCTTCCGGTATCGTCCTCCGCAACACTCCACTTGTTCACATCACTCCCATCGCTGTTTTCGTGAGACGAGAAGTAACTTGCAACCGCAGATCTGGCCTTCTCCGCCGTTTGTAGCGATACCGTACTGGACGCTGAAATGCTCTGAAGGTAAGCTACAAGTACCGCTGGTAACTCGTGGTGACGCTCCTTGTGAGGATCTGGATAACCATTAGCCAGACATAACTCTGCGAACTTCTTAAAGCTGGACTCGTAAACAGTTTGCGTTGCCTTCTTGATCGCACCGTTTGCTTTCTCCTGGCCTTGCTTCACCAACTCGTGCAACCCCCCCCCCCCCATCCGGCTATCGGGTGATTAGAAAGTAAATACGTGGCAGGGCGGCCTCCACACATCGTACATTTTAGTATGAACTCGTAGATTTTGGTATGAACTCGTAGATTTTGGTATGAGCTCGTACCTTTGGTATGATCCCGTGCATTTTGGTTTGATGCGTACTTTTAGGTACGAACGCGTACTTTTCGATATGACCCAGTTCATAAGTTACTTGCAGAACATAAAAACATAAAAACATAAAATAGTAAAAAATATGGTGACACTTTCTTTTTTGCCACGTCCACTACTGCTGTACGATGATTGGCCATACAACACTGAATAACAACTGAATGTTGTTTCGGCACGAAGAAGTTGCTTCCGAGGACAACCCATACAAAATTCAAATACAGAGATTTGACTTCCTCGGAATAAATCAACGTGTCAAGGCGGCAAAAAAATGTTTTATAGGGTTAGAAGTATTTTCATACAAACTCATTGATAAACCATTAGAGGGGCTACTATTTGAGTGTTGTTTCAGTCAGAGTAAGCTCTACTTCAAATGGTATGCTTGGGACTGTAGTTTCTATATAAATAATTGTCTAAATATGTATACCGACTGCTCGAATGGATCATAAATATTTGCAAAAACAAATATTTTTGTGTATCTACCCTGTGCCTGCTGTTAATGCACTGCAAAATTGAGCCTGATCTCTTTGCTTCAGAGCAGCCAACATGATGTTCATCCGCCGTTTATGACGCGCAACCGTCTGAAGGTTAGGCGAACCACACACAAGAGCCGAAAGAAAAAGGTCTGACATGGAAGGAAGATACTGATTTTGCCAATTGCTGTTTTGTTTTTGGTGATATTGATACTTTTATTTGTATGTTTGCGTATGTTTTTGTAGACTGTTGTACAAGTGTTTTCGCACTGTATTCAGCGCACCGTGGAGGAGGACGGGGTTCTCTCCCATCTGGGTGGCATAAAAATATGGTTCTTCTTCAACATGGACCAAATGGCCGTCTATATAGGCATGATTGGGCGCACAGCAAACGATGTTGTGGTGGCCCATACGGTTGACGTAGTACAAGATAAGAATGTCTAGTCATGTATGCTTAGATTTTGTTTCCTAACATATAGACTGTAATGTAGGAAGCGAGGTCAATGGATTCCGTGTCTCGGTGTTCCTTGCTGCATCAGCTACGGGCCACACGCTGCCTCCTCTGATTGTATTTGCAGGTGTTTCCCTCGAATCCGAGGGAGAAGAGAGCCTTGTTGTCGCAGATAGTTGCTGAAGCATCGGACGCGATTCCAGCACAGGTAGTCGTCAACCGCTTCGTCAAGGCAGGTTTGATCCGCACTGGTCCACGCGATAGCGGCGGTAGCTTTCGGGTTCCTGTTGTTTCGGCCAGCGACGCGCCACTTGTATGCGAAAAATAGAATTTGATCCTTTTTTTTCGTCAATTACAAACTTTATGTGATACAATGAGGGAGTGTCACCCTTATCTGAATATCACAAACAGCCCTTTCTTTGGCGGTTTTACGAGATGTAGCACACTAGCCGTACGTTGCGGTGAATCCGTGGTTTGCGGTAGTGGACTTGCCGTGACAGAACCAGCTGGGCATTTAATAGATCGTGTACTGTATGTATGATATATGTATTAACAATACTGTATTATGCCGAATGATCTGCGATTTGCCAGCACCGTACGTACACCTTGGGAATGATCGAGAAAAACTGTTTGGAATTACCGAAGTAGAGAAAATAGTTCTGTGTGGTAAGCTTAATTGTTTTTGTCAGTTTAATGACAATTTCGCAATTATTTTAACTAAAATGAAAATGAAATTCAAGTTTTACATTATTTATCCCAATAAAATTGAAGGAATGATGTAATGGGGAGTTTAATCCTATTTTTTTTACCTTAACCCTTTCGTGGTCAATGGGGGCATTTTGCCCCTTTTGGAGGGCGTATCCTTGAGTACCACTCGTGTCACCCACGAATGGGGTCAAAACGTCGCCTTTCATTATTTTTGGTGTGTGGACGAGGCGGATTCGCCCTTTCTACTTGAACTACAAGGATTTGCAGAAGATTTGCTGTAGTACCGTAGTTTATGAAAGGGGGCAAAATG